GTTGATATACAGCGACTATTTCAATGAGACAATAGAAATGTTAAACTCAGTTCCGACGCCAATAAAATAACTTTGATAATATTTTATTACCAACAAAAACCATAAAACGCCGCACCGAGGGAACATAATATCCATAAAGGATTGGATTGATGGCTGGATAGCTAAAGGCAATAAGCTGGGAAATAGCAACAACCATACCAAATTGCGGAAATTTCTCCGCTAGTTGCACTGGTCGATAAATAGCATTTAGTATTAAGCAAATAACGAATGGTAACCACATGACGAAGTAGATTGAGACAAATACGCTCAGAACTTTAGCTGTCTTCCTTTTTATCTTATCGTTGAAATTGCTCCTTCTAATTCGCATAAAGATACGCGTGTAGCAGTATATCATGACAATTAAAGGCAATAAGAAGGATATCCCAATGACGGACAAAAAATATGCTTGTTCCTTTTCAAATTCGTCGATATTCATAGGTATACAGTAATCTTGATTAATAGGACGAAAACTGACTATGAAAGGTGTTATCCCAACAAGCACTGCGATAATCCAAATCCCGATCGATATTAGTAATCCAATCCTTTTACTGTTGGTTCGAAATCGTAAATGGAAAGGATTAATAATGCAATCAAGGGTATCTATACTAATGGCCATCAGGCTAAGATTAATAATAGTTATGATAGTCGGAGCAATGCTGCTTACAAGGCTGCAATAAACGTTGTTATTATAAGATGCAGGAATCACAAATCGAGGGAAAAGATATCCAATTGAAAAGATAATATCTGCCACAAACATACTAATCATAATTACATTGGATATTTTCTGTTGCTCACCATCTAAAAAATCTTGATTTTTTCTAAGCCGTAAATTTTGAATAATAATGGCAATAGTTGCAAGACTTGCTAAAATAGTTACACTGCCAATAATTGCGTAAGCTGCTGCTTGAAATATTCGAAATGGATGGATACTTTGCGATGGGATACCCTCGAATGTATCATTGACTGGTAACCATGTTGGTGAGAAAGAGTTATTAGCCATTGCAATAGATAATTTAAAATGATTCTAATAATTGCTTATTTTAATGTAAACTGCAATTGTAGTTACAGGGTAGATTTAATGATAATAAAGCTAAAATTAGGATCACTTTGATCGCAAAATTAATTTGCTGCTGCTATAGATAGATTAAGGCCAAGTGAGGAAATATATTTCATGTTAATAAGTAGAAATCACTGTGTGTAAATCTGGTTTGTCAATAACTCTACATCGATGGAAAATTGATTTCGAACATTTACTTTCTTGCTAATCTATCAATAGCTTATAATATCGAGAGTCGTCGGAATATGGTTTGTTTTTTGATATTTATCTATAGATTTTACCACACTAATAAAAGGCCAGTAGTACTTTTTACCATATGTAAGTCAAAAAGAACAAGTTTCGACGCGGAAATGCGAGCTTCTCATTAATTTTATATCTTTCTTAATGGCAAACACAATTAACATTAGCATATGAATACAGCCTATCAAAGGATCGAACCACCACCAATCCTTAAGACTTCACGCTAAAAAATACTTGATAATCATTATAGTGCCGTGACTTTTGCATTGCGACTTATAACTTCATGGTAGAATATTTAACAATCATTTTATGCGGTAAGTTTTGAATTGAAGTTCAATTCTTAACTAGTACTGGAATTACTAATTCGTATTGCGAGACAATATTAGTTTTACTACAATTTAATCATCAAACCGACTTCGCAAATTAGATAGCTCTGTGGGATTGATCAGTTACAACAGTAGGCGTAGCTTTTCATCACTACAGTATTGTTATCAAGCATGTTTATATCAAAATAGAACAAAAAGTCAAATAACCCTTGAAGATTCTTTCTTACCACAACAGAATCCTAATTAAGGGTGTATTGTATCTTTAATCTAATGTTTACTTAATTAGTCATTACTCTCTACAGTAATTTAAGTGGATCTATTCAAGAAAGAATGTATTTTCTATCGATGGGTAATCAAATCCGCAAGGGTGGAATTTTATAACATAAAATATTACAAGCAAGCACATCATTTATTAGTAATTAGTCTCTAAGTTTTTCGCTCCGGTTGTAAGATTGCCACCAATATCAAATTGTTATAATCGTGAAGTAATTTCATTAATGAACGGGGGCGATGGCTTTATATCATCTCTCGTCAATATCATTGATTTTGAATATGTAATTTAATAGATAGAATTGCAGTGTTTTAGTCGGCAATACTGCAGTAAGATTTGTTCTCTGTATAAGTTATCACGCTACTCTTCGATACTAAAAGAATGACTGTAATGCATTATTTAATTACCAACTTGTTTATATATAAGCTTGTACTGTATTTATTATGTAAGCAGTTCTCAATATTGTTAATAAGGTAAATTTATATTTGCGTACAACAAAAGATAAATTTTAATTAATAGTTACAACCTTCATGAATACAGGTCGCGATATGTTAACCAGCCGCTCAATTTGATATTTACGCTTGTATTTGACCCATTAATGACTGATAAAATTATCTAGGCTTTAAATCAATTTAATTCGAAATTAAGCACAATACTAGTTCGCCGATTAATATTTTCAGGAAGCTGCTAGATCAAACATAAAAAATGATAAGTAACATGTTACCGCTACACTGCCAAATAAAGCAGTCTATGTTTAAACGTTGATATACTTGAGCGAAGTAATATCAGATAAAATGTAGCAAAAATTTACCCCTGATTGTATATATTTTTTACTGGAGGGCAATCCTGCAGCACAATTACTGTTCAGATAGATAAAAGCAGAATAAAATAAATTAAACTAGCACATTACTACTTGCAAATAATTTATCACTGCCGATTAATAAGTTCTCATTAACGACTTTTACACATTGTACTACTTTACCCCCATTAGAAAAGTGCACTGTATGCATGTAACTAAACTAGTCTTGATAGTCTCTCTCATTACATTAAACGTCATCTTGCTGTTCAATTACAGCATTCAATTAGTCATATCAGTAAGTTATAAAGAATCTATTAATGAAACTTTATTTTTTAATGGTACTATAATCAAAATATTGAATCACAACAACTAAAATGTTTCATTTACTAAATAGCATACTACTTTTGCTAATTATCTCAACGCTGCGCATGAAAATTTCTCTAAACTAATTAATTGGAGACCATTTACACATCATTATTAAGAAATTAATTAATAGATTGTGTAATTGGCATGTTTTTAATCTTATGTACTCAATATTTTTCCAGATGCTATTATCAATTGCTATTATATCACCAAATCTAACTTTTGTCTCATGCTAAATTATAGAGCTGCAATAACGCAGTTACACCATGTCTGATAATGAACTTCAGGTTTACCTAAAATTTGGCAGCCTAACATAATTCTGTTTAGCAGCCGTTATTCATTTCTAACTGAGGTTCTATTGTAATAACAATATGGAAACTGAATGAATATTGAGTAAATACAGTCTATAGTAGAATAAACGCCAAATCAACCGTAAATGGCATTTTATCAGTACCGCAAATGATAGCAATCATAATAATAGAATGCATGTATATAAACATAGTCTTATTTCTTTGACTCCAGCACAAGATGAACATTAATAACAGTATTAAGATAGAATTTATTTAATCAGCCTTGCTAACCATTTTACATTCTCTACAGTGTACCAATATGTATAACTTACTATTTGATTATTGCAGTTTATATCAAACTTAGATGAGTATTAGTATCTAAATAGAAGTATATTGTTGAAGAAAGAGGTCGCATTTTAGCTAATATTAGGGTTACTTAAATTAAATGATTGAGGAATAACTTGTGCGTTATGTGATACATATGATGATATTATAGTAGTAACGTGCAGTTAATCCGACTGATTTGCAACTCGGACATTCTCCTTATAATATTTTTAACATTTAAGCTGATAATAAATAAAGAATAGTTATCGGTGCTTATAATAAAAATAATATGCACAAGTAAAATCTGAACATACATTTGTATTACTTGAAAAGTAAATACATAGAAAGAGCAACACCATTTATATTTGAGTAGATCACTGCATTTATCATGCCGCAGTATCTAATTATGCATATTAACTTGTATTCATTTATCGATAAGATCTACTTAAAATTATTCAAATGTTCGATATTTAGCCGTATTTTATAATTCACGCTGATTTTATCTAGTATAGTATGTATATAAATATTGATGTGTATAATCCATTGATTTATTATCTATCGCAAACAATATCTCTAAATCTTAAACGTTTTACGAAAATTTAGTGTTGATGACATTAGTATAAAAGAATGGATAGCAAATACGGCTGATATTTTCTTTCAGTTCCAATAAATACCCATGAAAGGGCTAAATATTAGGATACGGTCACGTACTGGAAAATACATGTAGATTCTTCGTAAGGATTACAATCCTAATAGAGGTAAGCATCCTAGGAACAGTCAGAAAAAAAATTGCCTAGCCAAGAAGTTATTAGCACGCAATTGTATACTTGTAAAAAAATACAATAACAACTGCTTTAGCAAAGTACGGTACCGTATGAAGATTAACCATCCAATTATCCAAAATTAATCATTTGAATCTTTGAGAGACTTCCTACTTGTAACGTAGATGAAACTACTTTGAAATTTATATCATTACTTTAAAGTAGATCAGTTTTTATCTTAAATACTTCAAATTATTACTTCAAATGCACTCATTTTACTAACATGAAATACTTTCGTATCAAAATTATAATTTTAGAATATCCACGCGTATTAGTCAGACTTTGACCTCATTTATACAAATTTTATCGTCAATCTCCGATTACCCGAGTTTTTTGACAAACGAAAATTACTATTCATTGTATCTTAGACCTTTAGCTTAAGCAATAATTGTGATATCCGGTTTATATTATTATTCTACGCACTATCAAGCTTAAACACGTCATTGCTGAACTTTATATCCGCAATAGCATCAGAAACTTGCCACATTCAGTTGACTGGAATCGGAAAAGCTTGCATCGACAATGTTAGGATTAAGATCCAGTTTCGTTACGGAATTATCATAATTTTGGACGCATGCAATTTGCTCATTTGATCTGTTAGCGTTGTCATAATTTCTTTGCGCATCTTTCATCTCAGAAGCTCCAAAGGATGCATTAGTCAATTTGGTTCTACTTAAAGAAGTATTCAATCTTTCCCTCTTATAAAATAAACTGACAAAATAATTTCTTATATCCGGAATAAAATATCCATAAAGGATAGGATTTATAGCTGGATAGGTGAAAGCAACACATTGACTAGCTTGGCGCCAATCTAAGATGCTTTTAAATAATTGGGGGTTGTAAAATAATTTTTCTGAGCTGATGCCAATCCAAAAAGCGAGATAGATAACGAAAGGGGTCCACATCAAGAAATAAGTAATAACTAAAATGGCGATTACTTTTGCAGCTTTATAATGTTTTCGAATATCTTGGATTTTATTTGTATCTCCTATCGCCTTGGCTGTACTCTTTTTAATTATTTGATAAATACTGAGATAAAAATAAGTCTTGATAATAAATGGTAATACAAAAAATATCCCTACTACTAAATAGTAGTAGACTCTTTCATAATGAATGTTGATATAGCTGATTTGGCTGCAATCTCGTTGATCTATGACTCGAAATTGTAGAATAATCGGTAGCAATCCAGTGTATATAGCCAAGATCCAAATGACTAAACTAGAGATAATACCAAAAGCTTTCTTATCTTTTACTGCTCTATGCTCAAATGGATCATGTGCAGCATGATATTTATCCCAACTGATCATCATTAAGTGTAGATTAATGATAACTATCGCAGTTGGTGCAATAATCCCGGCTAAACTGCAGTAGATGTTATTCTGCATACTTATTTCGGGTATAACATATCGTGGAAAGATATAAACTGATGCAAACACAATTCCGGCAAAAAACATACTTCCCATGACCGCATTGGCAGAATTATGAAGTCTTCGATTGGAGAGAATTATCAGCAGTACGGTTAAATTATTCAGAATTGTTAAGACGGCCACAATGCCATAAAAAATCTCAATCCGTAGCCGATATATATCAGATGTATTCGTTGACGCAGCATGAGAATACAGAGAATGATTTAATGATGAAATGTTCGTTATCCAGGAATTCATGGTAGCTTTGTACTCTTGAAATAATTGCCCTGAAACAAGAATGAAGTGAATTTAATAAAAGAGGGTTGATCAGTTTTTCATCTGTTACAGGTTTATGCACACTAATAGAATTGAATTTCTCCGTTATAATTTGTCCAGACATGAATTACAGTAATAAGAATCACGACTAGATCAGCTGCTGATTTATTTTGAGAAATCAAATTTCTACTAGACTATTTTCTTCTATAATTATAATAGGGACTGAGCAAATGCTTGATAAGATTTGCTTAGCTCTTTCTAAACTTTGAAGTCTCTGAAGTTCCTATAGATAAATATATAACATATAATACGGTAAATAGTACTCACCGCTAATCTACAGTTGATAATAATCTCCAATTAAAATTACTGCATCCTTAAAGCTACATTCGTGCCCTAAATCAATGTAATCATTACATCTAACAGTATAAGCCTCTTATCATATACTTCAATATCTAAACAATTATTTAATCTCCAATGATATAATATTACTCCAATAATACATATTTCGAGTTCCATTTTGATTCATCCAAGACGTATATATAATGAAATATGTATTCGTAAATTTCTTTAATCAGTCTTTGCATTGTAATATGGACTAAGCTTTAGCGAAAGTAGCAGCCATTACGATAGTAATTAGATTATCGGTTAAAAATAACCAATTTGTGTTGCTAGGCCATACTTTATTTTGCACTTAGCTACCAATGTCAACTAAGTATAATTTGAAATTTAGTGATGTACTAAATCCTAATATGATGATCTCAAGGCAATATTATCAAAGTGAACGATTTACAATACTTAAGGCCTAACAATTTTATCGCCTAAGGTAGTGTTTAGACTTTAATTAAGCTTTCAGTTCGATTTCCTGAAAGAAAAATTATTGGTCAATATTTGCAGCACTACCCGCGGCATCAACATTCCATAGATTTTTCCACTCTACGAAAATGTTGAATAATATTACTCATCAAATTAAGATAATGTAATAAAGTACAATCTCTATCCCTACTCAAGCTGTCAATCACTCTTTCCTAAATCTATTGGTTAAAATAGTTTATTACATAAAATTATTGTGGAATATTACGGTAGTAAACTCAGATTATGTAGCTGTAAACAGTTAGATCGCAGATTATCAACTGATTCTGTCCAAAATGAGCCAGCCTTTTATATCCTCTATAGCAGCACTTGATTATCCTAGCGCCTAAGAGTGATAACTTTGGCACCACTACTATATTCCCATTCGGACTGGTGCCGCCATCTTATTATTTAACATCGGAGCCTTACTATAGAAACCATCTTCCTGCAAATAGATTGGTTCAGGGCACGCCGATGAAATTATACATATATAAGGGAATGCAATTTCATGAATATTGTCAATCAAGTCAGGCTAGGAAATGACAATATTGATTTAAAAAGTATTCTAGAATATAAATATCTTAAAATTGAACCAATTAAATGCGTGAAAATTATACAATGGGAAGAACTGCTTGATGGTAAAGGATAAAGAAAATCAAAGTCTATTTTATTATTCACCGAGAAGGCCATCATTTTTGTCATCAATGAGTACCTAAGATAAACTAACGATGACGAATCCAATTGATAGATGGCTACGCCATGCTATCATTAATAGTTACTCATGGTTAGAGAATAAACTTTGGTAGCAATTATCTTTAAGATTTGTAATAAGTCATTTAGAGAGTTAAATAAGATGACTTGATCGTGCTCTATCGCTAAATGACAATACTGATATATGAATATGGAGGGAAATTTCATGCTCAGAAAATGCCATACCACTATTAATAGCTCACCACGGTTAAGAATAAACTTTGGTAGCAATTATCTTCAAGATTGTCATAAATCATTCAGTGAATTAAAATTAAACAAGATGACTTGATCGCTTCTATCGCTAAAATTAGAATACTGATATGTAAATGTGGAAGGAAATTTCATATGTGGAGAACTTAAAGACAACAGGGGCTGAGTATTGGAGAATTGATCATTTTCCTAGTTTATAAATAATAAATATATATTATTTACTGAAATTAATCGGATATTATAACGACATTGTAGACATCGTTTGTTGTTAAAACATGACGAATTAGTTTTATGTATTCTACTGTATACAAGGAAACGTAATTCACTACATCATCTAATAATGCTGTAAAATCAAAGTACCCACTGTCAAATTTAGAAGGCGATATTGATGAAAACGTACGTTAATGATAAACTGAAATAAAAATTATAACTCTCTTGTAGCAGGATTTATGTTCATTTATCAAGCAAAATAGCTAATGAAAAATAGATACAACAGAGTAACAAGTACCAATGTAACCTAACCTGCCAACAGCCGTCATGGATCTGCATTGATTGTTTTTGGCTACAGTCAACTCACTTCCAGCTTTATATACGAAAAGTAATTTAGATTATTTTAGATCCGAAATAGCAATTAGCTTGTTGATTCTAAGAACAAAAGGATAATTATGATTGGGTTCATCATTAAAAATATAATTCTTATGAATGTAATTAAGACAATAAATTACTTTCGATGGAGAAGATGCTCCCAGATTAGAGTTTTAAAAAACGTTTCTCCACATATCTAATCGCCATTATAGGCCGAAACAGCCTGAACAGTAAATTAATTGCATTTAACTTATTGAAGCACCTTTCGCAGAAACGATATTAAATTAGATTTAACATCGTTTAGAAATAAAAAATATTAGAATTGAACTTGAATTCAGCAATGATATATATTATATAGCCTGGGTAAAATGTAATCGTAATTAAATTAAATTGCAATATCACGAAATTGCATTATTCCTATTTCAAATGGCAATGTTTAGTCTGTCGTCAACCTAAAAATTAAGTGCTACATAATAGGAAATAAGCGGCTAAGATACTCCGTAATTCGTGGCAGTCTATCTGAAGTACATCATAGGTAAAGCAATTGTTCTACAAATTTACTTTCCTTTAGACTATCAACATTGTTCGTGACAATAGCAATGCAAAAATAATATGTTACATATAGTCTACCGTACTGAGTTAAGAAACGTTTGTCTTAATGCTGTTAAAAATAATTATATTGAGATGTACTAGTAACTACTTAGGAATGGCACTGTTTCATTTATAATTTACCTCAAATAATTAAAGCTATTTATTTATAGACTACAGAGCTGTTAATATTCTTAGCCAGCATCAATCCAATGAGACAGCGATATTACCCAGCAAAACAACGCAGCCTTATTAATTGACAAATTTAAGGCCACATTAAACCTTTATTTGTATTCTTTGCAATCATGGATAACATTATTTGTATTCTTGGAAATTATAGATAACATTTACCTTCATAAACTAAGTTTTATTTATCTTTTTCTCAAGAATTTTAATAACACAGTAAACTATAGCATTATACGGAAGTACTTCTATCTATTGTTGGTTGGGGTAGTTACAATAAAAGCATTATGTCTACAAAAGCAATATAGTTAGAAAAGCACAGCTAGAATCTGCGGAATTTAGAAATAGAAACATGTTACAACAATTAATACGCAATTGATGTTAATTATGATTGATAATGGCGCTAGATATACGTCGATATTAATTGTTCAAGCGATCTTAAAGATCTGTGAATAAGATGCACTTATGCATTAACAAAGGCGAAAAAAGATATTATAGTTCCATGTTAAAGATTGTTAAAGTTGCCAAATTTATATTAGATTGATCTAATAATTCATAAGTACCGGTAGTTTGAAAGATAAATCATTCAGTTTAGAAGTGAATTAAATTAGGTTAACATGAGGCAATCGAATCTCTTTGCTTATAAAGTTTGCTATACATAGCCAATGATTACTAAAAGGCTTAGTGAGTAGATCAAGCTACTTCTGCATAGTTGTATCCATTTCCAATGTTTTTCAAAATAACATTTTTGATGCTTTTAATGCAATACAAATGGATAAAACCACCTATTTATTCTCTTAATATCAATCATAATATCGTTCATTATCTAGTAGTTGTTATGGATACTAAATCATCTATAGATCGAATTTCGCTAATTTAACAATCAATTCGCTGATAGATTGTTTCTACATCGGGCAACAGATTCTGTATCTTATTAGTCACATGCACCGATTTATAACTGCATAGCAACGGCACTGTAGCAACTTCCAAATCAAAATAGCCTAGTAATCGGTCGTGGGAAATATTTAATGTTCGATATAGGCTTAGTCGTTTAAAGAAACAATTCTTTGTAAACCATTCAAATAAAATTGATAACATCCTGTTACAGTATCTTACAGGCGGACTGAATATACAAGTAATTTATCAATACAGAATTCAGGTCATAGAAAGGTCGACAAATTCTCAATAATAGTAATTGATAATTGCTCTTATTTTACACAGGAAATCTCGACTTAACTTATTGCAATCCCTTCGTAATCTATTGTCAGCTATTTGTATTTTTCTTCCTGTTAAATTGATTTTGATGTTCTAGTTCATTCATACAACACAATCACAATCAGAGTCGCAACTTTCAATAGCATATATGAATTCATTCTTAGAGGAGCTCTACAGTGAAATTCTCTATTAGAACTAAAATAAATACCATTATTACAGTAACCCACTGTAAGTTGTCAGTTGCAAAATGGCAGTCATGACTGACTCTTATATCCTATACATAATTTTCGGTTAAAAGTAATATTTCGGATCACGTATAGTAAATAGAGCCTAATAATGCGATAATTAATCAATGTATTGAATAAAGAGGAGATTGGACTTTGGTTATAGCAATACTGGTTTTCAGCTGCAAGATTTAGTAGATTAACTGGAGATTAAACTTCGTTATCCAATCATAATAACACTTATTTTTCAGCCTTAAGACTCTCGACAAATAACCTGGAGTTTAAATATCACTGTTCGATCATAAATAGAAATCCGGGAAGACGTATTATACGTATCTGATGGGAAAGTATCTTTCTAATGTCTGATTCTTGCATCTTGCATCAGTATCTCTCTATTACAATTAGAAGCCTGCCGTATGTTTGTATGTACGGTAGTAACCCTGGCGATTCTAAAAATTATAATCAAATCTTGTAAATTAATCATGCATCTTTTCTTTAATACATTGTAAAATAATTGTTATACGTTTCCGCTCGCGACATTTCTGCATCTTTGATATAGAGCATTACTCAACATACTCGTACTTCATTCTTGGGTTGCATCTAACAACAAAGCTATCCATTATAATTTCTGTTTACTAGTTTCCTTTATATTTAATACTTAACTGTACTAATCAAGTTAGAGATTTGCCTACAAAGAAAATCAACTGAAGCCTTAAAAGCGTGTTTTCCGAAACATTAAAAAATAAAATAATCATGTTCTACATTATCCGTATCTTGTGTCATGTGCCGGCATTAGGATGAAATGAACCATGAAAGATTGGCAGCATTTGTATGTATTACGGCCAATGTCCGAAAGCCTAGATACAACGAACATGTCATCAATGTTACGAGACGACAGCTCTCTCTCTGACTGATTTTTGTTATGCAAATATTACTATCAGTCATATATTGGCAATATTGAATGTATACTCGATAATAGTCCATATTATGCTGATAAACAAGAACTATTTCTTGCAAGTGAATTTAAGTTTCGTTTTATCAGACCACACTGTCAATGATTGAAGAGGGCAAGTAAGCCAACAACGTTGGTTAATAACTGAGATGAAAAACAGTGATACTTTATTTGGTAAATCTACACGTTAAGACTATATTAATAATAAGTCTCCATTCTCCATCATCACGTTGCATTCATAACCGCAGCAGCTTCCCGAACATGATTTAGCACTTCCCGATGCATTATCTCGTAAATATCTTTACAGCCTTTTATGCCAGCCTTCAAAATATCTTCTAAATGATCAGCATGCAGCCTAGATTTCATCTATTGATTTGGTAGTGTTACTTAGTACAAATACCACTAAAGCTGCTAAAGATATCCTAATCTGTATTTCTTACCTGACAAAGAATGATTTCTTCAGATGTGGGTAAGATAGCTAGTGTCAATAAAGGATTACTAAAATGCAATTCTTCAGAATTATTTACATCTATATGGAAAAGATAAAACATCATCATTGAGCATCAACTTTGTAGATGATAAATGGTTCAACTGCAATATTATTTTGTGTTTATATTGTTATTATACACAAATTTGAGGACTAGGCATGTGATGTTGTTTTTCATCTGCTTACCTATAATAGTTTTACTATCTACAAGGCTAGCTGTACAGGAGCAAATAAAGTCTTTCATTGGGACGCCAGCGTCCATTAATGCTAATGTTGCCGCATTTATGCAAGCACTATAGTTCCCTATTGAAGTATAAATGACATCAGTGAAACATTCTAATAAGCTATTCTATATAGGAATGCAAGAAATCTTCATTGTACAGTGGTGTATCCTACTTTATTACCCCATTAGCTCTGTATCAATACTATAAAATGTATACTATTGTCGTGAAATTAATAACGCATTTCCAGAACATTTTACTCCTTACTATTCAATAATAATTCTTAGAGCGTACCTCCATCAGCTTGCAATATTTGTACATGAATATCAATCTGCGATTTAGGATATAAATCTGTGAGTATCGCTGACTGAAAAATTTCACGCATAAGCTGAGAAATATCTATTGAACGCCTACGTTAAAAATGATATAAAAATATTATTAATTGATCGATTTCTTCAATATTTCCCACAGCCGATGCAATAATCTTTATCACAAAGTATGCGACTGAGTCAATTATTATTCCCTGGACAAGTTTCAGCTATAAGGCTGGCACATACTTATCGCCTTTAGGACGATTCCGTCTTTCATTAGTACTGAACGTAGCCATACTGTATTGAAAATTGATATGGACACGATCATGCTTGATTTTGGCTTTATCACCTGCCTAAAGTAACCCATTGAAGATCGAAAAAAAGGATTCTTATTTGAAAGGCATCGAGGATGATAAAAGCTTTTTCATGGATATATAGAACAATTTCCAACTATCAATCAATGTCCAAGATTCAACATACTTGGTGTGGGCCGTTGATGGAAGCCAGGGCTTTTGTGTTGCCTTGTTCTAAGTAAGCTGAACCATCAGCTCTCGATAATACACCTAACCGACAATTAAATCGACGAATTTCTTCTGGACGCCTACCATCAATTCTCAAGCCTACAACAGTCCAAGAATATCTCATCAATCACTGTACACCTATGATAGCAACAGCCGACAATTTAACGATACCCAATGACAACGACATCAAAGACTATTTGAGTCAAGCAATGTACTCTGTCGATCCACTTTAAACTAACACTAAAACCGATCCATCATGCTAGTAAATCCATTGATAGATTACCAACGGTAAATCGAGTTGCATTTGCTACCCATGACGCATTCAACAAATAGAGCACACCATTGAATCTTCCCTACTCAATTTCGACATTTTACTAGGAATTAACCATTGAATTTTTCCCATAATTTATAGTCATCACTGTAACAGGATGTAATGCAATCAGTCCTACCTTCAGGCGAGATGATCTCCATTTTAATTTCAAATGGTTTCGTTACTTCAATGCACCGAACCACGAAGCAGCTGAGTCGCTTGATGACGTACGTTGACCAGTTACTGTAACCAGTTAGTTGTGTAACCCCCGGTCAAATAACCCCCCCAAATTTAGTACAAAAGCACTGTACAACTACCACCAATCACCCAATAACCAACCCCCTGCTAGTTAGGCCTTGCTCCATATTATTTCAAGTCACGATTAGACTGTAGCGCCGTTCAGTACACACACGCCGTGCTGTAATCGACTCTTGGACGGACATTTACTGGACGTTCATCCTAGCTGCTGTCATTCGATGAAATCATGAGTATACTGTACTGTACACTATTAAGCCAATGGATCGGGTCGTATTCCGATCGACAAACCAATATAGTATCTCACTCGTCATCCTTGACGGGAAAATGGAGGTTAAATGAATTAATTAATTAAAAACCCGGTATGCAATGATTCAAGGGTGATGTCTATTTTTGAACTTGATGCATTCTGAGCAGCTGTCAATGGTATAAAACAAAACTGTCTGATTGATTCTCCATCATGAGTACACTGTTATTCTGTTATCCAGTGAATGAAGCACGGTCAATTCTTTACTCCGATTAAATTTGTCATAGCACAAAAATTGCCCTAGGTTTTTATAATGTTACCTCTACCAATTCTAATGCAATAAAGTAATGCTTGAAATGGATAGCAGCCGAGTATGTCATGATGGAAGATGTATATTTTCTCTTAACTAAGAATGGCAACTCGATTTAGCTAGCTTACAGGCTAGTCTGGCGTCAGTAGATTACAATCATCGATAGTAAAAAGCCTGTTTAATCAATTTTGACACTTGTCCTAGACACTTAGCCTTTAATTGCCTCATCCCTATACTGTACTTGTACGAAGTGAACACATTTGTCATAGCACAAAAAATTGCCCTAGGTTTTCATAACGTATCTCTACTAATTCTAATGCAATAAAGCAATACTTTGAAATGAATAGCAGCCGAGTATGTCATGATGGAAGATGCATATTTTCTCTTAACTAAGAATGGCTACTCGATTTAGCCAGCTTACAGGCTAGTCTGGCGTCAGTAGATTACAATCATCGATAGTAAAAACGCCCGTTCAATTAATTTTAACGCTTGTCCTAGACAGTTAGCCTTTAACTAGGTTTTCATAACGTACCTCGACCAATTCTAATGCTATAAAGCAATGCTTTGAAATAGATAGCAGTCGAGCATGTCATGATGGAAGATGCATACTTTCTCTTAAGTAAGAATGCCACTCGATTCCGCCAGCTTACAGGCTAGTTTGGCGTCTGTAGATTACAATCATCGATAGTAAAAACGCCTGTTCAATCAATTTTAACATTTGTCCTAGAAAGTTCGCTTTTAATTGCGTCATCCCTATACTGTACTTGTACGAAGTGAGCACATCGAATATCATGCTGTAAACCGAGCTAACAACAAAATACATTATTCTAATTGGCATAAAACAGCTGCAATCATTCATTATAAATACTTCATTGCTCAAGCTATTGGAGACCGAATAATTATCATACAATATATAAAATCATTTCATAATTGGGTGAAGTGGTGATACAGCTTCAACGATGGCTTAACTCACATCAAATAAAAATAAATTATCCAGTCCAATCGGTCCATCATTTGACATAAGTACTACTATATACGCGTATGACAGACAGGTAATAATTAAAATTGTAATCAATGCCAAAAGCAGCATTTTTCGTATGTTACATGCAAAGTATGACCTAGCTTTTAACATACTTCATTATTTTAAACATAACTCCCATGATTATCCTAGAATACAGTACAATATAGTGCAAGTTTGTGCAATGAACTTTTACAAGTTGTGGTCAATTTATATGGAAATATACCGGAGTATTTGCGATAAATATCTCCATTAATATGATACATTCATGAGATAATGTGTAAATAACATGCATATACACGACAATATACAGTATCTTTGGCCATTCGATCCCTATACAACTTTACTGTCATAAATTAACAGTGGATTTTGATACGCTGACCTTTCGCGCGGTTCCACCTGGGCATGACTCGAACATGTAATTCGACGAAACCATCGACGCCAGACTTTTCTAGTTTCTTTACTTGGTATTAGAAAGATCAAATTAGTCAAGCATAACGCGCCACTTGATATACCAATTAAAATACCCAGAGATCGCTGACTAAATCTGCTAATTGGTAAAAAATCACGGCACTGTTCACGGGTTGTTAACCTTAAACACTGAAAGTATATTTTGACCATCTTTACGTAATCGTCTGCAGTTTGAATGGTTATAGTCGTCATAACCATAAAAGTGGTCACGATTATCAAGTAACAAAAGGCTAGCGCGACAAAACGATATTGTATCAACTTCAAGGTATCTTCTTCACCTGAAGGTCTAGATACATTGGTCTTTTTAGTGTAGCGACGTAGCTATAAGCAATTTAAAAAATAAAGATCGTCAGAATTTTTTATGCATGCTCACAGTAGTAGTATCATAAAATTGACGGTAATCTTAAATTATGAAATTGATATTACTTATGCAATTCTATCATTACCTCATATAGAAATCGAACTATTTCACAAAGCATAACCTGACCAACAAGTAGACAAATTTGGCACGGAAGTGAATAAGCGTAATAGAAATAATTCACCGTGGCTGGAAAGCAAGCTAAGCTAAATACTGCATTGTGCTTATATGAAGTAGGTGTCGCAAAAACAACAGCAACCAAAATTCCTGGAATACCCCATGCAACAAAACTCTCACAAACTTGTGTAATGATCAAAGTATTTTGAGAGTTTAAGATAGAATTATTGCCGCGAACAACGATAAAATACATATTGCCAACATAAAACAACCACCAAATTGCCAATGAGATTGTTAGATAATGAAGTAGAGCACCTATCATTAGAAATAAATTGAAAAAAATTTAAACAATGTTCGGGTATAAGCTACATATGTAGCGATCGAATGATACCTCATTAAACAAGGGTAGCAAAGCAATAAATCCATCAAATGACTACGTAGGACGTACTAATTTAACTCGCATTAAATTGTTTCATTTGTACAATCCTATTACAATATGCTATGAACTTAAAAATTACATTACCTTGAGCTTGACAAAATGCTGTTACTTGGTCAGTTCCATATAAATTTAAATATTGACTTGCACAGAAAGATTCTCTGTAACCAAGGACAGCCGGTAAAGAACTGACGATTGCTAAAATCAAATCATAACAACAGATATTTTAAAATCCCATTTTAGTCCGTCTGCATTTAACCAACATCAAAAGTTATCATAACTTCTAAAATACCGTAGTTATGAAATTACCAGAATAGTATACTTACTATAAGATGTCACCGATAACATCATAAATAACGGAATAGAGTGAGGAAATTTAAGCCTATCAAATAAAATCCAAGAAAAAATTAAGTGTTTTTTATGTCATAATTTGAGCCACAACGAAATTATCACTATACTTACAGTGATTTCGAACAGAGCCATGTACTAATAACAAAAATCATAGAGACAATGCCAATAATACTCGTAACTAAGACAGCAATAGCCGCTGCTTCTGATGGATAAGTAAAACGATCCCAAGTCCAAGGCCAATCGCACTGAGCTTGACACGTATTCGTTTTATTATCAAGTTGTAAAGGATGTTGGCACTTAGCACTGGTATCTAATAAATTTATGTTACAGAAAGGATCAGTGACAAGCATTTCAAAGCACATAACATCATTGGTTATGACCTAATTTGATGACAATCATAGTGACAACAAAGAAAGAATGAAATTCGCAGAGTACTGTATATCGTTCGAAACGAATTGATGATATTGGGACTTACCGACATTAGGCGTAAGTACAGGGATTGACTGCAGTAAATGTAATAAGTAGGATTGCAACTCAGGTCTTCCAGCATAAGTTTGATTAATTTCAAGTATTACTGCATGATCCACTTGTGATAAATTCAATAGCGTCAAATTTCTGAAAAGAAGTAATCGAAAATTTCGATTAGCGTTATCAGATCATTATCATAACTATTTACAGGTCCTTTCTAGCCCAGAATTTGAGCATTATACGAATATAGTGTTTAAAAAAATTAAACAAGAAATCACGGCCGGTAATCAGCTACATAGAGAAGAAAAACTCTGTAAAATAGCATTATTAACCATATAATAGATACTTTAGCAAACCAGTCAATCATTTGTTGCAAGATCTAATGAAGAAAATGCTTACTCCTTCTAATATCGTTTAATTATTTATTTATAAGAGCTTTATAAGTGTGCATGTACACTTGTACTGGTATATATCTACAAATATAATATTGTATCACTTTGCGTATGCTAGCGCAATTATAGAGATCTTTACTATATTAATTTCCATCTTTTTACTTTTTGAAATTAATCATCAATAAATGAAACAGTGTTAACCAATTCTGTATTATATTCGAAGCTAATAAAAGTCATCAATAGGCAGTCAGTAAAATCAATAAGCAATTTGCTGTTGCTGATAGGCCATTTCAGAACATAATCATATCATAGTAATTCTCATTGTGGCTATCATTATAACGAAAAAAAACGATAATTTACCCCACTTTAAATGAAACATTTCCCACCGAAAATCGCTGTAACCTCCTGCAAATCAGATTTCATTTTAAAATCATTGCACCGTGGTACGAAAGTGAATACAGCTATTTCATTCTAGTTACTATCTTTAGTAGAAGTGCGATTGTCTGATTATTTCTAAAGTAAAGCAAGCATTTAAATTTATGTAGCCAGTTTAACCCCTTACAACCTATCGAACCGAAGTGTACCGTACTATGTACGAATATTAAGTTTTCTCTGCTTGTCCACTGTAATATGTAGGAATCTAAATACTTATTCTTTCGAGCTAGAACGTAGCAATTACTTCAATTCCAAGATTTCAAAACTTTTTTAAGAAGCTAACTAATCGCGCATAAAATGATTACTTAAACTTTTATCGGAAAACAAATTTTTATAGCCCTAGTTTATTGGTCGTAAATGTACAGTACAAAGTTCGAAAATTCCAATAGTAACAAAACACATCTAAAAATTGGTAATCGCATAATCATGATAACAACAAACTAAATTAAAATTTATTTTATCTTATCTACATCCTATATTCTAAGCAACAGTATATGCCGTTACCGTTATCCTTAAATGAATTCTCGCATGACAAAATTTTTTTTATCAACGTATTGGTACTGTTGATCAGATGATAGAAAGATGATAGAAAGTATACGTCGTGTTGACAGATCATGCAGTAATATTCAACGACTGATCTAGTATCACTATGCTAAACAACAAACTCCAGCCGACTTTGGTAATTCTCTTTTACAGACAAAAGTAGTAATTCTTTCCGACATTATTAAAATTTCAATAATCGAATCAGACTATAAATTAGTTATTAGCATATTTTATCCAGATTAACTGTCTAATTCGAACTCAGATGTTTACTACGCGGGTGTTCGACTTGTAACGAGTTTAAAGTAATAATAATATATCTCTATCTCAGTAATTTTATGCAACTAAGATATTATTTGCATGATTACTAATGAATATTAAAATCTCTAGTGTTTTTTAATAAAAGAAGAATACTTTTGTCATTCAACCTTTATTTTTCAAACCTATTTTCATTAATACTAAATCTATTCAATTGTTTAAGTTAGGGTGTTTTAATGTCGTTATGTAATGCGATCACGCAGGGGAAATAATAATTTATGGTATATATCATAAAGGATTTATAATTAGTGCTAAAAGTTCCTCTTAGTTTATAAGAATTAAAATAAAGTTATCATAAAGTGTTTATTAAAAAATTAAAAATTAAATTTTACTTATCTACGGCTATTCTAGACCATTTTCAAAGGTCTAACGATAATAGGGGAATGAAATGCAATACACTCAGTTAATAGTTATCTGCTAGAGATTATCTACTTACTGCTTGCAAAAAAAGCTTGGCAAAATAACAGAAAGATAAGGTCAACATTTCTATTGTGGTTCAACCGTACATTGATACTTTCTCAAATTAAATTATGTTCTCACACAGATAAGGTGGGAGCACTAGACGTCGAAGTACTGCAACCTGTTGTAGGGTGTTTTAGCAGTTTTATATTGTGTTATTACCCAGCAATCTGCACTTTGCTATTATATTTTCAAGCTTTCTTAATACAGTATCGCATATAAAGTAATAAAATCATGAAAGTAACTTTACTTGCTGTATGATATAACTAGAAATATTACCTAACGAATCAGAATCTTACTACACTCGCAAACATTGAATTACCAATTCAAAGTTTGCTTCGATAAAAGTAATAGTTAGTATAACGTACTACGATTTTGATGTCTAATACTGTTGAACTTATTAAGTTAAAAGTTAATCTATCACATGATATGACCCCATCAAATTTAAATGATCAGACTTTTGTTAGGATACTAACTTATACTAAAAATGATGAAGAAATAAAGAAATTTAAAAACTTATGAGGGAATCAAAGGTAGAAATTAATACTAACAGATATCATAGTTTCTTCTAGGATCATAAGAAGCTAAAACTATCTAAATATAGGGTAAAACCACTGAATTCATTCGTTCTAATAAGATAGTTTAATTCTGAGACTTGTGATATTAAAACTATGTCTCTAAAAACTAATTAAGCTGTCGTAGACAAATAATTCCTATCGTATTCACTTATTTACACTAAGTACGGTACTAAAAACAGCCAATATTTAACAACTGTAAGGTTCTAAATGTTTGACTTAAAAGCACTTTACTGTGATTTGATGACGAAAACCATTAATGCAGTTTTCAGATATCTAAATTACCTAAGTACGCAGTTTACGTGAAAATTTTGCTAGCTAATCATGTATAAAAGTAACTAGATTATGATTTTTAAGCAAATAATTTCATTTTCCAGCATCATTAACGATGCAGCACACGTGAATAATGGCATAGTTTTATACTAATTAATAGGCAAGTTACAAGCCAAAGGTTGAAGTTATGCTATCAGTACCAGTCCGCGATCGTTTTTAGTTCAACTACGATTATTGATAAAGATTCTGTTTTATAGTTACGATTTAAAATTCAAAACTAGAGTATCGATTACAGTTAAGCACATTATCACATGCTAGCAGATGAAATTCCGAACGTAAAGTACCTACATGACTTCTTATTACATTATTATATCAGATTAACTGAAGTTTTTCATTGGATAAGGCAAAGGGAAAATTTAAAGTTACCAATTAATTAATAATTATAATGATCATCTAATAACGATTTACTTACAAGAAATGATATTCTGATACTGGATTTCGTGTATGATAGGCAATAGTGGGAAGGAAGGTGACCATACTTAAAATTAGGAGTAAAAAAATGTAGCAAATTGCTCGAGGTTTAAGATATCGTAACTCCATGATGTCCAATAAAAGTCTATAACCTCAACTAGTTTCCAAATTAATAGTAAGTATAAGACCTGATACAAAGCTTAGTTTTAATTCACACCAACTTAATTTGCTAAGCAAATATTCCTAAACATGCTTATTAAAATGATTTCAAGAAAGAGTGCGTCTAATTGAAATCTTTTATTTCATCTACGTTAATTTGAAAACATGTTTTGATATTCATCGACATATCATGATCTCACATTCGACCAAATGATTCTGATGCATAACGAAATAGATCCAAAGACAAAGTACGAAAGCTTTTTACAATATTCCTTTCTTTTATTAGCATACCAGATGACGTATAATATTACTTGGTGTTGTGTGAGGAGGAAAGTTCATGCTATAGTCAATATTGACTTAACTACAACTAATAAGATTAAGTAGAATCAACAACCTATTCTTTAGCATACCTATTCCTTAGTTGCATAAAATATCATGGATAATGAATTTTATTATAATTCACGATATTTAGATGTTCTATCCATGGATACGTATCATAAATAATGCATGTCATTCACAGCGTAGTAGGATTTTTAATACATGTAGTTTGCATATTCTTATTTTATCGAGTGACGGTCATAAGTTCAAGCAACAACTGAATCACTTTAATTTTTCATTGTCAAATGTAATTTATTATTATGAAAAGTTTATTTTGAGCTCATCTGATTCAACAGTATAATAGTATTCGTAACTGTTGAAATTATAAAGTAACTATAATTAATTCTAAAATACGCCATAAACAGAGTCTTTTGTATTTATCTTAGCAATAATCATGTTATTATTATATTAAGTTATGTAATCTTTGGATAAGATCCAATATTATCTCCAACATAGCTATTAGCGAATCTGATCGATGGAGAAACCAATTAATTCATAGCTGTAAAAGCCATTAATCAGAATTAAGACGATGATTACGTTAGTTTGATCGTTTTATCCAGTAATTTAAGCTCTCAAAAGCTTGCGTAATACGTATCCGTCGCATCTAAATTAGTATTGCTGTTGCTATTTCCATCTTCGCCAGTGTCCTTTACATTATTTGCAACATCATTAGTATCAACTATTTTAAAATTACTATTACTAACTTTATCAGATCTATCGACGGCAATAGTAATCTCCGCCTTATTAGTATTATCAGTTTTGTTAAAGTCATTGTAATTGATTTTGTCATCATTAATGTCATTGATGTTATCATTTATATAAATTCCGGTATCATCAGAATGATCAGTATTTTCAGCGGTGTTATCAGTGTTATCGATCATAAATGCAACCGAAACATTATCTGTAATACTATTAGTGGGACTTGTACGGCTGGCTGGAATATTTTCATGACCGCTATCATTTTGTTCATGACTAAGTATATGATTTTGAAGAGTCCTGCTAAGTTTGCTATTCGCACGAAGTTTCTGCAGTTTTATAAGATTGCTCTCACGATCTAAATGGACGTTATGGAGATCAACCATTGAAAGAATGGTTGAAGATTTTCGCATCGTATTAACCTGAAATCTAGACTCAAAATCCATACAGGATGTATCATTGGCACTAACAACAGTACTTTTTCTCTCATCAAAAGCAGAAGGTAGAGCCATTTCGACTCTATCAACTTGGATAGCTAAATATGCAAGAAGAAGAATGCAAATAGCCTTTAGATACATATAAGTTATGCATATTTAAAAAAATTAGGGTAAAATTCTATTTATCTGCAATACTATGGTCTGTATGTTAAGCATGTTTGACTAAAAAATGAGCGATTATAATATTACTGAAGACTATAATTGGACTAGCTCCAGATAAGCTCACCTGTTTCCAGTTTTCGTCTTACTTTGCTTATACAGCAAACTAAGCCACACTGCATTAGCATGATATGAAATTTTGTTCTGTAACGTTTGTTATACGTGACACATAAAAATGGATTCAGTAGTGGATTTAAGTAGAGAATATTCTCCGTGATATAGTGGCCAAAGGTATCTTGAAGCTCAATATTAATCATGCATAGCAATCGGAATAACTATACAGAAAAGAATAATTTAACAATTTGCCATTAATGTCAAATTGAAATATTTTAATGAAGACTATAAAGGTATTATCAAAAGTCCTCAAAATTGAACAAATCAGGATAAAAACTAGGCAAAACGAATAAAAGTAACGAGACAAATTAGCTAAGTGACAAAGCGGAAGTAATTTGAATTAGTCTAACATAACTATATTCTTTCTCTATAGAATGCCTTCACTAGATTTACGGCGTTGCCATCGCGATGTAACGTTCTACACGTTTCAATTTCAGCGATATCAATTAAAAAAATTATCGATAAAGAAATTGCGAAATGAATATTCCATTAAAGAGGCTTATACCTATTTAAAGTAATGTGTGTATTGTCGAAAGATTTCTTTCTAAACATTGATAGCTCTTTAACATGATCAATTGCACGAATAACTATTCTTTCAAATCTTATTTAGTTAAATCAATGCGGTGTGATAATACGGTATAGAGGAGCTTACATGAATAAATGTTTCGTAAATGTGACTCAACAGTATTTTGCTGTCGCACGTAGTTAAATTCTAAAATTTCTCTGGTATATTATAATTAGCTTCTACGCATAATATAAGGATATGCTTGGCTACAAATATACTCTTAAATTATAAAGTATTAAACACCTGTTGCCTCTATCTATCGCAGAAAATGGTTAAAATATATCACATTAGTAAAAGTCTCATCGTCGAAAATCGCTGATAGAGTAAAATTTTAAAGCAACCATTATTGAATTTCACGCTTTTGTACTACTGATAAAATTGTTAACAGAAGAATTGCTTACTCACGAATACACGAGTACTCTGTCGTATACAAGATAAAAGCAGTAAATTGTTATAATTAATAATCACATATAATTAGTTTAATTTTATCAACCGCACTTACCACAAATGGTAAATAACATGAGATGAAGCAAACTGCAATCCATGCTGTCAACATTTCGAAATTGCCAGTTATTAATCGTGCTTTTGCTCTGCTTGTTTGCTTGATAGACATGGTTTTAATTGATTTGCGTTGCTTTCGTAATGATCGAATAATACGAATGCTACAAAATATGACTAAGAAGGATATAATAATGCCTTCTCCAAATACTAAATAAGATAATACACGATCGTATGGTTTCTTCTCAAATATATCAAATGAGCAATATCTGCCTATAGGGTATGTTATAAATTTCCCTGAACCCCATAGAGGTATCGCCATGTGAAGGCTAAGCCAAACAGCGCATAGAATAATACAAATTACAATTTTGTTGTACGTTACAATTCTACGATACAGAAATGGTTTAATTATGGCTAAATAACGATCAATGCACATTAACGCGACTATAAGTGCAGTCATGCCGTTAAATACAGAAGTTATAAAGCCAATAGCAGAACATAGCCCTTGTGACTTGACAAAGCTGCAATCAATAAGATACATGCTGGGGCAAACTGCCATAAATAATGCAGCACCTACATCGCACACTAGTAATGCTCGAACATATAGATGATTCTTATTATTTTTAAATCCATTGATATTCCAAATTATAAATAAGCAAATACTATTAAATAGAAATGTTAGAAATAATGTTACTAGAAATATTATACTGTACCACATATCAGCACAGTCATTTATTACAGTTTCGACCGTAGATGTAAAATTATGTTGCAGATGATAGTCTACGGTCACATTTTGCTGTGGCCTACCGATTACAATTGGTGTATCCATCGTATAGTTAAAACAAAGTTATTGATGAGCCTGAACTATCAATGTTATGGATAAGAAATAAAGCTACATAGATTTCCAAAGTAATAATATGGCGTATTAGCCTTTTAACTACGAAAAAAATTCAAAATTTGTTTGATAAATTTGAGCGATAGTGATGAAAGTAGAAGCTCCAGCTCACAAGAATGACAATATAAACCTTTTTATTACTGAAAGTTCTCTATTAATACTAGATAACCAATACGCGTAGGTATAAAAATGTAATGAACTTAGAAAATGGAATTAAAAAAATACAGCATGGATATAAACTCAAAATTGATACAGTACGTACTGTATATTGGTGAAATTAGAGAGGACAACAACAGTTTGATTATATTTAACAGAATCTCAATATAGCCACTAATAGTACATAACTGATAATGAATCATACCATGGTTAATTTATAACGAATTATCGTAGGTGATGCAGTACAATAAAATCGATATTGTAGTAACGAATTATCAATTACTTGATGAATTTGTTATGGGAAATTTCGAACGTTATCTTTAACCTTTGATTAGGGTAAAAAAAAAATAGTTAACCTACTAATTTCCTGTAAACTTGTAAACACTTTCCGTCAATATTGCAAGTTTTTTTTTACATTTAAGTTCTGTATATGGTACTAAATATTTTAGCCAGTAGGCTAGTAATAAAGACTACATAACCTGGTGAAAAACAAATAAAGTTAACCAATAATGCCATCAGTCTGCGATGTAACAATTTCATTAAAATCGGCGTTCTCTTAGCCTTAGGGTGATATTATTTAGTTCTTTCATTTTATTGTTATCTTAATGAATAGCGATACATAACGGTCGTTAATAAGATAAGTTGGCATTGATATTCGACGAAGCACTTTAAAATAGACTAGTTACGGACTATTCATCACGCCATTAATCTTTCAACTTTATATTGTCTTGGAATGAGAAATTGTGAGCGTATTTCATGATATTTCAACTTTTATGCGTTATGTAGTTTATTCTATTTGACGTATGACCTGTACATAATTTCAACAATAGGAATGATGAAGCAATCCTTTGATCAATAACCTCAATTAAAATGGGTACCAAGGTAATATTTGTCCTAACTATTTAGCACCATTATTGGCAGTTCAAAAGATGAGCTAGGCTTGTAATCATTTCTTATGATGTGTTGTAGCAAAGTATAATACGTCTATGCGTAATTATCGGAATGTAGAAGACTAGAATCTTTATATCATACTTACTATTACAATAACTGTTTTATACTGTGCCAGCCATTTGAACACCAATCTGCAAATGAAAGGCAATCCTCTATTATGGATAATTCTATAATTAATTAACCCAACGCTGATGACATTGTGTAGCTAATGGAAGGAAATTAATTTAAAGTATCAATACTGTCATGGACAATACAGTGCACTACTGTACACTAGGTATCCTGTACTTTTCAATCTTGTCCACATTTAATATTACTAACCTGCTAGGACGATAACAAAATTATTTATACCAGTACTGTACACTGTACAAGTAATCGCCTAGTCCGTGAATGTATTGTTGTCATTACAAGAATACGAGAATCTTATAAATAACTGTAGCACAGCGGCGTATTCCTTTTGATCATAGAATAATGCAAGAAAACAAGCTGTGTATGGCTTGCTGATATGTATTTTGTAGTTGGCTGTTCTGCAGATCTACCAGCTGCTAATGTGCCAGCCACATAAACGCCAAACAAGGTACGTAATATTTCAATGGCAACGCTTGTTATGAGTTTGTTCATGGCACCAATTACAAGGTGTTTATTACATATTCCCATCTTTCATTGCCATTGTTGTCTTGCTATCAATATAATTAGCACTACGGTACAACAATTTCCCATATACGCTGTACTGTACTGTAAGTGCAGAAGATGTAGGCCATGAAAGATCCAGTTGTCAAAGCGATCTGCAGCACTAATGTTATGTTTATCTCTGATCAACACTGATCCGAAAGAGCTTTCATAACATGAAAGCGCATGGAACGTATTGTTTCTGTAATACAATCACATTATATCCTATTCGGTTTTATAAAGGTTATGTGCCTATGTAAAATAGGAAGTCGTAGTTTCAAGAGGGTTTTATAGCTTAATTAAAAGGGTTAACTCTTTGAAAGAAAAGATCTTCCGTGGGATAGCTTGATTCAGGCAGGCTCCATAAAAGAGCAGCGGCCAAAGTAATTACAGTGTACAGTAGGTAAGTACTGTACAGTACTGTACTCAGTGTACTGTACTGTACTGTACACGCTGTCAAGTGTCAGAGCACTGGAAGAAGGCCTGTTACTCAGTGTACGTACTGTACTGTACTTACTGTACTCATCGGACAGACAGATTTTTCTCGCCAAATCAGGCCGTAATGGCCGTAAATACTGTACTGTACAGTACAGTACAGTATGTAAAAATGGGTACTTGCAGTACAGTACAGTGTACTGTACTGTACTGTACTGTACTGTACAGTGTACACTCTACTGTACAGTGGACAAGTCATGTCGAAGTGTTTGGCAAGACCGAAATGGTCTGTCCGTCCAAGAAGTGATACAGTGTACAGTACACTGTACAGTACAGTACTGTACAGTACAATCGAACCTTCTTCGTGGTTCGATTTACTGTACAGTATTAACCTTTCCATACTGTACTGTAATTGGATGTACTGTACACTGTACGGTAATATCGTCCATCACTGCTTCCAATGCTGGCTGTACTGTGCGTCACTAGAACTTATCTCAGTGCCTAGTCCAAATTCGATCCAAATTCCATGCAGCGATCATCTTTCTTATTTATTCATTACTATCTTTAGTAGACATATTCGTTTTGTACCGTTAAGTAGTTAGTCAGCGATTAATATTGTTAACATTGTAATTCAAAGATAGCCAATCACTTGTAGTAAAGTTTTCATCGTTCATCACTATTGAGTGAGTAGACAGTAATTGAAAATGGATTTCCAACATCGTGTCGGTTCCAAAATTGGTAGCGGTGGTGTAGCTTCGTCATCAGAAAGTAATCGTGATCGGCGAGAACGATTAAGAAAGCTTGCTTTGGAAACGATCGATCTAAACAAGGTTAGACTTGACAACTACCTAAATAGAATTTGAATGATCTAAAATATCACGCGACGCGACGCCATCGTCATGGTTCTATGCCAGTGAATGCTTGACTTTTATACGCAATAATTACCAAGCCTTGGCTGGCTATGCACCATTCTACTCTTCATCCAAATCTTTGCTATTATTCATGTAGGATCCATATTTTATGAAAAACCACTTGGGGACTTATGAGTGTAAATTATGCTTAACTCTACACAACAATGAGGTATCTAGAATAATCATCTACCTTATTCGTAACTTCATACAGAATTGCTTGGAAGTATGATCTTAGCAGATCACGTTTGCTTTGCAAATCGCCAAGACTAAGTATAAACTTTTAATTGGCAATAGGGCAGTTATCTGGCACATACTCAAGGAAAAAAGCACCAACAGAATCTGTAAGTCAATCATTGGGATCTATTGTATGCACCTTCTGTTTTGCTTACAATTTACCTTACTTTTACTATTATTCTCTACCTAGAAGTTACAGTGGTCTAATAATTGGATAAATGGAGAGTTTATCGTAATATCATTGTAAGCTAATGAAATAAATCTCTCTTTTATACAGAGCAAGAAGAGCAGCAAAAGATGCTAAAGATGCTCCCGCACAACCTGCTCTTGTTAGTGCTACCATTACTCTTAAGATAATTGTCAACAAAGTTAACGAGAATATGTTACTAATGCGTCTATCGTTACTTAGGAAAAGGCTAGGGTAGATGTGAAGCAATTTGTAAAAATTGGTCGTCCTGGTTATAAAGGTAATGTAACATATATTAACCAAATTTTTCCAGTTGCGTAATTGGCACTAATCTTAAAGTACACGTTTATATTTAACTTAGTCACGAAGCAATATAATCAAGAAGCTGGACAGCAATCTCTGCTATTCCAAGTACGTAATTTAAGGAATATTTTTTCCAACATCATGAGTCTTAGCGATATTACCATTTAAATGATTTATATCACCATGTTTTTTTGAATTTCATAGATCGACTATCCGGAGATTGTAGATGGTATCACTCCAAGGCATCGCTTTATGTCAGCCTACGAACAGCGCATAGAGCCACCAGATAAGCAATGGCAATACTTACTATTTGCAGCAGAACCTTATGAAACTATTTCCTTCAAAGTAATAACCTTGTTATAAAAGTAGTTGCCACAGGCAATAATCATATCCAATTTTTAGAATTGCGTTCTAACGAGTTGAGGAACTGATCGGTGAATGTTAGCTCTAGCATTAATCCATTCTTTGACCCATTCGTATTTAGATCCCAAGTCGAGAAATTGATAAATCTGATGATAAATTATGGACGCAATGGAATAAAGAATCGAAACAGGTACTACTGTATGGATTAATACATTTCATAGTTTTCCTTAATTAATTTGATTTTGGGTTTGATTCCTTTTGTGTTGTATTAGTTCTTTCTACAGATCCACTTCAAAGCTGATATTAAACAACAGCCTAGCAGAAATATACCTCAATCCGCAATTGTTCCAAATCAGCGAAATATTCCGTCACAGAATCCTCTTAATCCCTACAGTGCTCATTAGTGAGTTATAGTTAGAAATGGTATGCTTCTACGATATTCTGAGATCGTCAGATTTCAATTTTCACCATGTCTAGATATTTTTTTTAGTGCTGTTATTGAAATCTTTTACCTACTTTCATTGATTGCCTAAATAATACCAAAACTAGCTTGTATAATATCAACAACAGAAGTATGTACAGTGAGTGGGCAGGCAATCCTATGGTACACAATCCAAAAATTTATATTGTAGTAAGAAATTGAATATTCGCAATCGTTCAGTTTTAGGAATATCTTTATCCATTACAATGAGTTATCATCTGTGTCATCTAAAAGCTACTGTAATAATTTTGATATTTGTTAGACAGTATTGATTGGCGATCACATGCTGCATGGCGATTAGCTCGAATACAATGTGCAAATGCAGCACATTGGTTAGCTATTAAACGCTGTTTGGCACTATCTTAAACCCAAACGAGTACATTTGTACGGTGTTAATTGTAAGTTAAAAGTTACTGTTCTCCCTTCAATCTTTTACAGTTGCAATAAAAGAAATTTTAAATACTAACGTATTGATATGCACGTATGTCTGTGACCGTAGCACCGGCGGTTACTGTATATCGTAAGTTCATTTTGAAGAGAAATTCGAGACTAATTATAGTATATTCGTAAATAGTTGTGAAGGGTAATTATTATATAATTCAATGAGTCCGATGAATTTGACTTCGAGTTCCGCAATGCCAAGGTCGACAGGTAAGAACAATTTCTTATTGGATAAAACTAACACACACACCATGCTCACAGTAGTAGTATGACTGAAAAGTCTAACATTGATATACAGCATACTGAGTGTGAAGATTTCGCATTGAAACTCGTCCAGTAGCCTTTCTTTACTGAAGGAAAGCGATTTAGTCCAATTTTACTCTCTAAAATTACAGAATGTCAGATCATGTTATATTGCGTAAAATCTGGGCATTTCAATACCAAAGAGTTGGACATTTTACTCTTATTACTACTGTACTTTGAGTGCATATATCGTAATGCGTGGACTACTAGAAGAGACCTCTTCTAATGTCAGAAAGTTTTTCTTGCAAGGAAAGGGAAAGCTAATGAATGTGCAGTGCACGTAGTACACCATACTGTGCTATACTGTAATGTACTGTCCTACTATCGCAGTGAAAATGCTCTTTCTGTTACCTCAAAGTAGTGTTGTACAGTACAATACAGTAATGAATAGATATAGTCATGGACTACTACAGGAAGGCCAATTTCCGCCTGGAAATAGTTATGATAGACCGTAGATACTATTGAATTAAATTAGTACCAGTGATTTCGAAAACTGACACGGAAGATGCATATCAAGTAGCCATTTTTCGATTAAGAAAAGTCTGTCCGGCTACCATAGCGTATAGTGTGTACAGTACATCGTTTACAGTACATGTTAAGCATGTACTGTACGTTGTACTGTACAGTACAGTACAACAATATACAGTATAACACATGTTCAATTTCAGGTTGTAATGATGTTGTTTAAGTAGCCATTTTTCGATTAAGAAAAGTCTGTCCGGCTACCATAGCGTATAGTGTGTACAGTACATCGTTTACAGTACATGTTAAGTATGTACTGTACAGTATATAACAATATACAGTATAACACATGTTCAATTTCAGGTTGTAATGATGTTGTCTAACCAGGATTGGCCGTAACAGTTGTTCCAGTTCCGTTATTAGAAACAAACAACAATCGTAGAATTTAGAATTTAATTCTTGTTCTGAGTCTATAAGTGAACGGATGTTGTTCAGTAATTTCTATTTATGATTTTGCAGTTATAAACAAGCTGTGGATAGAAGTAGCTAAAGTAATGTAATAGAGTTTGTCTTTGTCGTACTTGAGTTTATAGTCTGCAGAGGAAGATAGTTTATAACGAGAACCTCGTTATAAACTTTTTTTACTCTGAATCGTTTAGAGAGTTTGTCTTGTTGGTACTTGAGATTATAGTCCACAGTGGAAGATAGTTGTTGACGAGAACCTCGTCATAAACTGCTTTACTCTGAATCGTTTGGAGAGTTTCATCTTATTCGTACTAGAGATTATAGTCTGCAGTGGAAAATAGTTGTTGACGAGAACCTCGTAGTGAACTGCTTTACTCTGAATCGTTGGGAGAGTTTCATCTTATTCGTACTAGAGATTATAGTCTGCAGTGGAAGATAACTGTTGACGAGAAACTCGTAGTGAACTGCTTTACTCTGAATCGTTGGGAGAGTTTTATCTTTTTCATACCTTTGAGATGATAGTCTGCAATGGAAGATAGTTGTTAACGAGAACCTGGTCATAAACTGTTGTTACTCTGAATGGTTAGCGATTAGAATTATAGGAGAATTAGGAAGAAGAGATTTATTACGCGGGTAGTTTATAAAAATTCCTAACAATACTTCGCTCAAACTGTCATCCTGATGTCATTTATGTACTGCACCAAGAAACACTTGTACATAATAAAATGTCGAAATTGTGTGCGATAGAAGAAATATTTAGTACGACACTTTCCGCTAAGAAATTTTCATAAACTGGCGGGGATTGATGTACTGTAGTACAGTATGTTCAGTACAGTACATACTGCACTACTGCGTACTGTAGACGACTGTATACAGTATGGAAGTTACAGTACTGTGCACGGAGCACCCAAAAAGTTTCCAAGTTTTTCATGTTTTTTTTTCAATTTTGGGAATTATTATTGCAATATTGTTGTACAACTGCGGTCAATTTGAAGTTATAATAATAGCGCGAACCATTGTACAGTAACCATTGGTGCAGTATACACATCCGTACTGTACAGCCACTAGGCACTACTAGGACGAGCTACTACTGTTCAAGTCGATCAATTGGAGCGGACATTTTAGGTTGGCTTAGGAAAAATAAAATGCAATGGATGCTAATTTAAAATTGGGCTTAGTATAAATGGATTAATTGCTGTGACTACTTCGAGATGCAATCACAAGTTTTCGCGGGTGTCAGTTATTATTTGGTGGGATCCGTTAGCGATGAGGTATGTAGAAGTCTTCGCACTTGTCATGGATTGTAGTGAAGCTGATTGACGTCAGCATAGTCAGGTGTTGTGCGATCCAAATGTCGCCAGCTAGTGAAATCGTTTTCTCCTATCGTCCCTAACAAACTTGCTAGAATTGCTTTTACACACTAGATTATTATGCCATAACAAGGATTGATCATCTTTCTACGTCCACTTATATTCGTTTACATGGGCAATGTTGACCGCCATTGCTAAATTCAGAAGCGATTCTTCACAGTCAAAAAAATCATTTTAGTGCTCAATTGAAAATTTGGGGTGTACATTGGATATTTAGTGACACCAGCAAATCCATTGACTCCGCTCTCCAACTTTTATCGATCCTCTTGCAGTGTGCAATGAATTCAATGAAATTGATTTATTCAGGCAAATAGTTAGCTTGCCTTTTGATATCATTTTCATCGGTGATCAACGATCATAATAACGTTGCTACTAGACAACTCAATCATAAATGATCATTCATCAAAATGTTTTGTCGACAGTTTGCATGGATAGTCCAACCGTTTATATTAGCTCATCCTATTAATTTATCCAGTACAGTACTGTACAAGAGTCCAGGTTACTGTAGAAATACTTTCAATCAAGAGAGTACAGAAAAAGAGTAGCAACGTGTGCAAAGGATTTGTTGGTTATTGCTTACTCTACCATTACGGTACAGTGTATATTAATTAGAATACGCTGATATGGATATCATTAATTGGTAATTGATAGTTTTCTTTATCCATCGTCTGCACTTGCTCTACCCCTTTGTCACACCATTCAATAACAAATGCTAACTTATGTGCAATATCCAAATTAATATTGTACTATCGACAGTACTATCAATCAAAATGACCATCTCTGTTTGCTAATAGATCAGCTACAATAAATAACGATAATATTACAATGGAAAATCATCAACCAAACACGATCAATTTATCTTTATGTCGCTGTAATTAAGAAAAATAGAATAACCTATAATGACAGCCATTAACACAATCGTGTAATAGGTCGCTCATGTCTTGCGCCAAGGTGGCGCGGAACGTGAATATTACTTATCAACCCTTGTAACACATGCAATCTGCCAAGATTCCAGCCACGATGATTATTCGAAAGCCGAAAATTACAGCTTAGACATCGTTAAAGTAAGTACCATGAAACTGATATTGTCTTCAAATTTTACAATGGTAACCAATGTAATTTGTTGACAGCTAATTATTCTACTAATTAACGGCTACTAAGTACGTTAAAATGATGATAATACAGCACATACTGAAAGTGAACGACTAATTTTTCCTTTCAATTTGTACCATAACAGCCTGATTGGGTCATCATGTCAGCGAAACATGGCAGGATGTTACCGTATCTTTTATCATAGCTTGTCTTTGTAGTATCATCATACAGTACTTCCGTGTTCCTAAATCGACATTACATTGGTTATTGAAAAGATTTCAGCTTTAATCTATGTAACATCACTAGAGTGTATAAGTTACAAAGCTAGAGTTAAAACATGTACTGCGATCGTTATGCTACATTATATTCCTAAACTGCCACCTATGGGATTTAGATGTTACCCGTACCTTGTCAATTCATCTAGGATTTTCCAGAATACTCTAGTAGCCTTTTGGAAGGTAATCTTCCCACCATGTGGCAAGGCATAGTATCAGTTTTTGCAGTGCTTCATACAGCAAATGATTACACTATAGTCAATATGTCTTCCATATCTTTGATCTTGTTGATCAATCCAAGTTAATTTCAGCTTACATCATTGAATAAGAGGTTTCGTTATCTGCTATAGATATGTTCTGAAGACCAGAAGAAATTATGGGCAATGCTAACTTTTCATGGTGGAACTTTTACCAACACTATCCATTCTAAGTGTACTCATATCATAGTTGGTGATAAAAATTGGGTAGGTGATGCTTAACGACAACGGTAACAATCAATCCTGTACCTGCTGTTCTGCAATCGAAATAGTTTTAATCCCATATTCTAATAAGAGAGGTTAAATATGCAGTTTTTAAACGACTTGATTTCATTTAGGAAGCAGACGATGAGATGGACTTGAAATCTACTCAAGGAATTAATATTGTCACGCCTTATTGGATTACTCACAGTATTAAAGCTGGTACCAAATTGAATGAAGAACTATTTACAATTGACGATGACAAGCCAAATCACCATGTTAAAGGCGCTACCTTACCGGCTGAAAGTAAAAATGATGCTCAAGAAATTGTTGATAAAAGTGATGGCAAAATCAAATGCGAACAAGTATTGCAAAACGCTCATCGGGCTAAATCGATAATACGCATAGATACAAAAAATAAAGCTCAACCTAAATCTTGTACAGAAGGGAGTCAAAATATAATTCAATATAGTGTAAATGAATCAAACTTGGAAAATCCTGCTATGTCTGCACTTGGCACTTTTGATTACTTTGGACCCCCGAAAAGGACTAAGATGCCTTTGATTGGTACAACTGGTAATATCAATGATACAGCTTTACCTATTGATAAGAATAATAAACAATCGCAAGAGTTTGGCATTACTAAAAGTGCAGCTGATGATAGCGATGAAAAGCAGCCAAAACATGCCGGCAATATAAAGCAAGTTATGAAGGCTGTTGGTAGGATTGACTCTACTGATGATGCTGACATAAATTTACACCTAGTAAATATATCTAATCACAAGAAATCATCAATCAATATTTCTGAAAATAAGCAATTACAAGTTGAGGATTCAAGTAAGAGGAAAGATGCACTTTCTACATGTGATAATAGCAAAATTGAAGATGCAAGTCAGATTGATAGCACTACAAAAACTATGAATTTAAAACATTCCCAAGAGATAAATAAAGATATTAAATCAACTTCCTTAACAAGTGCAATATTAAATGATCAATATGTTTTTAACACAAAGTACAAAAACTCATGTGAGAAACTGGAAATTGCAACCGAAAAATCAGGATTGATAACAACTGAGGAGCAACGACGAGCTAGATGTCAGGAAGCCAAGCCAGCTGATGAAAGTTTCACCCCAAATACCCAAACCTCCATAAGTAATTACAGTAAATTAGAGTCTGTAAATGAGGTAGAACTTCCTGTTAACCTGAATAACAATCAACGTTCTGAAGTTACGAGCACAATAAACACAGCTGTCACTGTTAGCAATAAGAACAATGAGATACCGATTAACAAAAATATGAAGACAACTGCGGTAAATGTCGGTCTACCCCAAGATATTTTGGAATCTGATTCGATGATTAATATGGAAGTAAATAAAATAAGCGAAGATGTTCTCACTAAAGATTCCGCATTATCAACCGATATAGATAAAAATTTATTTGGTCCTGGTAGCGACCGGACGGGAAAAACTGCAGATCAGAATAATAGCATCATTATTGGTAGTTCTGTTATTGAAAATAAAATGCGTCAACGTTATCTCCTCGTAGGATGTGTCTTTCTCATAATTGACTACCAACAAGATGTCGATGATGGAATTATTAGTATATGGAAAAAGGTGAATATACGTAATATGATAATTAATTTGTACTTTACTTAATATAAATTCTATGACTGGTCATTGCAAGATCAGTTATAAGTTATACACTATTAAATTAGGTATATGATCATGGCGATTTTTATTTTTCCTTGCTATAATATATGAGATCAAAAGTTCTGAAAAAACGTAATAAAGCCAGTTGCATTCTACTCAAGCATTCATACCATTAATTTTGATATAGGCAATTGCCGAACGTGGCGGAGAGACAGTGGATAAATACAGCCAAAAATGTACACATATACTGTGCTACGATAGAATGAGTGAAACTTATAAGCTGGCAAGTAAAAATACAATAGTATCAATATCTAAGACTCACTGCGATTAACTTATCGCAGCCATACCTTAGTTATACCTGTTCTGTCTTTTAGGCACTTCGTGACGGTAAAAAGATTGCCACGATTTGTTGGTTGAATGATGTGTTGCGGAAAGAGGAAATTTTTACACCCCGCGATTGCATGCAGATACCTGTACCATCAAAGTATATAATTGACGCCTGTAAAGAAATGGTAATGTACCGTGGCGGTGTAGATTAGATTACCAATGGTGTATTTTTGCTTATCGAAGGATATCTCTGAATTAGGTAATTGCTGTAACCGGATACACTGGCAAAGAACGTGACAAAGTTAAAATGATTATCAATGCTATTGGAGCTAATTATACACCTCATTTAAGTAGAAAAAATACCCATTTGATATGTAAAAGGTAGTGTACCGTCAAAACATTTTGCTTGATACCGGATTACTCCCGGATAGTAACTCTTTTCTTTACCATTTTCTATAGCCCATCGGGAGAAAAATTCTTTAAAGCTAAAGAATGGCGAATATTTACCGTAAATTGCAAATGGCTAGCAGATATCTTAAATAGTATGTAAAATTTATCAATTTTTGGTTGCATTCACAGTCAACTATAATTATTGATCTAAAGCTTAAACGTTAATTGTTAATATTACAGCTGGTATTGTTGCGCCTTGTGCCATGGAGCGCTACATCCAGTTTGGTAAACCAAATGAAATGAGTCTGGAATACGAATGCAACGAGCCAATACTAAGTTAGTTGTTTTGTAGTGAATAACCTTGCTTAGAATGTAAATGTTTAAAAATTAAAAAACCACCTTATCCTTGATAGGAATTTGGAAATCAAAGAAAAGAAATCATTCAACAAGTGATAGCGATGATGATGACGTACGTTTTTAAACATAAGTCATTTAATTAATTTTAAGCGAGCCAATCTAGCTGCAGTTTTGAAGATAGTAAAATGTCAATGTGTTGCTAATCTCTGTTCCTTGTAACATTGTTATTGAGGATGATTATATTGCTTACCTTATTTCCGCAGATTTTTACAGTACGGAGGAAAAAGAGGGGATTCAATAGCGAAATGTAATGAGCTAATATTGCAGTATTATGACAATGTATTACACCTAAAGCATTAGAAATCACTTTAAGTTTACTTAAATCAAACAGGAATAGCCATATGAGTCGATGTGTTGACGTCAACGATGATCTGCCTATAAGAACTGTGCGAGCTGTCATAACTGGTCTTGATAAAGTTGAATCCGAAAAATTAGCGAAAGTATATTTTTACATATTATAGCAATCTGATACACCTACATAAATAAGCGTATTAATGTGAATCTGGCTTATAGATGCTGAGTTACCTAGGAGCGACGATCACAGAAGATTTTCGAAAGTGCACTCATTTAATTACCCAAAAGGTCCACTAAGACAAATACTCAGCATGTCATTGAATCTTTGGAATTACTAAATCCGCCGATTTTCATATTTCTTCATATTTATGTTGTGTGTATCAGATTACCCGTACGGAGAAATTCTTATGCTGTTTCGCTACGTGCCGACACGTAATAAGGTCAGAATGGGTAGAGCAAAGTTATCGTCTTGGAAGTTTTGCAGGTATAACGTTACCTTGAGATTTAGACAGTTGAAGAATCTACGTGACGCCATTAACCTTTAAATCAACAGATGAAACTCAATTTGAAGTGATTGACATGTCGACAGAAAAATATTACAGCTTTTCCCTAAGAAAGTCCTTACAGATGGCTACATTACGACCTGTATTCGAGGTAATTGTTGCGAAATATTGCGTATCAATCGTACGAATCTGTAAGTTGCCCTTCTTATTTTACTTAATGTTGACATGTAACTCTTAAAATGTCGTCATCAACATGGCTGTAGGATATGACCTTTTACGTAACAAGGAATGTCAAGCCAGACTTGCAGACGATGAACAATATAATCCATTACAATGGAGGAGAGGTAATATTAATTTTAAACGTAAATTGACTTTAGTAATGAGATGCGGTAATCGTATGCAACAGTGTATTATAGACTGTAAATAAAATTTAGTTTTCACTTATTTCGCTTGATGCTTTCTATATATTATTATAGGTGGTTACTTACACACTTGCTATCAAGATTTTGATGGACGTTAATTCATGTGTGCGTATTACATAAACAATTGCTTCCCAATACTGGAATTGTCTGAATTTTGTAATTTTTATGATAACTTAATACAGAAGGAATTATTTATAATATCGTGCCCTAAGGATAAAGACGAATGCTTCAACATAAGAACGCGTCGACATTCGATCGGTAAGTTCTGACTTTATAACTATTAGAATGTGTAACTTGTGATTTTTACAATTACAGAATAACTGACTCTGTCTCATTGTAATTTGCTCTCTATTCTTAAATTAGAATTTTACACTGCTGATTTTGTGGTTATAAGTATACTTCGCCAGAAAGTTAACAAGCAATCATATCCTTTGATAGAAACCAATTCGTCAGTTGCTTTCTAAACTTATATATAATACCTACATATACTCTTGACGAGAAAATTTTTGAACATTAAAACCTATTCTATATGCTTAAAATCTTTTTCTACGATTTATGTATTCTTAACTAAACGTAAGCATCGACTTCTTGTTGGAAATCCAACGGTAACGTGATAGTAACGAAAAACAGGACTTACTTACAATTTGTCCTAAGCATGGAAATACATATTTTTCTTTTTCGACAGAATTTATTTATTAATAATATTGCCTATATTACTTTAAATGTATAATTTAATAATATAATAATATTTAACTTACGCTTGGTCAAATTTCGATTACACTTATTAGGTGTTGAATTACTACTAACAAATTATAATGGAATAAGTTTATGTAATTAACAATTTTAATAACTCTGACGCTACATGAACGTTAAGGCTATTTCCTAAAAGACGATAACACTGCTTTTTAGTAGCATTTTCAGGAAAATTAAAATGTACTGGAAAGCAATGAATATTTGCGACTTCTCTAGGTGTAAAATATCGAAGTTTAAGATGCTGTAATAGTTGGTTATCATCATTGGAAGTATCATTAATTTTCAAATTGAGATTGCTATCCTATAAATTGTAAGATTAATATTCTGATTATTGGCATTCATTTTTGTGCACATTATACTTTATCTAACAATATTATCATTTTATATATTTAATTTAATATATTGTATGAAAACTTTAATGTCAATTGCAGTACTTACTAAAATTGGGTTTGTTATTTGTAATACGGATCCTGTTCCTTCGGCGTAATGGAAGTAACTAAATTTTTCAAGTGGGAAAAATGATCTAATATCAATGACTACTTGTAAGAAATTTCTTGAATAAAAAATGCATTATTTTTTCTCTGAAATAATACGCTTGCAAAGTAAATTTAATATCTAAGCGATTAGCTCATAAATAATGATAATACTTGGCTTACGATTTAGTAAAACAGCACGATCTTTGCGAATCGGGTTTCACAACATCTTAAAATTAAATAGAAAATACTTAAATAATCTAAAATAACATCTAGTTCAATACTATTAATAACAGCACGTATGAGTAATAAAAAATATAGGACCACACTACCTAATACTTTAAGAAATCGCTCTATTGTTGATTGCGGCAAGAAATATGATTGGATACTATGATTTGTCAAATTTTCCATAAAGTCCGAAACACATCTGACCTTACTGACTTGGCCTGTATTATCAAAATAGGACATTGGAATTCGTATAAGACATGGCTGATGACCAAATTTTGATTGATCAATTGGGTTAAAGTACAAGAACGTCAGTATTTGTGCGCAGTCCAGTACACTTGACCGCGGTAAAACTCTAAGTTAAGTATTTCATCCTTTTACCGAAATTCGGAAGTTCCATCATAACCTTTTGCATTACCGAATGCATCAAGCGATATGAGTTTCATATTTCATAAAAATAGGATACAATAGATAGCTTGTCATGAAACGTAATCATTCCCTTAATAGCAGTAAAAATGTATTCTAAAAGAGATTCTATCATTTCCTCTATACATAATTATGTAATGAGTCATTTCCGAATATAAATTATAATTATCAGAGTCAAATTACGATATCAAATTGACACGGATTTAAATTCCATGAGATTGTACAATATGATAACAATAGTCGCAGGAATTAACAGAAAGATATAGTTATATTAATTAATAAATGCAAGAAAATCTACCGTACCTCTTCTGTTGTAGGAAATGACAAGTTTGCATCTCTTGTGCAAATTATGTAATACCTTAATCTAGAATTTGGTATCCCAAACTGGACAAAATCAAAGCGTAATGAAGAAACAATATACCTTTATGTACGTTTAGTTATTGGCTAGTTGTGATTATGATGTAACATAAATTATTTAGCTATGTTTTTGTTGATAGTGTTAGCAATTTGTCTTACTCACTATCATACAATAGCTGATAAGATTTATAGTGCATGAATTGACATTAGCGTACCTGTAATGGTGTCAATAAAAATTCCTGTAACGACAGTATAGCCAAAAGTCAGGTTAAAAATATCAAAATAAACAAACGTATGAGAGAATTTACATTTCATTACATTTCTACCTATGTAATACATGCTCGCATGTGAAGCTAACAACTACAATACTTTTACGTATCAAGGTAATCAAGTATAACAAGAAAATATTAGCCCTAATGCTTACTTGATAGGAATAATTACGCTGTTTCAAGGCTGAAATAAGGGCATTTCTAAAAACATAATTTATCAATCCCTTTCAATTTGGAAAATGCAAATAATCTGCTAACACAAGAATAATTTCAGTAATAATATGGAAGCCGATTTAGTTATTTTATTAGCCTTCATATAAACAATAGATAAATGACATTATCAATCTGTTCAATAACTAACCTAGCTGCGGAAGTTTCAAAACCTTTTACATTCTCTAACAAAATATACTTTGGAGGGTTTTCCATTCTAATACAGGTTAATAAAAGTCAATACAAGTTTGGCTAAAGATTAATTAATTTGAAAGTACAGTATAGCCACATCTCTTAATGTCCAATAAATGAAGTGATGATAATTCTTATCCAATTGACTTACTTTATCAATAAATCAATAACATGTAAAAAGCTGCTGGTGCGAGCATCGTTAACATCCGCTTTTTTACCAAGCCTTTTTGAAAAGATATTTTATAGTAAAACGTAGAAAAAGATAAATGGTTAATCAACTACGTTAGTATAACTCTAGTTTACTGCGAGACAATCATTGAGATAACTCCATGTTCTAGGTAATTAAATGATTATTCTATCCTAATTTATTTATCAAACCTTGTAAAAGGCTGGCAAGGAGGCGACATAGTATATAAATCACCATTAAGTTCTTGTAATTCTTTCAACGATATTTTCTGCTCATTCATTTTGATTGATCATGATTGTATTACGTTCCATTAATGTTTTATGACCAAAAAAGACACACCGTCAATATTGTACATTAATCATTGATTGATCTTTACAAAGTAATTGAATACTCAATAAAATCGATTCTTACTCCTATCTCTCGCTGCCATACTGGTGTATTGCCAAAGTTATGACGGTAGACATTATTTGCAACAGTATTAATGTCAATGGCCGCTAAAATTTTTGCATTGATGTTACTCTCTGTAGGAAATTAGCAAGTACGACTTAGTAATTGCTTGTGTTGTATTATTCCACATAGTCTATATTATTTTTATTTCGGAGCCATTCGTCTACTGTCATTTTAAAGATAATATTACTGTCTACTGATTTATACTATTAATTTGCCCTTGTACAATCCTCGATTGTACAAATGTAGGTAAAATTATGTATACTATTCACTATTCTAAATTATTGAGCAGTGAGTATGATTGAATTATGTCTATCTACCTTGTAATGCATAATGCATGCCTCCAATGCCACTGTAAAACTCCACTACCTGCATTACTTGACCTCGAGCAGACGACATGATTACGACAATATTGCGTACAAGTTATTAGATGATCATTCCCACAACGGGCATCATAATAAACTCATTGATATTACCATAACAACTGCATCAATTCGTCATCACCTTACAGTATCTAACCTATCGCTTTGATATTTCTATCACCAAATCACGAACTACTTGCAACTAGCACCTACGATGGCAAAACGAGCTCTCACTGCTAAGTGCTGCCCTACTGTAGGTCTCCGAGCAACCAGGCTCGGCTGCTCGTCAGCCGAGTTCCCAACCTGCAGACTACAGTACAGCACCGTACAGTATGTACTGTAGAGTGTACAGTACAAAGTATTTTGAAGTTACGATACCACGGTAGCACTGTTGGCACTGTACACTGTACGCTCATTGGTCATGGCACGGCTCCATCTACGCCTGCGCAAGTTCAAAATCTTCCTGTGCAGATTGGCGGACTTAGCCCTTCGCGACTGCGATGAGATTAAACTTGTTTCCATTCTACTCTTATTCTGCAACGCCTGCCTTGAAAGAGAAATTGAACAGGTAAATTGCAATAGATTGATAGAATGGTTGGGATTGATCCAAGCGATCCATCCCTTCCAGTCACAAAGCAAATATGATCCGATAATGCCTGTTGATTATAGCGAAAATGCATGGATTACGCTGTAGTTTAAGCCAGTACAGTAGAATGGACGTAGGGTAGATCCATGTCTGCAGCCTACCTTGCCTAAAGGCTAAGGCCCTAACTAACCATCGCCATGAACAAGCTTAAGGAGAATTGGTTGGCCGCACCGAAAGGATTACAGCAAGGCATACAGTCATATTACGCCTAGATCGTCTGTCAAAGTAGCTAGTATCACTTCAGGTCCCCCTATTATGTATTGCAGTGTTCTCATCTAGTAGGATCTACCATGACCTGTTACCAACTTTCTCAACTCGCCACGTCTTGATGACAAGCAGAGGACTTGTACGACTTCTAAAATCCTTCATCGTATTACCACTGTCCTTCGTTAGGAGAACACCTTAAATGGTGTTTTAATGCTCAAGCTATGAAGCACGAAAAATGACCACGTTCTTGTAAATATCCAACTGCCTTATACGTAGATAGGACAACCCGGTGTCAACATGCATCCTTACGCTTATATTTATGGACAATCGGCTTGAAGCTCGAGCGATGTGGATGTCTTTCAGTCTCAAGCTTTCATAAATTACAAAGTTCACTAATAAGTGGATCTAACGCCTAGTTAGGATACATTCCTTCAGACATACTGTACATGCTGTACTTGAGAAGATGACACTTACAGTACATATACTGTACTTTATCATAGCACAGTACATTATATCTGTATAAAAGCATCGTCTACTTTCTGCACAATAAATTCCTTTCTGTCAACAATTTTTTCGATCAATGTTGGACTTGGTACGTCACATGCTGACCATCTAGTGTACAGTAGAGTTCACGAACGCATACTGTGCATCATCGCTAGACGAAAATTGATACCTTTCTATTATTAATCTCTAAAATAACACCGATTGAGACCCCTGAATTATATTAACGGTAACTGTTCAAAAACTTTATTTACGCTCAATACCCACACTGTGAAAATGCTACCATTGGTAGTATTAACAACGAGTGGAGTAGTTGTTCCAATGGTGTATTTTATTTTACCCCGTAATCGAAGCTGTCGTGATAATTGAATGCATTTATTGTATGTCATGGACGATTTTGGCGATTATGATGAGTTTGATGATTTTTACGATTTATAGGACTATGAAGATTTGTTTATGCTAGTAGGCGTAGTAGCAATTTTAGTAGCAATTCTTGATTGCGAAACCAAATGTAAAATTAAATACTGATCACCATGTTACATTTTTGAAGTTTCCAGAATACCGAAGAATGAGCCAAACGTCGTCAGTTCAAGGGCCACGAGTGGTCGACTTGACTGACAATAATTCTGATCGTGCTAGTGATGAATATACTAACGAAAGTACTGAGACTGAAAGCGAAGAGGACGACGTTAGCGACAATCAAGGAAATAGACAGCAAGAAGAAACCAATCAACTACCCCAAGCATCTGCAGAAAAATCTAATGAAAGCGATGGCGACGTGAGTTCACTCCTTGTCATATTTCACTTTACAGCCTTGCTACAGGAATGTCGAATAAACCTACAGTAATTCGTATCTGCAACCTCATGATTATTCGCTAATGATACATCAACGACTCATTCATTATCTTTATCCCATAATTATCAAAGAATCGTAAAGGGACTAATCGTAAATTAATCATATCTCTATCCTAGATTTGCTCCATTTGCTTCGAACCGTTTTCCAATTCTGGTGATCATCGACTCAGTTGCTTGAAGTGCGGTCATTTATTCGGCTTCGGGTACGAGATGATTCCATGTGATGACATGACTTTCCTTCTCTGATAACTATATGATTAAAATTATTAAATTTGTGCACCATTAAAGTCTATTCCTTCTGGTTTTATGGATAGTTATATCTATCCTACAATTAACAATAATATACGGTACAGGTAGTCTGATGTTTCTCTTAATGCAGTCATGAGATGTAGCATGACTTGTTAAGGGCCAACGGCTACTTCTATTTTCTAGCCTTTAGCTTTATTGTTAATGGCTTAGCTTGTTGTAAACCTTTTCTAGATCATCAGGTTTTACCCTATTACTGATCTAATTTATTAAGCATCTGCTATAAACACACGCTACCAATTCCTCATAACCTAAAAAACCTAATGAGTTGAATTTCTTTCATCGCTTAAATCCCTTTATCCTGAAAGTGAATTGGAAAATCTGCTTTTCAGCATATAAATAGACTTGGTTGTCTAAATGGTTACCTTTAATATTAATCACCCATGTAATATTTTTTTAGGAAGATGGCTCATAGCACAGTATTTACTAGTTTACGGCGATTAGATCGCTTATTATGACAATTTGAAACTACTTGTACAATGTGCAAGTTGTGGGTCTATGTCTTTAATTATCGTAATCGGAAATCGATAAAATCTGCTGAGGTTCTATGTCTACTCTTAATTATTATAATGTGTTATTACTCAGTTGCATTAGTAAATGGCTAAATGGCAAGAAAGGAAATTCTGCGAAATGTCCCCAATGCAATGCTCTCTCTAAAAAATCAGACATACGAATATTATTCGCTAAAAGTATTAAAGTGATTGATACAACGGAGCGAGATCGAGCTGTAGAAGACTGGAAACGAGAACGAATGCTTCGACTAGCTGCTGAGCAACATGTAGAACAACTTAAATTGGTTAACAAAGAATATGAAAGAAAGATAGCTCAAGAAGATGAAAGAAATGTCGGTAAACATCAAGGTCAATCAGCTAGCAGGTATTAAAACTTGTAACGTGATCGCAATAACCTAGCATAAAGTTTCATTAAGTTGTACAGGTAGTAGTTTCCATTCACTTTTACTTGTAATAACTTTAGTTCATCATTTAATTTTTAATTTCAGTTCCAAGGGAAACTTATATGAAAATTCGCCTAAAAAGGCAAAATTAATGCCATCCGGTTACCATTATAAGACTACTGTCCAAATATCACAGGTTAGAATGGATTCGGACTTTGTTCCATTTTAGACGTTCAATAATGTGGATGGTAAATTGACTATCTCAAATGTCGTGTAACATAACTATGTAATGGTTACCTACGTATATGCATTATGCATTTTTAGCAAGGAAACTGTAGAGTCATGGCATTCGACGTCTGCTCGGCAAACTTGTTAGTTTCCAAGCCATCTCAAAATCGCTTATTTCCTGGCTTTGGAATCGTCAAGGTTCTTTTCTAACATTTAAATGTTTATCTCATAAAATACACTATTATTACATAGTCGATTTTTTATGCTAGCCTTCAATTTTCTGAGTATTGTCTTTCTTTGCATTAATAACATTGCAGATCAGTTCACTAGATGTGCGAAATCCCTTTTTTCTAAAACTACATAATAAAGATATCAGAGACCTTAAATTCAACCAAAGTGGCGATAATCTGCTCTTGAGCGCATCTCTAGATAAAACCCTTAAAATTACTAGCATGTCGACGGACAATGTTGTGCAAACGTAAGTTACCAAGTTATTATTCCAAGACCTTAACCATCTCACGTTATAAATATTATCTACATAATAAAAATAAATATTTTTATTTCATCATCACAATATCGCCAAAGTTATAAGTGTGAATTGCCTGTATGGTCATGCGCCTGGAATACAGTGGATACAAACTATATATATGCTGGTGTTAGCAATGGATCCTGTTTAGTTTATGACATGCGTAATACCTCTGAACATGTTAAAGCTATCCAGGCTGGCAATTGTCCTGTTGTGTCTCTAGCCTATGTACCTCATAATCCTAGCTCAACTTTAGGGTAAGAACCTATCTGTGTAGTACGCATACCTATGGTACTACGGGTTACGATGAATAATTATTTAATTAGTGCACCATATCTTAAACTAACGTTATTTTTCATTACCACATCGTAATGTCGACAGAGGCTTTATAAAACTGGTTTAATATTTTTTAATTTTGTTTTTTATTATTACATCGTAATATCTAAAGTAGCTATACAAAACCAGTGTAATGAATTCTATTTGCTTATAATACAATGAAGGGCTGCCGGAATCTTAGCAGGAACTCTTAGGAACTGTTATTTTATCTATAATGCTAATTTATCCGAGTTTGTGCCTTACCAAATACAACTGCCAGAAGGTATCCGCTATTGGTCGTTATGTTTATCTTAAACTTGTACTACATATTACTTGATTTATTACAGGTTCCCTCACTTCTATGTCATTCGACCCTTTATCAAGACATTGCCTTTTTAGCTATAGGCCCTCACAATCAATCCCAAGAACTAGGCATATGGTAATTATAAAAACGTAAAATTTTATCGTAACGCTTTAGATTCTATTACAACCTAATGTGACCTACTTGTTTTCTGTATGCAAATTATAAACCATTACTGTACGAGCAATGACAACATTAAAAATTAGTATTTTAATTAACTTCGTTGTTTTAACATAATATTGCAGGTATGTGAGCTATCGTTGCAAGAAAATGTTGATGGACGTTCTTGCGAAAGTAAAGTGTTACATTCCTTTTACGGTAGTAATGTTCACAGATTATTGTCTCGTTCTATGCTTTACCCTCATCCTGGAGTTCCAGGCAAATCGATCGTTTGTGCTGGGGATGAATCAACTAAAACGGTACTATAACTATAATTTGCACGAAAAAATGATTTATGTTTCTACGACAACTAAGCATTTACTGTCGATTTTCTACCAATTAAGGTCAAGTTATGGAGTACAGAATCTGGTGCTGAAGTACAAACGTTACCACCACTAACCTCACCTCCGTTAGACTTTACCGTTGTACCCGTCCCAGGCAATGTTCACTATTTGGGTACACTTACAGATCATAATATCATTTACTATCAATGGCAGTAGGATTATAATGGAATCAGTATTTTACAATTTGTAAATCTTTATGCAATATATTTTTGTATATTATGTGTATATATATATATATATATATGAAATGAAATCGAGAACTGATTCTTATGTGTAAACTACTTCTACAGTCTAATTGTAACTATCTACGGCAATGAATATTTCGTATTTTCAGATTCCTTGTTATTGTCCATTGTGATTGTAATACTTTAACTAAAAATATTTTCAAGATCGTGTAAGGTAACTGGCACTGTAACAAAGCGATACCATTTGTAAATATGTGATATATAACCAATCCTGTATATAACTACTGTGACATTACTTTACCTAGATATTACTATTTTTACATTTTGTAATCTTAAAATATTGAATTGATATCGACTCGATTGAGTAAATGTTACAATAGATTAACAGTAAATTATATATTAAGATCAATAATATATGCTATCAATTCGTGAAGGTAATTTTGTTGAACTAAAAACTCATCAATTACTGCCAAGGATAATTCAAATTTATTTCTGAATCCCCCCCGTATATGATTAATTTACCAAATATAACTTTACTTAATTAACGTTGGTTCGATTGATACTGATCTGAACTAACCGTAGTCGGCCATCATACGGTATAAGAACTTGTAGAAAAAGGTAATACACAAATATTGCAGAAATCTTTACCGTTTTTTTTATAATACCAGCAGGAATCGAAATTCTGATGGAGAGTTAATTAACTTTATGCAAAATTCTAATAAATCTACCTGTAAATAGCGATGTTTAGTCTAGTCGTCTAATCACAAACAAGGCACCTTTCATGATTGCATACGGACAACTGACTTTTAATAGATACTACCCATTCTTAAATATATGATGTACAGTATTATACATTTGCGTAGAACGATTTTAATTATTAATAATTCTACGTAAAGTACATGCTATTTCTAGCAGGAAACAACCACTTATTAAGAATCTTAAATAAATTGAATTGAAAGTCATCGATATAATTTATTGGATACTGCAATGCGATAAGTCAATAGACAATTTCACTCGAGGTATATAAATAAACCCTTTCGAGGTCAATAAATCAACCTTCTTTCAAAATAACACTTGGTGATTAATTAATAATTATAATCACGCAGGAAACGTGTGATCTATCCTTCTCATACTTTATACTGTGCATACAAACTGAATTTACAAATGATGATCAACTTACGAAATGTATTGTATGGAGATGTATGATCTATCATACTGCGCACACAAAACTGAATCTACAGATATCGAACCGTTTACACTTGGATGATTAATTCCCAAAGTGGTTGATATCGGTTAATTAACATTGGTCACGTTGACGTGCTGATTGGACCTAATTGTTACGTATCCTTGTAATAAAGAGAAACTAACAAAAGCAGAATTTACAATTATTCCAAATCAGCATCTTATAATTTTTTGAATTATGCTAGTAGAAAAATTACATATTGAACAAATAATTCAAAAATTTCAGGAAAATATTATTTCGTTAATTCTTCATACCATTCGCACTGTTGTGTAATGATATTCACGATCTTTCAGTTTTCATTTATTTAAAATTTTAATAAGTCAATTCCGAAATCGTAAAAACTGTCTGTTATGGTTAGAAAACAATCAGATAAATCGAGTAACAGTTGTATTTCAAAGCCAAATGTTAAACCAACGGATTCTAAGCTTGCTTAATCTTCTTTGTCCTATTGTTTTTAATTATTAAGTAAATCAACATGCAACACACTTGCACTAGTGCCAGTCCAGTGAATAATCGAATAACTTGTGTCCAACCAAACATCTTTATAACTAAACTAACCGGATAGCCAGATGAAATGCCGCCAACTATGACAAAAAATAACGATAGAATATCGACAAATATACATATAACGACAACATAATAAATTCATATTGAATGATTACTCATAGAAAATTGTCAATTGTGATACTTTTTAGTCTTTCTAATGCAATACCCGTACTCATAATTATCATACTGTCTAATATTGTATCGATTTATCTATACTCACTATTGCCAAAAAGTGTTAAGACGGTATGAGATCTCCCTGCAATACTAGCAGGGACACTCTCCATAGAAACAACGCCTAGTAATGAGATAATTCCACAAATAGTACATCCAAGAAAAAACAGTGACACATGCACAATTACCTATAATCATATGGAAAAAAAAGAAATGAGCAAGAACAAACTTTAAGAAGTATACATTTCCAATCTTTAGCAATCCTGGTATTATATTACTCAATATACGCGCTAGTTTCAGCGTGTGCAGTAAAATCGCAAAGTACCATATCAGCATTTGAAGGTTGAAGGAGAAGAATCAGAAAGGCGATAAAACATATCCCGGCAATAAACATGGTAAAAAAAACTCTGTCGCTAGCACTAAGTGGTTCTGAACGATCTTTCCGTCGCCAATTCTGTAAATAATATAGTACACGTATCATTATACTTATACACGTACATTCCATTAAATCATTTGTCAAAAATCCTTTACCAATAGCGAATCGGAGATATAACCAGCTACTAGAGTTCCAGTAATTCCTCCAATATCGAATGAACCAATCGCGGCAGCAGCTGCAGTATAAAACACAAAAAAGTACTACATTTAACTATTGCTATAATTTGAATAGCCAATAAGCATTTATTGCAGCTATTCTACAAACTACCCAATTATAAGTCAACTGACTTGCAGTACTAAGAATACAATCATAACTTTGACTACTATTGATAGCTAATGTAATGTATAGCGATAAGACCTTGTGTAATTTCTATTAAGTATTATAATTGTAAGTAGTGTCCATCGATATCGTCTTTTCTGAGCTGCAAATTGCATTTGTCAAATCCTCAGATATTAATGGAAAGATCGTTACGATTATAAATAATTTAATCCTTTGATACCATTATCAATAACAGAAAATTAATTTTACACCACATAATCATTAGTTTTATTTACTTGGTCAGTTTTTATACCCTAATTGTAGTAACATAACCATCGTTGGATATATTTACCTGAAACTTCAGTGTAATTTTTATCTTGCATAAGATACAACTGTGTCCAGTCGATTAAAGATTTCTCCAAGAAAGTGCAAATCATATATGATAGATGGAGAAAATTAGGCAGCGGATCATATACCACAATATGTAACCAATTGATTTGATCATCGAGTTCATCTTGATTCTTTTTTGGCTCGTTATTTTTATTTTTTGGGCTTACGTTAGCTTGCCTTTGAATAACGCCATCATATTGAGATAATCCAATATCGATAGGTGAATCCACAAGGCAAACGAAATTTAGTACTGCTGCCATAACCAATAGTAAAGTAGTACCATAGAAACACCATCTCCAACCGTAGCTATTGATAATGATAGGTAATAGAATTGGAGAAATTAAGCCGCTAACGTTGCTACTTCCAGAGAGGAAGCTCCACCATGTTGCTAGTTCATCAGACTGACACCAATGCATTAATAATTTACCACAGGTAGGCCAAGCGAAACCTATTGATTGTTTATGCACAAAGTATTACTGATGATCACTTGGCAATGTCATACCATCAACTTGTAAACAATTAGGATATCGAATCATGATCACGATCTACTTTATTCATTTTTGCTATCGTCCCTGTAAAACACAATTGTATAGTACATACCTTGGATTAATCCTTCTAAGCTCCAAAATAAAACCAACTGATAAAACTGAGTAGACATTGCAAAAGCTGCACAAAAGATGCTACTAACGAACAAACAAACAGGGTAAAATAAACGTGAGCTAAATGAATCGGCGATGATACCAGCAAAACACTTGCTGATCGCATATGTCAAATAGAATCCAGATGTAATCCAGCCTAGATTGGTTTCATCCAAATCTTCCATTTGCAACATAGCAGGCTTACAAAAAGCAAACGCACGACGCCCAACCACCAATGATGCATAACTGATAAAAATGCACACCATAATGATGTAAAATCGACTTCGATATCGCCGATAATGATCATGTTGATCTTGTTGCTTACTCGACTGAGTTGATACCATAACGGAATATCAATAATATCAATTCAACGGGATAACGATTGACTTGGTATGCTAGAAGATAATCGAAGTATGGTATAAAGTTGTTTTCTGCTGGTAGTGCAGTACAGTAATTGAATTACTCTAATCTACTCTAATCGCTTGTAATCAACGTGTCTAGTAGGTCATTTATTTACAATCTTTTGCAGACCTCTATCGCCACTATCGGATAGTAATCTTTGTCGAATAGGAATGCCCAATAATTGAGAAGAGGCATGAATTAGTTGATGGTGAGAAGAATGAAAATTAGCGAGAAAAGCAGTATCAAGAAGCCAATTAAGGCAGTGTTTCATATAGAAATATACACTCAATAGGAGTTAAGCCTTGTTTCAATCAACAAGAATATAACAAACTCATTTAATTGTAATTATTTATACTGCTGTATAAAGTATGTTAACTATCAAGGAATAGGAGCCCCAACAACAAAGTATCTCACAAGTTTATGTTGATAATTCCTTGATTTTCAGTATCGTAATAAGCCTGTGATGAGTTTGATGGCTACTGATTTGATGTAGCTAATTTCCTCTTCGCACACCAAGTTCAGGCTCGATCTCTCCGGAATAGTGTTTGTTTTTTTTGCTTAATGGTTCAACGATGGATATTATTATTATTAATAGTTGCATAACGACCAGGGTTATACTCCAAGTCCAATACAGTACACTCAGCGCTAGCTATAGCAACATGCATCCTACTATGCATTGCTAATAAACTCAATGGCACCGGCCAACTACTTTACTATAGCCTGTATGCTAATTAGCTTATCAAAAAATAGTAGAAGAGATGATTTATAATGATAAGTTATTGCACCGTATAGCACCATTTGATTGCATGTAATAACTTTCTTAATCCGTTATCGAGAGTAAAAGTATCAAGACAGCAACGTCGAGGTAGCATCAATTTAGTTCAACTCTTACAGAATCAACAATATCCAATCCTTGTATCATGGACTACTAGATGTAATTTAGTAGTCCATGCCTAGGATACTTGATATCTAGGAATTGGATTTAGATTGGACTACCAATGAAAATGTTACTCAACTGTAGTTTTGCCATGAACTGTTATGTTTTCAGCAGTAACAGTATGAAGCCTATGATCGTAAAAATCAGATCTTTGTCGCTAATATTAACTCTCTAATGGATGACAAATAGAAAGTCGAGACTTGATCACTTTACTACACTAAGATACTTTCCAACAAAGTTGAATGAATGACTCCTGCCGTTGTTGTGAGTTTAGATTAGCGTTTTACTAACACTGGCAAGAGCTGAAATGCCATCAGATTAAAGTAAGCAAAGTCTGCTGACAAAGCCATTGAATATGCAATATAGAACAGACAAATAGCTATTAATAAACCGAAAATAAATCAATCGAATTGCTGCAAATTTGCTTTCTGGAGGACATCGCCATTGTGCAATGTACATACCGGACTGTTGGACTGTCACACTACAGTACATACTTTACAGTGTTATAGCCAATCGTGCACAGTATACTGTACACTGTACACTGTAAAAGTGTACAGTACAGTACAGTGCTGACATGACTAGTATGGACAGTATACTGTCTTTATCAGGACCATATTGTATGGGTTTTATTAGCAAGTCGTGAAGTTTCACGGTAGGCAAAACAACAAGCCGCCTGTTAAAATCATACAGGTTTCTTTTCCATGATACAACGCTATAGAAGGAGCACCTTGAAGATTAGCGGTTTGAGCACTATACCTACTGGAGAAGAGACAAAACCTGTGCTTGACGCGCAACGAACACGATGTACTGTACAGTACGTACGCTATGAGCTCCAGCGGACGGTAGCCTGGACTGACACAACTCTGCTAAAGCTTTACAACCGCTGTTCTTGTGGATTTTACTTACTCCATCATCGAAGAAAACACTCCAGTAACCGACAGTAGATCGGAAAAAAAGGGCAAAAAAAACTGTCATGGAGGTACAAAGGGGCGATCTCAATCGTCTTATTATGAACTACTTTGTCACAGAAGGATACAAAGAGGCTGCGGAAAAATTTCAAATAGAAAGTGGTACACCAATTCCTATACTTTCGTCCGATAGCTTAGAGAAAAGAATGAAAATCACCAATGCTGTCCATGATGGCGATATCTCGACCGCAATCTACTTAGTCAATGCTGTCTATCCTGACATTCTCGACTCCAATCCACAATTGTATTTTCATTTACAGCAACAAAAGTTAATCGAATTGATACGAAAGAAAGACATCGAAACAGCGCTAGACTTTGCTCAAACTCACTTAGCTGATCGCGGGATAGAAAATCCACAATTTTTAGAAGAATTAGAACGAACCATGGCTTTGCTGGCATTTGAAGAACCAGAATCATCATCCTTTTCTGATTTATTAAACTCATCTCAACGTCAAAAAGTAGCTAGTGAGTTAAATGCGGCCATCTTAGAGGAAGAAGACTGCAATTCTTCCACAAAAGTAGCTGAATTAATCAAATTATTAGTATGGTCACAACGTGAATTAGACAAAAGTAAAGTCAAATATGACAGAATGACTGATATTGCTCGAGGCCTCATCTCAACCCAAAGTGAATAAAGATAACTGATCCAATCTTGTTTCATGGACTGACGTCGACATCGTTTTATGTAATATTACTATTATTATTGTACTTCACATCCAATCTTGTTTATATGTAAATATATATATATATAATATATATATGCAGTACTATGTAATACGATATATAGTCATACAATATATTGCTATCACCTAGACAACTAAATAAAAGTGTACATCTGTAATCCAATCTTGTCGTTGACAATCTACAGTAACAACTGTTATCGAGTCTTTCTTATATCCATGAATTCATACACCAATTGCCTAAACATAGTCTTACGAGTACAGGCATTAACCAAGCTTAAAATGGATTACTTTCAACGCTATTAACGTAATATTAGTGTCAAATGATATGATTCATATATTGTCCATGGATAGTTACTGACGAATAGTAAGTAAATGCTGTCTGGAAACTCGATATGATGGTATACCTTAAGTTATACAGCATATATTAAAGTGTTCTTAAAGGAATTTTCTTGAATACTTGTTCTAGCCAAAAAGAAATAAAAAAAATTCTATTGCATCTCACAAGCCTATCATTTCCTCTCTTTGATTTACGGATTACTACACAATCTTTTCAGAACGCTTATCTGCGTACTATAGTTATTCAAACCGTTGCGAGCATACCGGAGTACTGGAGTGCTGTACCGCTACTACAGTATAATTATAATACGATTACACTCAATCACGGGAAGTATAATTTCTCAAATAATAACCACATACGAGTACACTCTACCGTTCATGATCTTAGAAGATAATTCACAGTGAAACTAATTTAATGACACCATTATAACATAACATGAACGAATGTTGATGTGTTACGCTACTGTAATATATATATATAACGCAAGTGTAACTCAAAAATAATTATGGCAATGATCGAAATCTTTATTATTTGAAATGGACATCATAATTGGATACAATGAAAGTCGGCCATAAAGAATAGAAGAAAGGTTTACATCAACAAAAGTTTCTTAAAATTTTACCAAAAATGTTAAACTAGTAACAAATAAGAACATATGTAGAACAAAGAGCACTCCATCAGGCCTGATAGTCGGGATTCTTCTTTAAAATTACAAACCCTTCTAAGGTTGTCCCTTCAGGTATATCTGATTCAAGAGAAAGATTTAATCTGTTATAATCTAAAATCAAAACGATGAAAAAATGTTGAAATAGCAATCTAAATTTAAAACTCTACTTACACTCATCCGTCGCAAGCTCTGCTCTTTCACCATGAGTAAGGAGAACAGGTGTTGTATGAGTTTGGAAACCTGTAATGGTTTTCGGCTTTCCTGCTTGTCCAACAACGTCAACAGCCTATTGCAATAATTTAAAGAGTTAGTATACATCAATTGCTAACTTTGAGCGAACCTTATTTGAGAAAAAATGTTACTATTAGTACAATCATCGTTAAAGTTATTACCTGTCCCACACGAACAGAAACTGGTAGAGGCTTCAACTCAGTATCAAATGTTACTAACAAACGAGGATGGATAGCGCAGACGAGACAATATAGCATATAGTGACTTTTACCCAAAATTGCTAAAGGAAAGAATAAACCGCATACTTAGTATCGCCATTTTAAAGAATCGCACTCTACTAATTCAAAGCGATAAAAAGTTGCTCATACTCTCTTTAGCTTCAAGCATACAACAAAGTACAGTGAGGAGACCTCCAAGAGCAACTGGCGATAGTAGAGAACGATCGGAATGGTACGGATTGACAGTCATAGTTCCCTTCCCTAAATGAACTAATCCCTAAACCAACAGAGCCAAACGTAAAACTTGTGCGTATATTGTCAAGGAATCTAATTGATTATTATATCATCTATAATATAAATACACCTTACCTGTGCAATTCTGACCATGAATAAATTATTTGCATCCTTATAATAATACTGTGCAAGTTGTCGTAGCATTCCTGCGATTCTAGCATTATTGGTACCTTCGGACAAACACAATAGTATAATGGCTCGAAAGACAACAATTAAAGTAATTACAACATAAACTATATTTATACTTATTTGTAATACCTGCTGCTACTATACCCAAAGCGAAAATAGCATTGTGTACAACTTCCGTATCATGATCATGAGATAGTTTGCTTAAGGTATCAACAACAGCGAGCTGAGGGTTTGAAGCAGACAACAGTCCTAACGCCAGAGGAATTGCTCTTCTAACTTCGCTATCACAATAGCTTAACTGAAAAATTATTACAAAATGCACCAATTCTTAATGAGTTTTGTCCTTTATAAATACGAACAGATAAATTAGGCTATATACCATATGCCCAAATATTCTAAGAGCCATTTCACTACTAATTTCGTCGCACATTGCCATCAAGCTGATGCTAATCACACTGATTGCTTGTGTAGAACTATAATCAATATCTTTATCTTCATCAGTTGACTTCTTTTCGGCAGTATTTTTCTTAGCGTCATCACCGGTAGCCTTGCTATCATTACTAGATTTTTTAGAATCATCACTTGATTTATCTTTATTATCTTTCGATTGTTTGTCATCTTCATCATTTTTGTCCTTTTGATAATGTGCACTGCAGAACTGCAGTAAAGTCTGAATTCTTAAAACATCTCCACTACCTATATACGAAATATATAATTTCCATTGCAATTAATTGAACACTACTCTTCGTCCAAATTAACCATTGACAGAGCTGACTAATACACGTGCGGTAAACTACTAACCGGCCTGTGAGCAAGACTCTATCAAAATACCAGCGGACTTTTCAAAGGGTTGAGGACACATCTCAATGGCTGCAAGAGGCGCTTCAATTGCATCTCTTTTACCTACGTAATAAAATCAGTTCTCAATGTAAGATAACAAACTCTTTTAAAATACTATCATGACAGAAATTGTTACCAATGTAGGTTAAAGCTAGACCAAGGATCAAGAAAATGGAATTTGCATCTTTATTCAATTGCTCTTTTTTACAACCCATAAGGAATTGCAAAATAGCAGTTGTCACATCGCCATCAGAGGTGCCAATAGCAATTAAGCCGCAAGCGAGAGCCGTTTTACAAGAAACCTGCCGAAAGTAGATATAAACCATATTACTACATCCTCCAATACAAGTAAGTAGTGTAAAAACTGATAGTAATGGTAGGTTACCACGTACCTCAAATGTAGACTTAGGATCATTGATCACAGGTATTAGTAGGTTGATAACGTCTCGACGATGAGACCCAGCATACGCAATACCAAGACTAAGTCAATGCATAAGATGAAGATAAAGACGTTAGTTTAACCAAGTTCTAGGGAATGTCATTACCAATAGAAATTCAGTAGTATACCCTAGCGCGGTGCCAATCCTAATTATTAAGCTATTATGAAGTACGTAGTCCGATAGCAAAGCTAATGCTGGATCGCAATCATTGTAAAGACCACTATTCACTATCCCACATGCCAGCAAGGCTCCAGCCTTAACAATGAAGATACAATTTCAATGTTAACTGAATTGTCACTTTATCATAAACTACATCCAATACTCTACCTTAACGTAATCTTCCGACGCATATAGAAATTTATCAATTTGGGTAAGACCAGCGTCAATATCCCATAACTGTATGAGTCCCATGGATGCAGTAGCACTGAGCATTCCTATCGGTGGAATCAAAGAACAAAATCACATTTCTCATAGAGGCTGTTATATAATTACAACAAGTTGTATGGATAACGTATGATTCAATAATAGCAACATTTCTTGTATTCAAGTATGTCAATAAGAACTGTATTATACCATGATCTTTGTTTTTATGGATCCATTTATTACTATCTTCAGCCATGATTTTGTCACTTCCAAATCCACAATTTAAGAACGCATTAACAAAAGAAGATGCTAAATTTTGCTTCGCAGAATCTACTGTGCGAATATCATATAATCCTATGTGATAGAAACATAATAAAATATACAAGTGATCTTAATACTGAGAAGCTTTGCTAACTTGGAATACATTATAACTCAACTGTTAGGATCTAAGTGACTCTTAAAAATATCTTCCGGAATTTTAGGCTCCATAATATCTAACTGCAATTCAAAATTATACCTCCATGTAAATTATTGATTGAATAGATCATATTTGCTCGTATAATAATCAAAACTCGTCTCTATTTTACCTCACGCGCCAATGACAGAAAATTTGTATTCAAATTTGAATTAGACATAATATCGTATAATTCATCGATAATATCGCCGTTGTTTAATTCTATGAAAATTTGCTGTCTGGCCAATATATACGCCATCTGCTTTTGACCAATTCTATGAATAAAAATAATTCAACAATTATTTCGGTAACGTCACTCGCTTCAGAAGTAGAAACATTTTAAGCTTTCTTAGTAGCATAACGTTTACTAACTCATCTTTGCACTCAGAAAATATTTCAGTTATAAGATCCATGTTGTTCAATTTGATTGCAATACGCAAAGCTTCACAATAGCGATTGAATTTCCTATATATTCTTAAAGTAGTTTTTAGAAACGCTGCATCTTCCGGCTCGACTAAATATTTGGCACAACTAATCATTCAGATAGAATGAAAAAAAAAAGTCAATACATCATAAGTAGATTAGGATAAAGAATTGATAAACGATCGTGATGGTCATTGAGTCGTAAACTCTACGTGTAAATGTATTTAATGAATAAAAAGAATATAATAAAAAGCTATCAAGTACTACCTTGTTAAATAAAGACAAGCGCGATCGTAATTGGATTCGTCGACATAATCTAGCAGCATGTCGGTCCTTTCAATTTCCATTAAGATATCACATGCACCAGCGATAGCATTATGATTTATTTCGAAATGAACAATTTGACGAACAAGGTTAAGCAAATCGTCAATTTCTGGCTTCATGTCTTCATGATTTGAAACACGATCGCAATATTCTACTGAAATTTCATTTGACAAATGCCTAAAATAACGATTGTTGGTTGTTATTAGTAAAGATGTAGAGTCAGTTTACATGATAGCAGCAACTTGTTTTCGGCATATAACATTGACATATTTGACGAACTTTGCATCGTGCATCACTTTTTAAAGACCTACTGACTGAATGTGCATTGATGGCTAGGCGCCATTCCATTTCGGGACATACCTGATGAATTCGTGGCCCCAACTTCCAATATCCTCAACAGATCCTAGCAAACAATACCTTAAACATTCGCCTTCTTCATCTTGTGTCATAGCTAATATCGAAATTATATCAGCTAAAAATTTCTATAAAGTAGTAAAGATATAATAATATTAGTTATACTAGCAAAGCTAGTTGCTCATCATGACGCTGAATGGTAAACTATTTCTTCAATGTGCTATGCAGCTGAGACAGTATCTTAATTTAGCCTTTACTCGATAGATATTTAACGACTATTCAGTAGTAAATAAATTGAAATAATTTGTCAACCTTATTAGCGTTGTCAGTCATCTTAGCATATACATCTTTCAAAGATGGGTAATGAGAACGAAGAAATTTCAAGGGCTTGGGAACGGAAGTCATCGAACTTGTTGACGTACGAATTTGAGTCTTTAATGCTTCCAAAGCAGGTTTATGTAGTTCTACATTATCCTCCTATTCAATATGATATAAAATGGTGAATGTCAATGTACTATTGTACTGTACACTGTTTACTCTAATAGTATATTCGCAAACTTGTACGTATGAATTTATGAAATGATTGCAATGATGTTTGAAAAAGCAATGATATAATCTTACAACTAAAACAAGACAGGTCCATTAGTTACTTATTGACTAGCTGAAGGTATTACCGAACTGTTTAATAACGTGATTTACGTATAGCTTACTGATCTTTACGCCGGCGAGTGAGGACTACTTCTATTGGTGCGTAACATGCTATATCATGCCTTACTGTTTTTCAGGACATAATATGATCATGACTGCAAGACGATGTTACACATGTAACGTGTTTCAACTTTTATTCTGCGAGTAAGTATAATCTATATCCACGTTGTTATGCTGTCGTAGTTTTCTTTTTTTTTTACCTTCTAAAGTGCAGTTAGTCCGCTATTACTCTTCAGCATATAGTACAACCTCGATTATATTACAGTCTTGTCATGTCATGCATGAAATGGAAAAGATGGATATTACACAAGTACAACTATTGTGCGGATGTTATGCACCTAAAAGATGTGCTTGAGTACGCCATTCTTGGTAGAAATGACTATCGTGCTTACCTGTAACCTTTCAACCAACATGTTCAATTCTTCCTTTAACTGTTCATCTTCCTCCGACTAAAAGCAAACAATTATAGATACACTTATTTCAATCATTGGCTGTATACGATCAGGAAAAATAATCTGCCAACTTCACGGAATCATTATGGTACGTAAATATACAGTATCCACTCATTGATCCAAGCCAGGCAAAAAAAAGTATCTAGTTTCCATTTTACCATGGCTACCAGATATTTTTTTTCTCTCTCTCTCACAATCTTCGAACGATTGATCATGGCAGATCGTAGTATCAATCTAAAAATGGATTCTAATTATCTGATGGTTCAACTACACCATCATCACTTTAATTTAGTGAATATCGCTTGCTCATTCAATACTGTCTCCTCTGATCGATTTCAATTAGAACCGCTACTAAGCGTGGAGTCATGGACAAAAAGAGTCCCGTAAGTCCACTCCCTTACTATACAGTAGACTAGTAGTAGAAGTCCAGTCAGTAGACTGACTACAGTCGATGGTAGACTGTAGTGCAAGCTTTAGTATCGCATTCAACAGTTTGAAAGGTAGAATGAAGGCCATGTTAGCCTTTGTTTGCTATCCATAACTCACCAGTTCTTCATCTTCTTCTTCGACAGGGTCATCCTTTTTAATCTCTTTACCATTAGGCTCTTCCGATTTCTTTGATTTATCATCGGATAAAACTTGAATCTGTGCTTCTTCTCCTTTGGCCATCTTTTCCTTTCTGGATTGGATAATATCACAGGTGATGTTGTGTCGTCCGCAGCGAAACGAAGTGATATGATTCTGCGTAGCATGCAATATACTGTACACTGCACAGTGTACAGTGTACAGTGCTCCCCCTTCTGGCTGTACTGTACACTGTACAGTACTGTACTGTACTGTACTGTACTGTACTGTATTTCGTCATGGCCGATGACTCGGTGTGCCGACTGCACAGTACAGTTTAGTACAGTGTACAGTACGATGACAAAGTACTGTACTGATGATGGACTGGACTGTACAGTACAAAGGCCCTCAAACAAAGGCAAAGGTATGCCGGTACCGGTACAGTCCTATAGACTGTTTTATTAAGGGGTAAAGCCGACCGTTTAGCTTTCTTCCAAATATCGTCATAGGTACCACTGAAACATCGCAACGGTCTAGTGTAAAAACACTGCTGTGCAGTACTGTATACGTAAGGTACTTGCTGTCCGCGATGGAAATCCAAATGAGCTGCTAAGTTGGTTTTGGACAGTATGGTAGACGGTTTCATTGCTACCGTATAGTAGAATGAAGGGAAAAAATGATAGGCCTCGACATAATTTTGCACTGATGGCCGTTTTACGTCCTTCTTTCTTTCCTTTTCGTAGTCCATAGTATTTTACTGTTGAAATTACTACCGAGGTTTCTTTCTTTTCTTTGATTCGTTTTATGCGGTACACCTGGACTGGATGGATGGACACCACTTGCGTCACTCTACTCTACAGTACTGTTCTACACTCAACTACAGTGGCCCAAATCGTACGATACTGTACAGTGTACACTACTGCTGTAAATTTCCTCCGTAAGCAGTGAGTAAGCATAAATTCAATCTTGAGCATCATCATAGTATGGTATACAGTATTATCATCCAAATTCAACGTATACTAAAGGCGACTGCATAGCTAAGCACAGTCTGTATTGAAATTACAAATTTACTAGTCTGTATATATGTTACGGCCAAAACCCGAAGTCCGCGTATTGGCCCGGGCACTACGCGTAATGGCCAATATTACCCGGGCAATACGCGTATTGGCCAACTTCGGGTTTTGGCCGTAACCTATATATACAGTACTGTATATAGTTGAACTGCGAAAGGATTAATAAAAAGGAAAGGCTATTTTAGCAATGCTTGACCATGCGTCGAGTTAGAGGTAATCCATCAGCAGACGATAGTTACTGCTGCACGTATTCTAACAAGACGAGGCCCATTCAAAAAGTAATCGGGCGGCTTCAATATCTACGCTATGAAAAATGCATTCCATACATTTATTATGCGTCGAGTTGGAGGCAATCCATCACCAGACGATAGATACTTCTGTACCTATTCTAACAATATAATACAATCATTTTAAAGCTATATTACGCATTGTTTTTCATTGAAATAGCGTCATATGTTATGGCTGTTATTAATAAGACTTCAGAATGCAAGACTACACTTATGAAACTATTCTAGATATTGTTTGATTGACTAATATTTAGTTATAGAATGAATTTATCAATATCTTTTAAATATTTCTTGTCAAAATAAGCGGCATGGTAATTTATTCAAGATATTTTCTGTCTTGAACTTGAAGTATGTACGTCTAGAATCGGAGTGAACACTTGATCAACATAACTTATTACCAAAAGAAAACCGACAGTATTGATGGCATTAAAGAAAGTAGGGGAAATCCATTGAATACATCGATTACATTTTAAATTCGCTCATCGTGACCTCTGTACATATCGAAATACAATTGTACATGATGAAAACTCGGCATCGAATAAGCAATTGACCTAATTTCTATAGAGGTTTATGAAAAGTAATTTGCATTTGTAAAACTAATCGAGTTCAAGAAATATTTCTATTTACCAAATAGAATTCTTTCTTTCTAACATATAACGGTAAATTACCAAAATATTAATTCTTAACAAAGCGTATTCAAGATATCAATCATTATTTAGGTGGATATTAAAGAAGAATACGGCTACTTCCTATAGCGGAACTTAGAATCTGTTAAAATGTGGCATTTTTTCTGATACTTGCAGCTGGCGAGGTTAATTATATAATACTATTGCACTCGATCTAATGAAAAATACCTTAAGGTTCCTTATACGGTATACAATCCTATCTGTTGATAATAAACTGCAATAATCTGGTATTGAAATCGGAGGCTAATAAAAACCAAATATCGGATAGATCTCAATTTTAAAAATAACTAAAGCGTGATTGACGAATTGCGGGTTTTCTATTCTTGCTTTTTGTTAGTTGTTACTAGGTAGTAAAATAACAATTAAAACTACCAATAAACATATGATATGATTCATTTATGTAGTACAATATCTTCGGATAAATAATCAGTATACATGAGATTCTAAAAATTGTGATAATAAAAGAGGCCAAATTTCTTTATCCTTAACTAGAAAATTCTCAGCCTTTATCAGTATATCACTAGCTATATTGGATAACGGTTATTAATTAGAGTATTGTCTTCAAAAAAATTTTGATCAATCTTATAGTTTGTAGAATTTTAAATCACTTGGATATTTACTGAGGGCTAAAATAAAGTAAAAAATGCATTGATTGAGGCAATCAATATATCTAAAGTGTTTATATGTAAAAAATAACCTTAAAATTTGGTCTTTAAATACTTTAACCGAGTAAATAGTTGTTATAATATCTATAGTGCTGTGAGAGTCTAGCTTAAATTTTCAAATTCAGTCAATTAGTACAGGAAATCGTTTTTTTCGGTAAAGGCAAATATTAATAAGTATGCCTTCAAATTTTAATATATGATTTAAAAGTAATTAAGGTTAGTATGTCGACACCAATAACATTAATTTATCCACCATGTTACAGATGTAGTTACAGCTATTGCTAATAAAACTAATGAAATGAATTATTTCAGTAGACACAAAAATTAAAACTAGCTAGCAATTTTGAGGAGATAAACAACTGTTAGTATCATAACTAATAGCTTTTAAATATTAATGAATCGCTGATAAATATCACAATTATATTAATCTGTTAACTTATTAATTAGTTAATTCAGAATTGGTTATACTGTGCTAATAGGTTAGTTGCATATTGTGAGTGAATATTTGATAATTAATATGTATATAATTGCATCAGCTAGTTTTTATTATCTTTTATGTCCTGTCTTGAATTTTTCTATCTTATTTATGCCGATTTTTGAGTTACTAATTGTTACTGTGTAAATAAGTAAATTGCATAGATTTACGTGAAGTCTTTATTAATTTTTAATCTTATTTACCCTCTTATTATTGTGTATCTCAAGTTTTATTGTCTCTTGTTCATCATAAATGTGCTACTAGTTCCAATACCAATAGCTTTAGTGTGATAAAGTAATTGGATGGAATATGTTAGCATTTAAAGTCTTTATTAATTTGACGATTCCGGTCTTGTTTTTATGGCTTTATTTAAATTTTGTATTTATTCACACACACTATGTTGATCCTTTTTAAGCTCATAATTATTTTGATATCGTTAGTTTTATATAGCATGAGTAGAATGAATACGCATATAAGATTCATTAATTTATTATTGTATCATCTCGCACATATAACACAATTTATCTTATCCATCTTGATTATGCCAATTTTGTGAATACCGATCTTTGTGGTATAATGGCGTCTCTAAACAGTTTTGTATTATAAATAGGATTAAAAAATATTTCTTGTCGATCGAAATATGCGAGCTTCTATTAACAGATTTAACGCACCCATTGACCAGTTTACATTGTAATCTCCAACAAAACTTTATTGCTAATCGAATAATAGTAATTGGATACGTGTACAGCTCTCTTCTAATTTTACTGATAAAAAGTCTGCTAAATATATTGACAACCATCTAAGACTTTAAGCTCATTAACAAATCTTTACTTCCTGTCGAATGATACTCAATTCCACAAAAACATTATGTAAAACCTGGCTAATAGCACTTGTAATCTTAATTTGCAATGAAATGGAATGAAATAAAATAAAGATTGAGATGCCGTAGCACAACTCGTACTGTTAATGAAGAACTTAACACGTTTATTATCAAAGTGTAAAACAAATATTTCGAAAAGAACTCATCCATAATTAATCAGTGATTATTTACTTTGCAATACGCAGACATACTCGTTGATTACATGGGTCTTCAATATAGAATAACGCAAAATGTTAAATAAACTTAAATTAATTTTACATACCGTACTTTAAACAAAAAACTACCTATATAATGATAATACAGTATGCAAACTTAGTAGTCGATGAATATCTTAATCCGGCGTGGAAACATCCTCCCGTAAATTTTCATCCTCATCATCGAAATCAAGATAAACATAATTGGTTGGATCGAATTGATCCATCGATAAATACCCCTAAATATCCAATGATATCATGTCCAAATTGACACAAGGATGATAATCAATACACCATATCAAATCATTTCTTGCCGCCATGATGTTAAATTTAAGAATAAAAATGAATGCCTACCTCTGTATCATTAATGATTTCATCCAATTTATCCAACAACGTGGAGAAAGAAGGCCGATTATCAGGATTTGCATCCCAACATGAAGTCATAATTTCAAAACTATTCCGATTTAGAATAAAATGTTTATTTATTAAGGTTACTGACTGAAAAATAAATACCTTGTGCTCTCAATGTATCAAAATTGTGCTATTAATTACACTATCATATTATTTATTACATCTCATCAGAGCAATGATCCGGTTTAGCAAGTCGATGGCCGGAAATAATTGCACTTCTCAACTGTCTTGGATTACGAAATTCCGAATAGGGTCTCCCACCTACAAACCAGTAGTTACATGAGTAAAAAGCCAGTTTCGTGCTAATACTAATTATAGGGCAGCTTACCGTAAATCTCAGTAGTATTTTGCTATTAAATTTTAGTATATAATGTATTATTGCTATATTAATTGTATGCAACTAATGACGTTAAGCTCTCTTCTAAAAAATTGGACCATAAAAACGTAACATTGGAATGTTATCCTTCAAAAAGCTTCAAATTATGCAGATAATCAGCAAAAGTATTGCTAATTATTCTTACCAAAGGTAATAATCTCCCACATAAGTATACCAAACGACCATCTAAATTGTGAAAGTTCATAAATGTTATTGCCAAAGTAGCAGGTAACATACAAATTATTTAAAATCTTAACTAAACTACTCTGAAATAAGCTATTAATTTCTTATAGCTCAAGCCTGAGTATGTAAAGTTTAGCATCTGATTACTTAATAATAATTCAAAACGTACTTGATATCAAATAGAATTTACTATACCTATCGCTTTTTATGGAATAGAGATTTTCCCTAATAGATTCGTAAGCCATCCATTTCATTGGTAGCTTAACTTCCTATAGAGTATAGATATAACAATTTAGCAATAGATATATAACATATAAAATTATACATATGATTATAAGAGATATCAATAAAAGGTGCTAAAAACCCGCATAAAACATGGTCATCACCATTTTATTTGACTTATAGACACCAGTATCGATACTGATGGATCAATGTAAATGTTGTGGGTAGAGATTCATTTTGAAATACCGTTTACGAAAGTACAAACCTTGTTGGTTTCGTGATATACTTTAATTTTAGAGACATCGCGTGCTAGACCAAAGTCAGATAAACGACAAACCATACCATCATGGCTATCAGTGGCTAAAAGGATATTCCTAGCAGCTAAATCACGATGAATAATCTACGAATATATCACGCAAACAATTCATTACGATGGATCCGATAAGTCTAGTTTCCAAGCACTCGCATTCTCTTTTTAGACCTTAGTACAACAACTGATCTCCTACTACGACGATAGACGGTTTGTAAGTGAAATTGCTGTCACTTGCCAATTATATTTAGGTAAGTAGGCTTACGCTATTAACTTTAATCAATTTAATATCTTGTCTTTTTCGTATACCTCATAAAATAGACCATTGTAAAAAGCTGAAAACTACTAGACAGGTAAACCTTATATTAAGAAAGTAATTCAATATCTAACTATTTACATACACTATTGGAGTTATTAAACATCACAGAAATTATATCATCATCATCGTTTAATTTATCATTAAGCCACGTTTTAGCCTTATTTCGCGAGTAATTAGGTCTCATATTATGAAAATATTGCGACATTTGATCATTTGAGTACCTTATTTAAGTTGAGAATTATTACAGATCACAAAATGGTGCGACTATCATTCAATCTGTTTATATGTACTTAGATAGTCAATCCTCCCGTATGAAGGTAATCTAATGCCTGATTATCTTTATATGTTTCACTACGAATAAATTATAGCATAATCATTACATACGTATTTTAAAGAAGATCTAAAACATTCAACCATCTTCACACGATGATTAACACTGAAATATTATATGTTTTAATTTAAAGATGATTCAATTTTCAACCATCCTTCCCTAAATTACTAAATGAATAAATTATTATCTATTAAGCAGATAATAACTAATCTTAATTAGACATTATTAATGAAAATATATTTTACTTCAGATAAACTGTACAATCATTAAATATCTCATTTTAGTTTAGGTAGTTAAGATTTATTTGATGAAAAGCGTAACTGGCTAGTACTATAAATAGCTTTAGTACCTATACAGTATGTACGATGAGCTATCTCGGTATATCGTGCAAAAGTACTAGGACTTAAAAAGCCCCTCTAACTGTCATTCCTGTGATCTCTTGCCAATGTAGATCTTAAAACCGTAAATCGTTCTAAAATCAGTTGACTTACTAGTTTAGATTCTAAAAAGTGCATCGCTTGAGCAATTTGCCATATAAATTTCGTCATTTCAGTTGAAGATAAATCTTTGTCGGTACGTGCAATATAAGTATAATCAACGTATCCTCCTTCCTTTCCAAATCCAGAATGACTACGTAAGTAACGCAGTAAATCTCCATGTTCTGCATATTCCATGACGATATATGATAATTCTATAGAATTTCCGTACGCAATTTAATGATAAAAGAAAATAAAATATGCAATAAGTAAAATTACTTAAAGTTGTTGCAATTATATTTCGATATTTATATTCTACTCAATTCTTGACGGTTTCAAATTTAATCTATTTTCCCGTCAGCAAAATTTTAGAAATTCTATAGGGTCCTCAAATAATATTTTTGTATCTCAATTTTTATTGAACGAAATTTTATAATTAAATCAACTGATGTTTTGGGCAGTACTTAATAGCCATTTACTGTTAGTCTGGTACCAGTAGATTTATTACTTTTAATCCGTCACTACAAGTATTTTCATGGGAAAGAACTAGGTTTTAGTGTAGCATCTTGGATGAATTCCACTACATTATTAATTAACTGATTACATCATAACTAACTAGCCTACTTCTAATGAGTAGTGGTATCATAAATATCTTCAGTTCGTGCGATTTTGATTCTAGTGATCACTTAGGAACTCCAACACGAGGAAATGACATCTTATAATTCCTATTATTCTTTTAAAATATCGTATTGAAGCTAGGCTCAAATAAAGATTAACATATATCAATTGTATCATAAGGAGACAAGATTCCATATTGCAGCAGATGTACAACTGTAACTCCAATACTTGAATTACCTGACGAATGGCAGCAATGTAACATTTTAATAATGTGGGGACTTTCATTTCCAAGCAGCTGCATGACCTCAATTTCTATTGCAAAATTACTTACATCCAGTAGGGTTGCAGTATCTAGAAATTGCCATTTAAATCATTCAGCTTAGCTCTAAGGAGATTTATCTTCCTACGATTGCTATTATCATCTCAGAATAACATAAATCCAGCAAAGCCTCCCTTATGATAGATAATTTATAATAAAGTAGTGATAATTGTGATCCGCTTGACAAGTACTACATAATCAGGAAAATGCACCTCTTAGTAGCTTTACAGCAACATCATGCGTAGATTTTTTGCCGTTTAATTTGATAGCTGCGACACCTTTGTAGACTTCACCAAATGCTCCCCTACCAATGGTTTTATTGATCTCAATTCCAAAATTTTTCAATAATAGATATTTTCGTTCAGGCAAATCAGTCACTACTTCCAGCTCAATTGGAAAAGCTGCAGTTGTTGTCATTTCCTATTTATGGGATTACAATAAATTTAAAGCTTCTTAACTTCTCTCCAGGAAATCAACTTCAGAGAACATTTTTCAATACTTTGAAATTTCTAGCCAATAGGTAATTTGCGGTAGCTATACTTACTGTCTGATCAAAGTTAATTAACGGACGAGATCGATTTCGGGCTTTATAAATTTTCCATATGCCAAAGCTAATCATCACTAGAAAGGATGCCGATCCAAGTGCAATACCAACAATGGTTCCTACATCTCCAATTTGTGGACCAGTACCAGGAGTAGCACGAATGCCTGTCGATGTTGTTATGATTTTAGGACTAGATGCCGTTCCAGTAGATGCTATGGATGTTGTCAATTTATTTATAAAATTAGTCAATTCTCATACGCTGAATAATTTCTACTTTCATCAATAATCAAAAACAACAATTAAAATGGGGCAAGACGAAATTACTTTTTCGAGATTCTTTTAAGTTTTAAAATAAAAGAATTCTAAGTCAAAATCTCTATCATAGAAATACCGATACTAGCAATAGCAATAGAAACAGTTGATTACGTGGTAAGACATGTTATAAACAATTACCATTACTAAGCAGGATAGCCTTAATATATAAACGAATATTATAAAATTTGAATTAATAGCTGCAACTTTAATTTAATTTAATTAATTTGATCAATACTGAAAGAGCAGAGCGTAACTAGCTAATCTATTTTCATATCTTGTTGCGTAAATGTCAATGCACACCGGTACTGCTTGGACAAAATCCATCGCCAACTTCATACTGATCTAGGCCATTAGGACAAATGCAGAGATAGGAACCAGCAATATTGCGGCATCCTTCATTAGGAAGACATTGAGCTTCGCCATTATTACACTCGTTTACGTCTAATAGTATTTTGAAAGAAGCAAGAAATTAAAAAGATGATTCACTATATGTAAAGTACAGTACTATGCAATATTAGCGCTGCAATTTAAAGTTCTCCCTATCACGATTACATTAATTTTATTTCTTATGGCGAAGTAGCTGCCGTCGTAATTACAAAGACAGATTCTTCAAATATTATCCAACGTATTACAGTCAAGATTGAAGTTGTTACCTCTACAAATTTGATCAACGTCATAAGAATAACCCAATTTGCATTCACACTCGTAGGAGCCAACAGTATTAACGCAATCTGCATTAGCACCACATTCATGTGAATCCTGTTCACATTCGTTCAAATCTTTATAATGTAGCATTAAAAAATAGCAATTACAATTCTCCGATAATTTCTGATATGAAAATTGACAGATTATAATTAACATAATATTAGCAATAGAGTAAAAGTCACCTTTGCAAACTCCCTCTAGATCTACAGCGTATCCAGCAAGACACAGACACGAATAACTTCCAATGGTATTCACACATTTGGTATTTTCCTTGCATAATCCATCTACCAAGCATTCATTAACATCAACACATCGTTCATTCTCAATCCTAAAGCCTTCTGAGCACGAACATTTGTAAGATCCAATGGTATTTTGACAGCTAGTATTAGTTGGACAAATTGAAGATTCCAAGCACTCATTAATATCGACACATTCATCTCCATCATCCTCAAATCCAGTCTTGCATGTGCAAATATAAGAGCCGGGAATATTTTGACAATTTGCATTAGCTTCACAAACATCATCTTCGCACTCATTAATGTCTAAATATAGGGAATAACGCTATATAAGTAAAGGAAACTACGAATATTCACAATATGATCATATCTCAACTACTATAAATGCTATCGAATAATATTTTATTACTGCAAGTAATTAACTCTTGAATACTATAAAGCATATTAATAATCTTTCATATTCTTGCAAGCCTATGTACTGAATTGTATACAACCTATCCATGTTTAGATTTACTACAACAGCCACAAAACACAAATCTGTGGCTAATAACAGAAAATATAGCATTGCTATTCAAATTTAAATTTATCACTACATTTTGATGAATTTTGCATACACTATATAAAGTTGATATAGTACAGCCGTATATTAAAGAGATTATATTCCATTGCATGTTTGTACTTAGTAGAAGTCGCATACATCATAATATGAATTATTTAGCAAATTATGCTCATAAATCAATTAATTTTGTACAATATTAATGTCAGCAATAAATAGCCATTATAATTCTTATTAGCACATTCATATAACGTGTATGGTAACCTTGATCATTACAATTAGGCTTAAAGTACTCCAACATCTCTAGCGAAAGACTTATATGCCCAATTCTAAAAATTACCTATACATTTCGATGTTTCATAACCAGGATAGCATTCACAAAGATAGGAACCCTCAGTGTTAACGCAATATGACGTATTTAGACAATTTGCTAATTGCTGCTTGCATTCGTCAATATCTAAAGAGAATAACATAAATATGAATGATAATATAGTCCATTCCTTCTAATCAATATGTCTTGGATAGATTGGATAGATGAAGCCTATAATCATTTATTTGTCTAGACATTAGAAATGACCCAATTCTAGAAAATTATGGAAATAGACATTAAATTTATAGGCATTATGCTACCCTCACACTCGTATATTTGTCAATAACTGTAGCAGCACACTCTACATGATCTTCATTCAGTCGATTTCCAACAATCAAGTTAATTTTGAGATAGTATTTATACCGATAGTGTATGATTACTTAATTCCTAATACTTCATAATGATCTTTGTTTAAATTCTTATTACAGATTTACTCGATGTAATTTATAACGATAAAAATGACAAATTTATAGGAGCACCAAACAGAAAAGAGTAAGTGAAAAATCTAGATACAAGCATGGAACATAAAATTTACACCTCATAATCCGGAAATAAGTCTCTAAAATTGAAGAAATAATATCAACTATAACTGGCAATTGAGATCCTTTATCAATAAAGGAAGGACTTGTAGTTACTAAGATTGCTATCGCTAGCAGTCCCTGCTTATAATAATTCATACCTTGACACTTAGGAATAGGGCTTGACCAATTTCCGGATTGCATACAGGTAATATTGTGCCTTCCTTGTAACTCATATCCAGAATCGCAAGAAAATACAAGGCTTTTAAAGATTGAATAATCACTTCCTACTACTTTACCATTGGAAATAGAAGTAACCGTTGGACATGTAATTTCTTTAACAGAAAGAAAGGAGTAACGATCAAGATTCGCTTAGTTATCAATACGACATAATCCGTAAGACAATTCCATCATTTAGGAATTGTAATGACTAGGCAAAGTCATTAAATTTACTTACTTTTACAATTTGTTGGCTGTATACTATTTGCAGGACAGGCGCAATAAAACGAGCCTTGTAAATTTTGGCAGTACGAAGGCGCAAAACACCTAGCTACACCGATCTTGCATTCATCAATATCTGAAATTGTAACAACCATAATATCCGATATAAGCAACATGAAAGAAAATTGGTATAGTGATGAGCTATATCACGTAGTAATAAGATAAAAAAAGAGGTTGGTAATGCATGGAATGAGTTTATTTAATAATTTCATCTCATGATACCAGAGTATAATTCTGGAAATTAATAATCTAAAATTCATCAAGGACTCTTTACCAGTGCATGTGGTATCATTAATTTGTCGGTAGCCTTCCTGGCAATCGCATTTATAAGAGCCTAAAGTATTTTCGCAAGTTTGATGTGGATAACACGGCCAGGAAATCGTGCTATTACATTCATTGATATCTTCGCAATGTAATCCATCCCCAGTATAGCCAGCATTGCAAGTGCAATTAAATGAGCCAGGTAGATTAGTACAAGTCGCTTGAGCATGGCAAGGATTGTTCTTTTTCGTACAATCGTTAATATCTGTTGAGAAAATATTCATTTACAATCAAACTTTGCTTAAGAATCGATTAGAAATAATTAATCAAGAATGATAAAATAACAACGGAATAAAATATCCCTTTAATTAAGATAGTAAAATATAAACCTAAAGTTAATATGTTTACTACATCGGTAATGGCATTTTCATGAACAAAAACTTGCATTTATATAGATAAAATTAACATTATCGCTGTTGGTAAAGTTTTCTAGATGAACGGAAATGTAATCATCTAATAGAATGTATTTGGCACATTTTTATCGGAAAGATAGTAGAGCATTAGCATCTGAGATTCTGTGTTAGCAACTTTCTAATTGCTGTTCCTCTAGATTAGCCTTGGCAATCCAGTGAATCAAGATTTCTATTTATGAAGGCAAACATCAGTAAAATTTTAAAATGCTATTTACATCGTTAATACTGGCAGCCTTTAGCTGATGAAAATATATAGTTATAAACGAAAAAATTAGTAACGACTTTAAGTATTACTCATTTGGTCAACACCCGCAGCTTAAAAAGTCCACCACAACATGTATAATACGAAGAAGAAAATTTTAATAATCCAAACACCACTTTCTGATTAATGTAAGCAATCCAAAGTTAAGAAATAATAAAATATTACTATTTTTCAGCCAATTAGCTATACTCGCAGAATAATAAATTTATGAAGTAACCCATATACATCCGCTTGCGTACTGTTGGTTCTATAAAACGAATGTACGGTACATATATAGATCGCTAACTAATATATCGTGCTGTATACCAAACCTAAGAGTTCATCGTATACTAAAGCAGATCGTTTATTGTAAATAAAGACCATAAAATTTGCAATATACAACTACCTTGAAAATTGCAGCAATTTAATAGTTTAAGCAATTACTGTGGGTGATTGAGATCTTATTAAACACCCTGATTAATAATACCAAATGTTATAGAACACTGGATACATATTTTACTTTCCGTAGCAGTGTTACTTTCATTTTATTTGAAAAATGTACAGTATATTCCACTATTAGCACTTTAATTATCCCAATTTATCGTTAAAAATATTTCAACTTCAGATGCCTGATGCCTATACATATGATATTCTTATTACTAGTGTAGACTCTATATTAAAATACATACTCATAAAGTGCATTGAAATATGAACAATCCTGAGTAATTCTCATCGCTAGCATCTAAAATTATGGTAAATGCTTAATTAAGCAATACTGTACCTTTACACCTCAGCTTATTTTTAGCAAGAACATATCCATTAGGACATTGGCATTCATAGTTGCCAGGTAGATTACGACATGTAGCAGGAGCAATACATTTATGAGTGTTGAGGAAACATTCATCGATATCTTTTGCAGATATAAATGAATCAAATAAGGATTTAATCAATTCTACTTATTGAGGACACGATTGTTATAGCTTTATAAATGAAATGTTTATGCAGCCATAACGATGGATAGGCTATTATGCAGTGTAAAGAGAAGATTAATAGAATGCAGTAAAACCTTGACAAGTTGTTCTCGTATCGATTTTATAACCGGCCGGACATTGACACTGGAAGGAGCCAACAGTATTATAGCAAAAGGCTGGTGCTTGACAATCATCTTTATTATTAATGCATTCATCAACATCTACCAAAAGAAATATGCGATTTTTATATAACTAGACGATAATTTTTCAGTATTTTTTAATCGAAATTTTTGCTTTACCACTACAGTTTGGCAAGGAATGCGACCAGCTTCCATTGGATAAGCAGTATAGAATAGGTCTACCCGTAAGATAGTATCCACTATTGCAAGTAAACGAAATATTAGCTCCACAAGAATAGCGATTACCAGAGACAGAGCCGTCTTGAAATTGAGTAATTGCTTGACAAGTACTACCATTACCTATAAGTAACAGCAATGGTCGAAATAACTAATACAGTTTCTCTTATATTGTCAATTATTATTGTAGTTATAATTAGTTCATCCATTTACTGACTACAAAACTGTTATGGTAATAGTTTTCCGTATTTTACCTACTCTACTACCTCTATATCAGTATACAAAACTATAAGCACATTTAAACAGCTTAAGGCTATTTTCCAATCCGATATTCAACTTACTTGCTGCACATTTCTGCAATTCTTCACTGGATAGCGATAGTTCTTGACAGCTATAGCTGCCACCGACGTTGATGCATTGTTGATTGCTTGTGCAATTATGGCTACTTTCCATGCATTCATTAATGTCACTACAACCAGTCGTTGATGAATTTCTATAACCTTGTTTGCAAATACATTGATAACTTCCTTCCGTATTAATGCAATGCTGACTATGATTGCATATATTGTTATAAAGGTTGCTAGTACATTCATTGATATCTTGACAAAAAGTAGCATTAAAGTGTACGTAGCCGCCTGTGCAAGTGCAATTAAATCCACCAGGTAAATTGGTGCAGCCAGATCGAGAATCTGGACAATTCTTAGGTCGATTTTTCTTACTACATTCATTTATATCTACAATGTTATAATCCAAAAAGTACTTTAGCAAGCGATAAACAGCATCAATAATATAGACCGTATATCTAGGATATCGGCAAATAAAATGTATGCCTCTAGAACACATTCATCATATGTACGTATATATTTAATAAAGGCATTAATATCGAATGAAATATAGACCACTGTCTTAACATGAGCAATGTGTAGTTATGGAAGAATAGAAAAACAAATAATATCCCTGATCGAAGATCAACAATATATTAGATTGATAAACTCGTATATTATACAGCTGGTCTAATGAGCACAGTTAGTTATTGTAGCATTAATATCAAATAAAATTGGGCCATTGTACTAAATGTAAGCAATATTTAATGGTTATAGATGAATGCATAGACAAATATGATCTATGATCGACGACGGCTGAGAATGTTTTGGATTGAGGATGTATCATACCACCTGGTCTAATGAGCATTATTAGTAAGATAAGTTCTCATTGATTACATAAAATGTTACCATGTCAAGCTCGACAAGGCCATTTCTTAGGATTAATTTAGTTTAAGGAATCTAGGCAGTGGACGAATAGTAACACCTCTGTCTTGAAACAATAAAGAATCTTCTAACTAAACTCTATAACTTTACCTGTACAAATTTCATTCTTACGATTCCACACGTATCCTTGTGCACATTGGCACTGGTAGAAACCATTCTTATTGATGCAACTCGAGACATTACACTTTGCTAGGCCTTCCTTGCATTCGTTAATGTCTAAATATATAAACGATCGAATAATGACATCAAATATTTATATAGTGAATTACCAACATCTTCCGAAATGTAAGAGTGTAATATACACAATTTGAAAGTCTGCAGATATTTCAAAATTTCGTCTGCGCTATTGCTCTACCTTTGCAGACAGGTAATGCATTGGACCATTGGCCAGAACTGAGGCATTCAGTCTCGTTTGCTCCTACTAATCGATAGCCTTGATTACATAGGAAAGTTAATTTAGTACCAGGTGTTATGCCACTACCCTGGATTTTACCACGACGTAGAGAATTAATGACGGGGCAATCTGCTATAATTATCCCAATAGGATAGCACATCAATGAAATTCATATTAATTATAGAATACAGTATAAATTATTCTAACTACAGTGACTAGCATAGAGGCAGCGATTTACTTATAGGGCAATTTGTCATAACCGTCAATTGTATCCATAGGATAAAATGTAAAATGAAATCTACAGTACATTAATTAGATCGCACGGTAGTGAATAACTTTATTAAAATCTACATATAACCACAGTAGTTTATGTATAGTTGTGTAGCCATCATATATCTAATTGGATATATATCCATTTATAAGCGTATATTTATACACACGTAATTAATACGTGGTGCTGCCGTCCTATTAAATACAGCACTATAGCCTAACATGGAATTATGTAGATTAATATGTATTTAGAGATAGCCTATATAAGATACCTATCCTTTTTACGGTATTGCGATATTTTAAGTATTTAACAACCACTACTAAAGGAACATCATCAACTCCGAATAAATCAAGAGTAAATTGAAAGCACATACAGAATTCACTATATATCGCCAAAGTTGAACCAGTCAAGCGATGAGAGGAAAAAAGTATTCCACAGCCACTATTAGATAACTATATGCTGTTGTCTATAGGTTGAATTCATAAATAGAAATTTACGAAGACTGTATTGCAGATTCTAGGAGCATTTCAGTTTATTCTTGTTTCATTCGGATTTATAATTTCCCTGATAATTGTAGATTACCATTTTATTCTATGGCTTTGACTAGAGCAAACTTTTGAAAGGTATTCAGAGTGTTTTACAGTCGCACTAGTTCCGTTAGTAAAAAATAAGCATAGAAAAGTTTTTTACAGCTACAGCCAAAAAAATCCACAATTTGGGCGTAGCAAAGGTAACTACAAAATGCATAAAGACTCTGTTTCTAGAGTTGCTCTTACTGAAAGGTAAAAGTAGTATTATATTTTACAATTAATTTCAGTTTATTAGTCCTTGATCAATATTACTGAGTTTATATTGATCAAATGAATGGCGCCGTAAAAAATGAAAGAATTGATGGGTAGAAGTGGTAGTAGTAGTACGCTAGAATGTCCATAGCATAGTATTAGTGTAATAGCTATCTAATTTTTCTCATTTTCAATGCTTACCAGTCGTAACATGATGACATAGGAAAGGTAAGATTATCAAGGCAATAATCCAGATCAATTGAACTCCGCGAAGAGGAACCATTACGGCCTAATAGCAATTATATGGTGATCTTTTCATTCCTCAGCATGAAATTATAAATTATCCATATTCTTCAATAAAGATTATCGCGGCTAAAGCAATAGTATCTATTGCTAGTATTGACTTCAAACTGAAAACTCTTCCTGCTACGATTTTAGCAGCCATAAAACTAACTTTGAATAAGACTAATGGGAAAAATTAACATGCAGTAGACTTTCGAGTTTGTTAGTTCATCAGCAACAAGAATTGGATTATATGTCTTAGGTCTATTATTAGCATAAAATAATTTCTATTCCGATAATCCATTCTCAATCAAGATATTCCATAATATAAGATTAATTAAACATTAGATGAATTGGTTGGCGATGTTCTATAAAAACTTGGACAATCTATTAACAATTCTAGAAATTCAGTTTAAAATTAAAATCCGTTTTTCGACGATTTTCTCTCCCTATCGAGATTAATCATCGAGAACTTTTTAACTTTTAATAACCTTCAATTTGAACTAATGTATATGCAATTCTATCATGGCATTAACGTTTGTACAAACCACAGTATGAATTATAAGCGGCAGAGATTGATTATTTATGATCTTACTCTGAATATCTCAAGGCTTTTTATTTCAAAAAACAGAGATGTAGAAATTAAACGGCCCAACAATCAGTTTGCCAATATTTTAAAAGATTTCCAACAAGCCTTCGTCAATTCGTCCACTACATGGGTATACAAGAAAGAAATCTGCCTTGATAACTACTGCAATTTATGGCTTAATGACGTAGTGTACCTTGATCTTTCCTTGTTATTACGATTCAATATCTGCATGTTTTCATTACGTATAATTATGGGTGGAAATTCATTTTCATCTCTGTTTATCCAGCAGAGTAGACTCCTGCTGTTCTTATTGGCCTTTTAGAGAGTATAGCCTCGCAAATAGTTGCCAACTCGCTACGGATTTAAGGCAGATAATGCAGTTCCTAGAAATACCGCTGATAACTATGTATAGTATTTCGTGGATACATAAATTGGTAATGGTACTTGATGATGGTAGTTTACTTTTCAAGAAGGAAGTTTATTAGCGAATAGCGATTCAGGATAATGTAGAATGCCTAAAATAGTATTGATAATCATCTTATTTGAGCGCTAATGAAAGCTCAAACTGATCAAGATCTACTGTTATTATTTATGTTCCAGATTAGACATTTGTAATCACACTGCCGACCAAAATAGTATAAAGCTGCCAACTAAATTTAATAATCGCCTTATTTGAGCGCTGATGAAGATTCAAGCTGATCAACCTGACGTACAAGTTCATATTTCAGGTTAGATTTATGCAATTCGATTGCTGATCCAGATAGTATATAGAACTTCCAACTATACTTAATAATCGCCCCATTTCAGAAGCAATAACTGCTTAAAATTTTATTCCTATAATAATTTACCTTCTAACAGATGTTAAAGGAAAGTTTTATTAGTACATAGAGATTCAGAACATTGTATAACTTTTAAAATAGCATCGCCAAACATTTCATTGAGCACTAATAAAGGTTTAAACACACCAACTTGATGTACTGCTATAATTTATGTCCCAGGTTAGACATTTATAATCAAGCTGCTGATTAAGATAGTGTAGAGCTCTAAATAAATTTAATGATTATTCTATTGTAAGGGTAAATAATTACTTAAATTTTCTTACTCTCACAACTATGTAGAGTGTCGTAACTTCTCTAAGAAAGAGTTTTTGTAATATTCAATAAAATCGATTAAGAGTATTGAAATATAGACCAGTTAATTTATATACTAAATATATTCGCGTATAAAATTCCTACTTTGGTCATATGACATAGAGAAATATACGAGTAAATCAAGCTATTATAGAGTTCTTGCAGTATAACCCATATTAATGATTGCTATATTCGAACATCAATCCTTACATATTCATCATATCACACCTATGAAAGTTTATCTCTAAAGAACAGAAATTGTAAGCAAGTACGAGCAGATCACTATTGAATCTTTACGAAATAGTTGATACTTATAGCCATTTTCCTGGAGTATTCACTGGCATAATATCCTAGAATTTTTAGAAATCTACATTTCTGGAAAAGAAATTAACAGCAAATCGCTATTAAAGATGCTTCAGTTTCGGGGTATTAGCCTTGATATTCATGATCTTGCCATCTAAATATTAATTCTTGTAATACTCGGATTGATTATGATCTCATTTTTTATAGCACGTACGGTATACTTTAAGCAAGAAGGCCGCAAGCAATGAACTTAGTCAAATGTTGCTAAATTTTTAGAATTTAGTCTTAATCTGTATATACAGTTGCCGTTGTTCGAACGTCAAATTTTACTCGGAGCAGTAATAATCAAATGTAAGATATACTTTTTAAGAGAGAAAATTTATGAGCCTAACTATCTAAATGTATTCATAAGGGTAGTAAGTAACTACAAAACCTCAAAATGGATGCCAAAACAAACCCTGCATTCAATCTTATATCATAGGCTAGTTATATCGGTCAATATTAGTATTCTTTGCTTTTAGCTTTAGTCTAAGCTGCTATGCATTGCAATGCCATAATACCTGATCGCTAAAATATATCAAGACTCATCAATAATTAATAATTATTCGCGTACAATATATCGAATTATAGAGTAATTGATTATCATTGACGCAACTTGGATTTTATATTAATGGTTCATGGAAGACAATTAAAAAAACAGATCTCACTTTTATTAGCATCCTAAAGTAATTTTTACCCACCCCAAAGTTATTAAGATACTTATTCTAGCTTACGTTCTTCGATAAACAAATGTAAAACTCTTGAGAATCAGGGAAATAGTATCGAAGCAATTTCAATTTAAACAAGAAACATTTCTTATCTGTCAATCACATCGTTCTAAAAATATCCAATCTCATACTCAATGAGGAGATACAAACATTCTTCATAAATGAAAGACGCTATTTTATTTTAAAATTGCTGGAAATTATCTTGTACCGCTATGTCTAGTTATACCTAGAACAAAAATAGCGATATATATTTCCACTATTTTAGATGTGTTAAAGCAGCTATTCTAGTTAACAAATTAGAACCGATAGAAATCATACAATCCACTGAGAATTAGTTCTAGGTCTATACGGTAATAACAACAAAACAAAATGATCGATACTCGTGTAACTTTTAACGCTGTCATTAAGAGAGAATCAACACTTTACTCTACTAAAAAAATGAAAAAATAAAGGTCATTGATAGATGAAAATCTCTAGAAATAGAGACTATATGACAACGAAAGAGTAGTAATTTCAGTGGATACATTAGGGTATACTAACGACTGGGCCCGTATACGGTTCTCGTTCGACCTTTTGAGGTTGGCAAACCTATACATAAGGTAAGATTAATTTAGATATCGGTATTTACATAGAAGATGGAATCGTTAGCTAAGAGGAAAAATAGAAATTTCTACTAGAAGTATCCTTGATGCTATCTTATACACATACTTTATCCCTCTGTAAGATTGGCATATAGGCTGCATCAGCAAAGCATTGACGGGGTATATAACGTCCGGAACCTTTAACAACCTTCATCTATAAAAAATAAAATTAAATAGACATATCGTCAATGCTCAGTCTCTGTCCTAAAATCTAGCTGGATAAGATCGAATCAGAATTTCTCTATATAGAAATCTTTACTTTAGAATTATGTAAGTATTCACATTTTTTGCTACGATTGATTACTAGTTTTTAATACGATAATCTTTAAAATAAAATTCGGTCAATATTCCATCATACTTTATAATAGGGTACTATAGCAGTATGCACCTTTTGGAGTAACATATTAGACATACAAAGCAATGAATGACTGATAGACTTTCGTACACATTACAACGAAATTAATTTCCGGATTATCAACCAAATTTTATTACACTGAAATCTTACTTAATACTTAATATCTAAGTATTTAAAATTATACCCTAATATCGATTTAATAGAAGCAATTTGACTCGTCGCGTAAATAATTTACCTGACCATGATCATAAACCACTTTGCCACGACTTATTGTCACTACCGTAACACCATGGCATTCCATTCCTTCAAAAATATTAAAATCGACCGCCTAAAACACATAAATAATGTTTACTATCTTATAATTTACCATAAATAATCGACGTTAAATATGGGCATAGTATTTGAATGTTATATTTCAGTAATTTAGCCTACATATTAGTTTAAATTTAACAAGTGGACCTAAAAAATCAAGAATCGTTTACTTCAGTGCTCGCCATGTTAAAACACTTAATGGGGAGTTCTCTATTCGATAAAGTAATGCGTATAATTTATATTATCATGGTTCACTGTTGAAAATATACGTGGAAAAGATAGAGTAATTCAAGTTATCTATTTTCAAAGTCTAACTCCATGGCAAAATAAGAGATCGATCTAACTGATGTCAAATTCTATTTAATGATGAATGCTACCGTATATACTAGTGGGAAATAGATTGAAAAGATCTCAGAATTCGTTTATGATAGTGTGCGTCATTTTAGGACACAGCCAATGAGTTTTCCAAGTCTATACATCAATACTAATAATATAATAAATGGTAACGATAGTATGGATGATCCATATATTATGCCAGCTTAATATCTTAATCTTCGAAATATAGTCCTATGGAAAAGCTAACAAATACCAAGATCAATTTGCTACTAGTATTGATCAGCGCTAGATACCTGATAATGAGTTTTAGATGAAATTGTACGCTTCGCATTTGGATCCCAAACAACAATGTCAGCATCAGATCCGACTGCAATAATGCCCTTTAAAAGAAATTAAATGTTGATTAAAGATTTACTTGTAGTGTTTCCCCGCTATCCATACATGGTATTTACCTTCCGTGGATAAAAGTTAAATATCTTGGCTGCATTAGTGCTGGTTACGGCCACATAACGACAAGGATCCATTTTACCGGAATGAACTCCTTTCTCCCAAATGACAGACATACGATCTTCAACTCCTGATAATTTTAATAATGACTAATTAAATTCATTTCCTAGAGTAAATATTTTCGACTTTATTGAAGCTATTAGATAAAATTATGAATAGTTTACCATTCACTCCATTAGGAATCTTTCTGAAATCGTTTGCGCCAAGAGCTTTTTGTTCGGCACAAAATGTGCAATTGTCGGTACCAGTAGTTTGTAAATCTCCACTATAAAGAATTATTTATGATTTCATTATTCTGAATCATATTAATGCAGGCGAAAATATCGAAAAGAAGAATGAAGAACACAGATATATTATGAAATTTGATTGATATGAATTTATTTTTAATTTCTATTCCAGAAAAAACTTTGTGTATGAAATAATGTATATCCATCTCGATTTCCATTCCCGTATAAATTTATATAAAATACTTTCAATATTTATAAATATTACAATGACACAGAATTTAGTAGATTCATTAACAAATTTAGAAAGAGTTAGGAATCAAAGCTATTAGTTAAATGTTAAAGCATGATTGATATTGCGATTATAATCCTGTTATTGAAACCTTACCATGCTAGCAAATTCATTAAATAGTCCGGTGTTGACGAATCGGGTCTTATTGGTGGTCCCATCACAAAGCCTATCGTCCAAAATTAAATTAGGATACCATCTGTTTCTAATATTATACTCTTAATTTTATTACCAGCCGCATGGCGCCAGTCTTTATTCCAATAATTTGTACCATCACAACCTAAACCAGCAGCAATTGGCTCACCAAATACGACACAACCTATCATGGATAGAAATAGAATGCAAAGTGTTGAACTTGGCCTTTAATTTATTTATCTAAAGTCATGATAGAATCCCAATGTATCATCATGATAGTAAATTTTCTACTATGTTACTGTTAGTATGTTCTAGAATGCTATATGTTCCTCCAGCTAGAATACAGTACTTTTATAAACTCACGATATGTGAAGAGTTACATATTCATACGAGTATCAGTCTCAAATTTATTCTTATAAATTAAAGATAGAATAAGATCATAGATATATTCGTTATTTACTTGATAAATTATGTATAAAATTACTACCATTTACTTTAATTAGGAAATAGTATCATATTATATGTGCATAATGTAATTTTTAGTTGAAATATTCAAAATTAAATGGATTGATTGTAATTATATTGAAAAATCTACAATAGGCAGTCCACTTTCTAAAATTAGTCTCCATGTCATTTCACGGCAATATTTTGAAGACTTTACGTGAATGACTTGATGATTTACTTTAGTAAATTAAAGATAGTTATACCATGAATGCAAACTTATCTTAAGTATGAAATGAGGAGATATCCAACGAAGTGGTTATCAGTCGCAACTAGTTATGATACATATTACATATAAAACAATTTTATCACTTCATGGCATCATTATTTAGAATACCTCTCCGTCTTGCGGAAACAATAGCATCAGCAGCACTTTTGCTCATGACATGAACCACATATAACGGACAGTTAACCTTAAAAATTGTAGAAATAGTTTTAGAACATAAGTACTAAAGCTAAGTAGAGTTTGATTAATTTTATATTAGTAAATTTCAGGATTAGAATCAATTCAATATCAAAGTAAAATAGATTTACTTCTCTCTCGAAGCGTAACTATCAGAGTAATTAGACCTACTTGATTTGCTAAGACAATTGCCCTGTTGGTAGCTTCTCCTTCTACCTAAATGGAAGAGATTACGGCGATCTGTTACAATAAAATTTCTTGAAATAGATGATACAAATAAACCATCTTCTCATTTCTGCTAGGTTGTACGATGTAGCTTTAGAATAATCAGTCTTATGCTATATCTTTACTTTTACAAACAGAAAATGAAATCAATCATTTTTAAAACCTCTTCAGGTCGGCACATTTCATGGCCTTCAGGACCGGTTATACCTAACTCAATCATTTTCTTAGATTGCTATTCATAATAAAAGTGGAGAATTATTCTACTGTAGTATCGAAGAGAAAAAATAAGACGGTTATCCGCTTACTTCAGCTATAATATCACCATTTTCTGCATGAACTTGAGCTAAAGCTCCCAATTCTTTGCACCTCTTAAAGGCTTGTAATAGCTTTATTAGCATCAGAGCAGATCATTGGAGAAAAGAAGAAATAGAAATATACAATTGTCATTGCAAATTCTATATACAACCGGAAAATAATCGCGACGCACAAATTATGCAGTGATTGCAATCGAATATGTCGGCAATCCATATTATTCACGAGAAATTTAAATTATGATTTCAAAGTTAAATGCAGTGTCTGCTCAAACTTATATAACTAACAACTGAAATGAATCAAGTATTGAGCATAATACTAACTTCATGATCATCTAACTGATAGACACCCTTGTAAGCCATAAACATCTTGAAGGAATTAATGCCTTTGCTTTTAGTTAAAATTTCCATATCCTCTGCAACGATATCACTCCACCATGTGATACCAACATGAAGTGAATAATCGCAGCAAACTTTGAAATTCCATCATGGCATTAAGGATCCATTATAAAGGATGATAGCGATGACATCAATGAGTATTTGATTGCTTTACTAGTGAACTAGAGTAGCTTTAAGAGAATAGGTTACCTTTCTCATCTGCCCACTGTCGCCATTTTGTATAGGATTGCAATGGTGGTTCGCCATTAGGTCCTAGGACGAAGTCAACTATAAAACATGAAATAAAAATGTTATCCATTACTGCAAACTATGATACAAGCATAGAAGCTCAATTTTTTTATCGACTCAAAGCACAACGCATGACTACCGTGACTAACTATGAAATACCACTGACAATCTAATTTCCAAATCTGTAGCAAACATAAATCAAGTAGATTCGTTTCTCATCAACCTTAAACGTTAGCCGATAGTCTACTACTTCGTCTAAAATTTTATTTACTTATCATTGTTGTCCCTCCGGCAACGGCAGCTCTTGTACCATAGTAGAAATCATCGACAGCAACAGTACCCATGAAAGGTAATTGCATATGGGTATGGGTATCGATTCCACCTAAAATCAAGACGCAAGAATATTTAGAATGAAGTGAAAAGTAGAAAAATAAAATTAAAGGTTGTAAGTAGTAGATTCAAAAGAGTAAATATAAATAATCATAACGGCACTACGATAGTTCAAATACTTTAACGCTCATTTAGACAAATTAGCAGAGCTTCCATAGCGATATAAAGTAAAACATAAGCACTTTTTTATCTTCTAATACGGTATAACGGGTAAATTTACGGAAATGCTAAGCGTCATTGAGCTTTCTGATTTGTCTCTGCTTTTAGTCACCTAGTTATCATTTTCTTTTACCATCAACATCATGACGGCTCTGATACATATTACCCATATTCTCTATCTCAGCTAGATTCGTCCCTAATAAGACTGTAGTAGCTATCATTTACTATCATATGGTATATCAATTTTATGGCCTGCATATTGGTTTCTAATGGCTATTCCCTAATAAGGCTTTACTAAATGACAATATTGTTTAAGCTATAGTAGAATTCCATCTATGAAATTTCAAATTACTCGCGTGATTTTTTAATCTCAAAAAATTTTGCAATCAAAATTGATGATTAGGCGCAAAATCAGAAGTTAAAGAGAAATAGCTGAACGATATTATTGAATAATAATTTTCTAAACCATTTAAAATAAGGATAAAATGGCGTTAAGAAATCCTCAGTTAGGAATTTGAATTTAAAATTATAAATTTTAAAACACGCAGAAAAAAGATTACAGAAATCAATCCTTAGTTGTAGCTGGCGAGATTATTAAGGAATTGAGGTCGTGAAACTGATAAATTGCGCAACCGGTAAAAGCTAGATTGCTGAATCGATCTATGCGATACAGTTAACAAAACGCAAAGGCAGCGCTCAAGGACTGTAGTTATCAACTAAGTGATAATTTTGTTAGGCAAGTGGACAATAATAAAACTATTGCAATTAATCTTGGGATACAGTCGACGTGAGCAATTATCATCAAAATGAAAAATTGATAAGCTAATGAGAAAGGAGACTGTAGAAATCAATCTCGGAGGCACAGTTGACCAATTATAACATACGGATTAAGTTTTATTGCAAAACAAGTTAGAAATAAATTTATAGAATCCAACTTTGCATTATAACTAAAAGCTAAGATTGTTCATGCTTGGCACGGAAAATCTAAAGAAAGAAATATGGCCCAGATTGAACTAACCCGGCATAACTAAGTTTCCGGTAGCATCGACAATTTCAGCATCAGGTGCTTCGATTCCTTCCCTGACTTCTCTATTATAGCAAGAGACTAACTAGTCTTAGAAAAGTAAAATGCTTAAAATTTCTGATTTTCATCAATACTTTAGACACAGCTACTATACAAAAGTTAAATAAGTTGCAAAAAGAAATCATTTCATCGTGCCACTGACGTGATTATGCCATTTTCACACAAGACATCCGCTTCAAAACTTCGATCATGATTGACCACAGTTCCGCCACGAATAAGCAACTTAGTCTATTATTAATCGAGATTTGAAGATAGAAGACAGTTTAAGAATGATGGTAAATCTTTCAGTTAGTATGATCCTTAAAGTTAAACCAATTTACACTAAATCAATGTATTGGCCTACAAAGGCGAATTAAAATAGCCCCTCCTCGATAAAGGATGATAGCCAGTTTTAGTCATGCACGCTGCTGCATCCTAACATCGACTGAAATATTGCTTATTGCAAAAATACCACAGATTTAACATTATACTACGAGTCTATGATATATCTGTGAATGCTATCGTACCATTACAACCTTTCTACCACAAATTTTTCAGGTTAGGATTAATTAACTACCAGAAATAATGAAACAAAGTTTTATACGACTTCAATGGTTTAACTAATAGATACTGATCATGATAAGCGATTTGCCATGAAATTATATATTACTGCTTACTAGCTATATCAGGTTCTAGAAAACTAAAATTAGAAATTTTGACTTCAGTCGCTTTATAAAGGTAACCCGAGTAATATTGGGATACTAATGTAAGTAGACCGTGCTAGAATTCCTACCATGTTATTCTGGTTTTGATTTTGTTGCCAAGAAAAAGAGAAATGGAGTGAACAGACTCAGTTGAAACCGAGAAGAATGTCAGGTCTAGAAGAACCTTGTTGGGAGAAAAAAATGGATGACAACTAATTAACAAGTAAAAATCAATTCAACACTATACCTTTGGTTTATTATTTAATACGTCACTGACTGTGATTATTTGGATAATTTTGTAGCTATAAATATTATTGGCTACTTTATATGACAATATTTTTAATAGCAATGATTGAAATTGCACAGCTTGTCATTGCAGTACAGTACTTAATTTAACCATACTAAACACCACTACTAAATACCATTTAAATTTGTTTATCATTCTCTTTTTGTTTACTGTAAGCATATGCACCCTAATCCTGAAATTCCTGAATATTAGAAGTATTTTAAAGATATGTACAATTGGATATGGACTTTTAGTTGCCCTTTATTAATTAAATTTATAAATAAGACCGATCTTGGCAAAATTTAACCCTAACAGATATCCGGTAACCTATAAATCCATTAGGTTTTATTACTGATAAATTGCAAAGATTTTTCATTTTTTACTATCGCAAGTAACACTAGCTATTTATTCTCATTAGTTTTACTGGAATTCAAGTCTACACTTTCTCCAAAAATATTAATGATACATGAAAGCCAGCTAAATTATTATTGTCTTGTTCTCTAACTTACTTTATTAATATGAAGTGAATGTCTCAAAGAAAAATAATCTTTCAGTTTATAATTACCTACGAAATAGTACAAGTATTACCATAACATGCAAATACATACTAATTAGACTTGTATTATGTACATTATAATATTGTCATTAAAATGATCTCACTTCATTCTTTATAGATAATTATAAAATTAAAAATTAATAAATTACGGTAAGCGATCAGACCCGCGCAAAATTTATAATTACTTAAATCAGTATCAAGCAAACATTGTTACGAGGGTAGTTTAATTTAAATAATTTGTGACCTAAAGATTATTTATTACAAATTTTATTTCAAATATGCTGATAAACAATATCAAGGAAAAGATTTCAAATTATTTTTGTACCAAGCTCTATATTACTGCAGTTTACATAGCCAATTTATATCTAAACGCAAAATTCTAAAATTTAACCGTCAGATTAGTATCCAGCATTGCACAAAATTGACCAAATCCTACATGTAATACAAGGAATATTTTTTATACAGTACGGTACATTGCCAGATCTTTTTGACATACTCGCTTTCCTACAGTACCGGTATGGTATTTTAAGCAGCTTTACATGAATAGCATAATACTCAATTACGGCATTGCTACTGTAAACTGTTAGTTCACTATTATACATGACCATACCGTAAATTTTATTATATATGCACAAATATGTAGCTAGCATCGGGGACAATAAGAAATTAATATAGAACATGCTACTCTGATAAATATAAAGTCTTAAACTGTGACTTTAACAACAACATATACAAGAGTCAGTCAACTTATTCAAGGTTATATAGATTTCGTAAAAAAATACACGATATCTTAGTAGTTATCAATCGCAAGACAACGAATAATTGCTACGTAATAATATATTATAATTATCCTATGAAACTGAAATCATCTAACCGATATCAGCAATCATTTTTTTCTCAATATTCCCAACAGTATAGAACTTTGTTTTACTTTGCAGTTACAAGAATTAAAAAGTCATTTCTAAGTCAAGATAAAGCTACATTAACGAATTTTACAATCGCCCAGATAGAAAAGTGTTATAAATTTGAATTAGCTTAACAAATGATTTCTCAATGTAACTAATGACATTATTTTCCAACAAATTCGTCAATTTCGATCAATTTTGCCTAATTGCATACTATACCATACCATTAACACTTTCAGTATCTAAATTGAGCATTAGCGTTCTTAGAAATTCCATCTCCTTTTGTGTATTAGTAAATATCACTTTTAAGTCATCTGATGGACATCTTAGGCAATTCGGAGCCCAAACCATAGCCAAATTATTTAAATCCATTTTCGTATTTTTATTTTGATTGGCAAAAACCTATGGTAATATCGGATTTGTTAACAAGGCAAAGAAGTAGTTTTACTTAACTACCAAAACGACATTATATGCCGTTAGTTGCTATCACTTTAACAATCTAATATATCATATGTAATAGTTGTCAAGTCGGACCTGAAGAAATCGTATTAAATACGTTAGTGTTCGACGATTATCGTCTGGTAAACTTTCGACGACATTTATAACTTGCTCACGCTCTCTACAGTGCTCTATACAAGTATTATTATCAACAGTTAAGGCTTAAAAATAGCATTAGTGTTGACATAGTAAGAGCGAATAATATCAAAACTTTTCAAACCACCGTATTTAAAATTTTCCTCAACAACATTAACTATAATAGAATTGTGAAGGATATTAGAATCTTTCAGGAATAAGAGGTTCCCATAATTCCCTAAACCATAATTTTAATAATGATGCAGGTACATGACAATCAGGTAATAATGCAGATGTTGGTTTATTCCATTGATCCATGTGAACTTTTAACGCATTCACTGCATCACTATCTCCCGGTACTCTATGATAATAAAATGAATTTAGTCAGTTTGTTTAATCTATAGAATGGTAACATTGCACCATACTAGGAATAGAGGTATCACAGCTACATTCATTTCTTTACCTAAAGATTCCTTCGGTTGTAAGACCCATCCTTAACACAATTTCTGCTAAAGTAGACAGTATCCATGGTATCTTTCTTTCTGGATACCGCTTTTTTTGTACTTCCATTACTTCCGTTACAGTGCTACCAAATTGTGATTTTTCAATAACTGTATTCTATAAATTTAAGATATAATAAAACTACCATCAATATGCCAGTATGGACAAATAAAAGTAAAATTATATACCATATACCTTCACGTGTATAACTTCTTGTAACGATGGATCATTGTTGCCCTTCTTAGGGCTGGCCTTAGATCTCTGCAATCGTCTCACACAGTAGACTGCATATTCCGCAACTGAAATCTGAAAATATAATCCAATAGTATGTAGATTGAGCAAGTTCACCTTTTTTCAATGGATACTAATAATGAAATGAGATTATTTATTACTATGCATAATTCTACCTTATTATTTCCTATTGTTTCTCCTGTATTAGTCTGAAAATAGCCATCGAGATAGGAATGAAATTTGGTAGAAGGAGGAAACATTTCCAGGAAGATAGCAAAAAGCTCCCATCCTTTAATTAAGCTGTCACTGTGGAGGCGATTATCAAGTCACGAAATAGAAAAAATTATTAAGATATTTTTCATAAGACCATAATACACGTTGGTTAGTAATTCGAATGCAATTTCAATAGTAGCGGCTATGCAGTATGCTAACTATTATCATTGGACTTACACATTATTATTCCTTTTTGTTTGCTTACAAAGCTGAAGAAATATTTCATCGCGGATACCTTTACTTCTCCATCCTTTAGTGCATAAATCTAGAGCAATTTTATCTGGTTCAATGAAGGGTCTATTGGGGCGATCACCCATATATATTTGAATAGGTACTAATCATTAAAGAGAAATAACGTGCTACTATGATTTCTTTCTTAAATTTTTTACTTATTGTGTTACTACATTGTACGTATATGAACATATTAACCTAGTGGAAATAATGAAATTATTGTTATTGTTATAACTTCTATTGTAGTCTATAACAAATATCATGTTTGGTCGTTGGATTAAAAAACTTTAGGATATATTTAAAAAATTCGATTGATTCCTTCTTAAATTTCTTATCAGTCGTCATTAAAAGTGGTTTTTTGATTAATTCCTACAAAATTATTGCAATATCAATAATTTAATAAAACGAAAGATTAAACGTAGATTATAATATTAACGAGCAATTAAATGTGACAATAACTGTAACAAGTATGAATTACCTTTGACCACGATAGTAAATCTGCGATAGAAATTTTTTTCTTGAAAATGAAAACACCTTTGCTATGTTTGGCACAATAAGTTTTGGCGTATTCTGTTAAATTTGGACTACCTTTTTTATAATTCTCAAGACGTTCTATCTGATAATGCTTAAGAAAAGTAAGTGCCAACAGTTGATAAATATGATGAACTATAAAAATAATTTATTAGTAGTATAATTGAAAAAATCACTTCAATACCTTAGGAGATTTTGGAGCAGGATTTGTAACAGGATTTACAATAGAGTTTGTTGATACACTAGTGACAGTGGATGTTGAATCAGGACTCGACATGTTTTGGTCCTGGCGCGCTGGTGTTGGTGCGGAATCTGTTACATCTGGTGCAACACTTGAATTCGTTGTTTCGGTTGATCGATCAGTTGAAGGTATAGCATTACTATCGATATTATTATTATTATGATCTCGAGTAGCACTATGCGAAAGAAAGTAATATGATTATGAAACCATGAATACATTTATATTCATGCAATACCTTTATAACATTTTAGTTATCACATTTAGTGAGACCACATGGATATTCTAATTTAGATAATATTATAAAAATGTTTTTATTTGAATCAGAAAAATCTATGTCTTGCCTAGTAGTTTCAACTGTGTCAGCTGCTGTAGATTCATTCGTATCAATATCATTATTTCCATTAATTTGGTTATTTTCAGGTATTTCAGCGTTATTGGATGGTGTGCCCTCTGTACAATAATCGATATATATGCATATATATCAATATCATAATCAGACGTTAGAACGAATACATTGCTAATGAAGGTACTAATTTAGAATATAAATCCTTCCTATTACAACAGTAGTGGTGATAACTATTTCAACAAAAAATATCATTGATTTACCTGTTTCATTGTTAGAAGGTTGTGATTTATTTACTGCTCTCCGCTGTACAAATTCCTGGATTATATTAGAAAGTATAATCAAATGAAAAGAGCATTCTTGAGTCATTTTTCAATTAATTCATTTTACATAAGATTATATGTAAATTTATATTTATGATGACTCTAGTTCCAAAAGTGCCAATCCTTATGACCATTCAACTATTTGTAACTATAAGCACATAATTGGCTTGTTGTTGTTAATTAAGCAAGTATCGTAAGTTATAAACCCATACAAGGTTTAAATTGGAGAAATAAAAGATTTCCGAAGAAGTTTTTTAAATTAAATGAATAGGATATGATTTATTTCATGATACGTTTTAGAACACAATGAATGAAAATGGTATGATTTTAGACTATTAAGTAATCATTTACCTGCACTACAGTTAATGGTATGATATCAACGTTGCTTGGTTTCTCCCATAATGTCTGGCGTGATACTGCATTATAATAATAAAAGCTGTTTGTTATAATATCATAAAATTCCCACCATACTTTGTTGTCGACTTTTCGCCTACAATTTGAGTAACACAGAAATAACGACATGAGAATGTAACAATTTCAACAAGATGACAGTACATTGTGGTTGCTTAAATAAGAGTAGTTAGGGGATTGTAATTTTAAGAGTTGCCTACTGTGTAGTTCTTTTACAGTTTTATACTCTTGAATGAGTATTTGATATAGTGTTTAGTTGCAATAGTCACAAAAGAGTTGATATTATTTACTTGAATTAGTTAATCAATGTTTTTTAATATTTTTTACATATGATACTGATTATAATTATTAAATAGAATTGCATATTAATTTACTCATTCAGGTGGTAAAGTTTTAGAAGGCGATAAAGTGTCATAAATTACAGTACAAAGTGTAAGTCATTTTAGTAGCATTATTTTAGCAAAAATTTATAAATTATATAGACAGAAAGTGTAGTAACAGTTTCCTGATTGTAGTATTATAATACGAATTTCTATTTTAGTCTAGTTTTGTGATAAGGCAAGGTATCACCACAAGATTCGAGTAAAAGCGTACGCATACCATAAATTTCAAAGATGAAATGCAATGTAATTAATCATGCATTGAAGGTTTAACTAGTTCAATTGATAAATCATCTACAATTATGATAATGATACACGTTATATATATATATTATATATGTAAGTTTGCGAAAATGAATGAATCACAATATACAAGTCGTAACTATGTTGCTGAACAATTTGTTTTTTTTGGAAAAGGTGAGTTTATACTCGTACGATTAGAGAGTGTAGGGATAAATTAGAAATAGGTGTCGACTTGATTAAAGTTTACGTTAATTATTAAACGGTTCTAAATTCTACAACTGGTCGGTAGGATTAGTAGAAGTAATTTTCTCCCTTCCAGCGAGTACAACGATCCCATTAGTAAGTTACAATTACACTGTACTGTATTTACTAAAAGTTATTCATGCTATCAATGATAATTATCTGTAAGAACTAATCAATGCAATCTAGCTCGGAGTTTCCATTAACGAAGAAAAGTCACTTCAATAAATAATATGCGGCCGCTATCCTACGTGAAGTAAAGTATGCAATCTTTAGGAAGCAGCGTTATAGTTTATAAAAGTGACATATCAGGACAGAAGAGACTGACAATAAATTAATGATGAAAAAATAAAAAATGTTAGTTGTGATAGAAACTCGTTAACAAAACTAGAGAAAAAAAAATTGCTGGTCAAAGAAAAAAAATTGATACCATTTTCTTTTAGTAGTCTCTACTTGAAATAATCTACATTACAGCATGGTATGATATTATGTACAGCATTTTATTACTCAATGCCGAACATCTACATGCTAAAGTTAGTTCTTGTTTCCTATTTAATCACCCTGAGTATTATAGCGATGAATAATCTCTCATCTTTTGCATTATGTTTTAACAATAATACTATAGCATTCTTCCATGAGTCGAACTTCCTCCTTTGGTGTTCAATTCAATTATTGAGTTTAAGCTCCTTTTGTATTGGGTAAGATCTTTATTAGTAACAGCATATGGTTTATTCGATTATGACTACATTAGCCGCTTTCAATGAACTTGACTTAATGAAGACCATTCCTAACGGGCTATTTCATGTTTGATAATAGATTCTATTATTTTTTCTTTACCCAAATAAGTAGCAAAGATGATGCAATTTGTTATCGCTAAACATGGTTAGTATTCAGTTTGGGACTACGATAATTTTTGGAACGACTGCAGCGAGATTAGTACTGTACAATGTTGTAGTCACTTGTAAAAAAAAATGAGCATGAGGATATAAATGTCAACAATGGTAAAACCAGTAATAATAATCCATCACTCTCTGCTATATGTATTCATATCGATTTATCGAAAGAAAAAAAGTGTCTCTATTGCCATCGAAAACAATTAACTAAATATAGTAGAGTATATTCCTGTACTGAAGTCATTCAAAATGTTAGCTCATTTTTCTAGCACTTTCTTTAATTTTTTATTTTGCGTTTACCGAGTAAAAATGGTTAGTCTAGAAGTCAGAGCAATAGGATTTAATGGTGATATTTACTTCTTTACTTGAGATTTCTACTTAATCTCAACTCTACTAACATGATAAAAAAATACTTCAATCAAAATGCAAAATAATTTTGTACAAGACCTTCATCATCATGACATAAAACGTTACTGCAAATTTTTTATAGGTACGCCTACGTATCGATTAGAAGTTAATCCCTGTCTTAACGTATTGAAGTGATAGGAATCATTTTTAGAGATTGGATCTAGTCATGATTTAGTGTAAAGAATAGAATACGAATAGCAAAAACCAATTACAAGATTGATATGTGTAATCATTTCCCGAGATGGATAAAATCTATTCAAGATAAGTTGGTTAAGATGGAAAGTAATCGATTTTAGCACTACCCTTGATTAGATTAAAACTGCATCACTACTTATGAAGAGAGAATGGAATTTGAAGGTTTTCAGGCGGGCCACAAGCTATGCCCAAACATTGCAGTATATCAACATTCGCTTCTATCGTGATACTGTATACTGTACTAACGGTGTTTGATCAAGTTTGAAAGCAATGGCTTGTTTTCTATAGCCAGTAAGATAAATTCACCTCGACAATGTAGTTCATCGCAAATTGGTTGAGTTGGAGAAAAAAAAATTCAATCTCTGCAACGGCCAGTGGTATATTTTGCTAACTTGGTTATCAATATACGTACTGTAATCAGTTAAGTAAACACATTTAATGATGATCACATAGGGTAAAGTAGAATATTCTGGTTGGATTCTATGTATAATGACTATGAATGGATAAGAGTGGATAGAGTGGATTGATGCTAGCATTCTAGCTTAATTTTATATGTCAAAGGAAATTCACTGGTTAGTAATGTGGACAAGGACAATCGAGCAGATATGATTTTGCAGGGAAATTTTTTCCTTTTCAACTTGTTTTTGTATGACATGTTTTCATTGAAATTTCAAAATTTTTTGGATTTTATAATTTCAACATGTTTGAAGTTATTGCACTTACGCTTGCTCTCCATCGGGTGGCTGTAATAAAATCTGGCCAGTTTTATAACTGACAACCATGGATTTCTGTGAGCGAGGTTCAAGGACCTCAATCCATTCGGCGCTATATACATCGTCATGATAGAGAAGAAAAAAAAGGAAAACATTAACACTTTGTACTAACTGGGTTGTTTATCCCCATGACTAATCCAATTGAATATCACAGTAGGCTGTCCTTCATGAGTAATACTGAGGTTGAACAAGGTAAAACAAGACTTGTCTAGTCAAAATAATCAAGGTCTAAGAGAGAAGTCTATGATACAATTTGTAGATCCGTTTCGATCTCTTCAAGTAGGACTAGTCTTTGTCGCCATGCATGACTGTAACCAGGACCTGTCAAGTCGGTTACTGTATGACAGTTCAAATTGCTTCTTTATCGTTTTCATTTTGCCTAGTAAAAGTCCTGTTTGAATCTTGTTCTCTTCAACGATAGACTAGTACTCAAGTATTGTACAAAGAGAAGAACAACCCTAGTAGTTATTTCTTCTCCTTTTGGCCATTTCAATGGATCTTTACTTACAGAAAATTTTCGTCGGTCATGGTCATGTCCAAGTCAACGACTGGCTTGGGTCGGCCGTGTCTAAGCCCGTCTCTCTTCTACGCTTGTACGTGTACGCCAAAGGAGCAGAACCAATGCAATTTAATGTCTGATCAGGCCAAATAGCTCGATCCAAGCTTAGCAGTGAGAATTCCACTCAATGCTATCCTTATCCTGAAGGATTTAGAAGCAAGAATCAGCTAAGGAAATGTGATGTTATGTCAATATTAGTTTTAAGATGGCGTTATTAAAGAAGCCTCCGTCATCATTGGGTGTCATCAGCTGATCGAGAGTGACGGTACGTGTGAGCTCATGTCCAACGTTGACTGTGATGCCTTGCAAGCGATTTACTGTGGTGTACGTACTGTAGATGGAGTCGTGTTGCAAGACGATTGACGTGTTGAGCGGGATGACTACTGTAACTGTACTGCTGTACGTACTGTAGATGGAGTCGTGTTGCAAGACGATTGACGTGTTGAGCGGGATGACTACTGTAACTGTACTGCTGTACGTACTGTAGATGGAGTCGTGTTGCAAGACGATTGACGTGTTGAGCGGGATGACTACTGTAACTCTACTGCTGTACGTACTGTAGATGGAGTCGTGTTGCAAGACGATTGACGTGTTGAGCGGGATGACTACTGTAACTGTACTGCTGTACGTACAGTACTGTAAATGGAGTCGTGTTGAACGGCATGACTCGACCGTGGCAGCAGTAGCAGCAGCAGCGACAATAAATAATAAAGTATCAGTACGTTGAACGCTCGAATAGTGATCGATACTGCAATCCGTATACAGTACAGTGTCTCCCATGTGAACAATCAGCTGGCAATTTGGACTACCCTGCAGGGTGCTTGTAGTTTGCTTTGTACTGTAAATAAATAGAGTTGACTGAACTTTACAGTACAGTATGACAGTACTGCACACTGTAGAGTTGTACTGTAGTGGGCGGTACAATAGAGAATCGTAGGTGATTGACAGCGTAATGGGCGTGGGACACGCCCTTCCCTTTACAGTACTTGTACTGTACTTATCCCATAATAAATCCTATCCTATCCTATCCTGGCCTGGCCTGGGCGTCCAGTACTGTACTGTACAGTACTGTACTGTAAGTTCAGACGGGCGTTCTGTACAGAGTACTGTACAGTACTCGCTTTTCATGATAGTGACACTGTACAGTACAGTACAATCAATATTCGCACTTTCGGAGTCACTGAGTTCATGTACTGTACGCTTTGTACTGTACACTGTACAGTAGATCACATGGCAAGGCGCCGTTGCTTGCTGTGTCCAATGGAATCCTGTGGCAGGGACCAATCAGGAAAAAATGGGTTACTTTCTTTCTCTTGGAAAAAGAAAAACTTCCTTTTAGAGGAGTGAGAGAAAGTAATCCAAGTTTTTCTTGAGTAGTCAGTCTATGACGGTACTGTACCTTTGAATTCGCTTCTTAATCAAAACAAAATTTGAAGCTTCAATTTTGCACTGCGTACAATATTCATTGATGTTGAGATACAAGACCCATTTGAGTACCTGAATATGAATTTGATTTTGTCAAATTTTTGACGTAGAGTCGTGATTTGAACCAACACAGGTACTCTAGGTACTGCCGTACGGTGGCCCAAAAGGGACAACTTTACCCAGTAGAATCTGCACAGTTGTGAAAGAGCATTTCTACATCCAGTACTGTACACTGTACAGTACAGGATTCTACAGTACTGTACTGTATTGTAGAGTGCAAATTCTACTGTACAGTGTACTGTAGAATCCCATACTGCCGTACAGTACATAGTGTCTGCTAAAGTTACCGAGATAGTACTGTAGTGTTCTTTACCGCATGATGTTGGCTGGCAAGCGGCATACTGTACAGTATCGTGCTGTAATGTGTAATAGTGTGCATGTCCTCAATGCAAGTGGGCAACTTTTAACTAGTGTAGAGCAACAATTGAGTTCCACAGTTCATTCTGGTTCCTACAGACTACAGTACAGTACTGTACAGAACAGGCAGTCAGTACTCAGTACAGTAGGGTAAAACTAAAAATAGTAAAAACTGCCTTCTTTTCTTTGTACTGTACTGTACAGTACGTACTGTACCTCTACAGTACAGTACACTGTACGGTGTACAGTACTGTTATTCACTATATACGCATGTGCGCTTCTCGCCTCCTTCCTTCTGCGACGTTTATCGAGAAATCGACGACGTGCATCCATCTTTTCCTTGGCCGTCGGTAAGATATCTTTGAAAAATCAAACAGCTAAAACACCATCGTTCATATTTGTTCGTCAAATTTTAAAAATTAACTTTCTAATGATGTTCCACAACCATTTTTAAAATCAATTCGTCCCGATAACTCGCTTATTTTTGCTGTTGATGATTTTAAGTCCTGCACTTTTGACATTACACAACACTATCAATCTCACTACCACTTGTACACTTGATAGATCACTATCAAATACATTGGCCATAAAGAATCTGTTAGACTTTGTAGTAAACTACCTAGTTATCGAGTAGGTTATCTTCTAGCCATTTGAAAGTGTCAGAGTTGTAAGATGTCATATTTTCATCTTTTGTTACCAATCTTTCCGTAATCGTTAAGCAAGTAGAGTACGCCACTTACTAGATTCAGTACTGTACAAGCATACAAAGTATCGAATTGCATGCAGCTTCTCCAAGGTTTGCAAATGCGAGAGATCAGAAAATGTTACAGCCAACACTGTATATAATTAAACAGTACAGCAACTGCATGCAGAAATTGAAATTGTTCTTGTCTAAAAGCTTGCAGCTTTTGTCCATGTAGACCAGGGAAATATTGTTATTGAAAAATGAGAAAAGTTGCGCTGTATTTTCAGCATGATGGAAGATATATACAGTACTAGACTTATTTTAATTGTAAACCACCGACTTTTAAATACCTTCACTTGCGGTAGTCTTAATCGTGTTGCTACTGTCTACCCATGAATCGACCAAGGGTTGAACTCGCAGCTATTAGAGTAGCACCTTAACCTATTGAAACAGAGTTTTGCTATACTGCGTGTTGTGAAAACGACGAATCAATAGGTTAGAAAGTTTCACCGATTGAAGAGTACACTCTGCTATGCTTAGATTGCTTTTCATGTTATGGAAAATCGCTATACTGGTGTATTTTCTTGGCATTTAAAGTTTAGACTAGCAAATCCTATGCGTACAGTAGCCAGTCATTCGTATGCATATCTCTGCACTTCTAGGTGATCCACATATTGTATACCTTCAATTAAATGAACATGTCTATCGCCAATGTATGGGTGTATTTGATAATGATAACTGCCATTAAAATAGTCATACATTCATTCTTGTTTTATTGCAGATTATGATACGCCTTTAGCGATTAGACAATTTACCTTGTGTAAACTCCTTTTCTTTTTTCTAGTTATTTGTAGTTATAACGAAATGGGAGCATACAGGTATTTAGAAGAATTGCATAAAAAGAAACAATCTGACTTGTTGCGATACACGATGCGTATCCGCACCTGGTACTACCGTCAGTTGGCATCCGTGCACCGTGTCAATCATCCAACACGTCCTGATAGAGCACGAAAACTTGGCTACAAAGCTAAGCAAGGCTATGTCATCTATCGTGCTCGAGTACGACGTGGTGGTCGTAAGCGTATGGTCAGGAAAGGTGCAACAATGGGTAAACCTACCAACCAGGGTGTAAACCAGCTCAAATTTCAAAGAAGTTTACAATCTGTTGCTGAGGTAATTTCTAAACCCACTTGATCGTTGCTTGTTATTTGTCAATAATTGAATTGTCACTTCATTTTCCAGGAGCGTGTCGGTCGTGCCTGTGGCGGCTTACGTGTACTCAATTCTTACTGGGTATGCGAAGACTCTGTTTATAAATATTATGAAGTAATTGTGGTTGATCCTGCTCACAAGGCTATTACCCGTGATGCACGTATCAACTGGATATGTAATCCTGTTCATAAACATCGTGAATTACGTGGCCTGACTTCAGCAGGAAGGAAAAACCGTGGTTTGGGCAAGGGTCATCGTTACACCAAGGTTATTGGTAGCTCTCGTAGAGGCGGTTGGAAGCGTCGTAACACTCTACAGTTGAAGAGATTTCGATAGATAATTTTTCACCTGATATGTTCATTGTTAGCATCATTGTTTATGTAAAATAAAAGAAAACTTATACTGTGAGTGTTTTAAATGCGTGTACAAGTTGATTGCCAACAACATGTTAGTTTATTCTGATTTACCAAATGATCGTGAAGGTTATTCATTAAGGACGATTACCTTGCACAGACTATTTAGGTTGTTTATTGTTCAGCGAACGTTGTTGATTATTAAATGTATAGCACTGAACTATCAATCTTCAGATGACGAATAGCACCAATTGATAGTACTCATGCAGTAGGGCATGATTTATCACGTAAACTTTACATATGCAAGTTCTACTAGATACGCGTAGAGAAGTAATATCTGTACTGTTCAATCAAACCTGGAGTATCATTTGAGAGGTATCCGGAATTACTGTAGAAGTTAGTGACTTTCTATCCCAACTGCTTTACGAAACTTGCTCTTTGCTATCTACGATTCAGTAGTAACAACTCTACATGTGAACGCATTAATCTGTGGTCAATAGTTCATGCTATTGCTTGTGCTACAATCTCGTAATATGAAATCCAGAATATTGCTCGATAAGGTTGGGTGAGGAGTGGTAGAGAGTATAATAATATGTAATATGCTTATACTGTGTATCACTTGTTGAAAACAGCTACAAATACTATAATTAATACAGTCCCTGACTCTTTATTGTAGCCTATCTTCATTCTTCGCTCTTACTTAAGCAACTAAATATCAAAAATGACTACGTTAGCATACTACTCGTATACTGTAGCCTAAACTAGTAAATACTTCCGCAAAGTATTTAGTAGCCTATGACTGTAGATAGAAAATTACAAGAATCTCGCTCGATTTTTTTCTAGTACAGGAGTAGTCCACGAGTCGACGATACTGTACAGTATACTATACAAGAAATTAAGTAATATTTCAATGAATTCTATGTGGCTAACTTCTACATAAAAGTACTTAAATAACGCCATAAATGTTTTTAATTAGGGTGCCAGTGACTAAGAAATTGCATATTAAGTGCGCTATTTTTCGATATTTCCAACTTTGAGTTGGTATCTTGTAAAAATGTCTGTTCGTCTGAAGCTTTCATCAGGAACTTCTAAGTACCCACTACTGACTGCATGATGGAATGACATCACATGGTACTAGATCCCTCGCGCATGACACTACGTACTATACAGCGCATGCGTACAACTTTCCCTGACTGGGCATATTCCTGTACTATACTGTAGGAATGAAATGTACTATTAATAGATAGACTGGTTGTGCTGAGTCAGATTTTCTTGACTTATAACTCAAGCAACGCAACACTTGTTCTCCAGTGCACAAATCATGATGGAAATACAAGAGGATTCTTCATCCGACATCTCGGCAAATAGGAACAAGAAATATACATGCCTGGCATGCGGTATAGCTTTTCGTGAAGCAGAGCTGCAACGCGCTCATTATAAATCGGATTGGCACCGGTACAATTTAAAGCGCAAGGTAGCTAATATGCCAGCAGTAACAGCTGCAGATTTTCAAGTTCGGGTATTAGCAGCCAGGGATCGAGCTCAAAATGAAGTCAATCAACAGAATCATGGTTATGCTTGTAATTCCTGTAAGAAATATTTTAACAACCAATCCACTTTAGAAAATCATTTAAAATCAAAAAAACACCGCGATTATGTGTTGAAATCAAAGTCGAAAAGAACTGATGAAACAAAAACTGAAAACCATCAAGAAAAATCCAGCGTGGAAGAAGAGCGTCAAGAAGAAAGTCATGACGAGGAGGAAATTGAAGAATACCAATTAACGATTAATGATTGCTTATTTTGTTCACATGAAAGTGTTAATCTCCAGTCCAATTTACGACATATGATGCGATCGCACAGTTTTTTTATACCCAATATCCAATACTTAACGAATATTGAAGGCTTTATGGAATATTTATGTCAAAAGATATCAATTGGATGCGAGTGTTTATATTGCAACGATAAAGGAAAGGCATTTCAGACCTTAGAAGCGGTGAAAAATCACATGCTTGACAAAGGTAGGTTAGAATACTATGGCTATGAATGACGTATACATGTTCGATTACTCCATTATGATCTACAAAGCGTAAAGAACATTTCTCGATACGACAAGATGCTGTACCCCTTATATAGATTAGTTTTCATGGCTTTACATTACCTGTAAGAGATTCTCCACATCCGCTGTACAGTACTTACAAATAGTACTTGTCTTATGCTAATTAATGCTAAAGAAGACCAGTCAATTTATTGCTGCTTTGCGTTGTAAGAAACTAGACACTGCCCAAGTGTATTTGCTAATTTTAGTATCATTTATCGTAACAACACGACACAAAGTTTTAAACCCAAATTTGATGCTAGATAAGAACTAGACATGACGTATATTTTAGACTCATATCTTATCTTTATTTACAGGACATTGTAAATTTTCCGATGATGAAGAATCAATGCTTGAATATTCCGACTTCTACGATTTTAGTAGTAGTTATCCAGACCATGTAGAAGGCGTAAGTTGTTGCCTGAAGAACGTTCGTTCGTAAACCTTAGCTGCAGTAATTCTTACGATATTTAACAATACGTAGAATACCTGTATAGTAGCGACTAATTTAAAGCTAATTCGCTCATGCTACATCATGCTATATGGTGTAGATTAGAATTGCCTAACCTAGTAATTGTTATAACAAAGTATAAAAGGTATATACGTACCCTTTATTAGTTTATTTCGTCCTGATAACCAATAATTATATTCCTTTAGGATGAAGATGAAGACGTTGCTGCTGTTGCTAAAGACATTCAGTTATCTGATGATGGCATGACGCTGATACTACCCAACGGAAATCGTATAGGCCATCGATCATTAAGAGTATTTTATAAGCAACAATTTTCCAATCTTCCAGCCATGACGCCTGCTGAAAAACGAGCAATTAAGAGTAACTTGATGTCTCAGTACCAAGTAATAGGATGGAATACTACTGCTGCTCTATCAAAGTCATTTATAAAGCGACATAACAAAGTCCGTGAAATTAGTCAAAAGATTAAATCCAAGGATGCAACAAGGCTAGCAGTCAAAGCTAATAAATTCCAATTTCATTTTAGGTGTCAAATTGATTTTTAAATATCTTGATCAAATTTCATTAAATTATATGTATCTTGTAATATCAGATACTTGTTGGATTGCTTGTTTATGAAGTTGAGCATAACTTTTTCAGGGACACGATATAGAGCAGTAACGATGAAGCTATAAGCTATTTCTAATATGTAAATATTTTGTCAGAAAGCCTAGTAATCATTGAACGTTTATTTGATGACAAAGTATTTAAATCTACTTTACCTTGAATTAGTAAATGCAATGTAAGATCATGCATAAATTTTTCCAGATTCATTCATTCAGCCTCGAACGATTTTACGTTGCTTAGTCAATATTCTATCGGTTATTGTATACAGTATTTCGTTTAATAAAAATATATCATGATTCTGATGTAAAGGCATAGTGTATTCGAAAATAAAATCTACTGTGTACGAAATGACAGCAGCAATTGCTTTGAAATTTATTTTTATTCTTCCAGTGCAGTAAACATTTAAGTTAATGCAGCACGTACATGCATGTGATATAATATGCTTACCAAATAATCTACTGTATAAAGGTGAGTATTAAGTCTACTAGTGATTTCCATCTTTGTAGTGCCGGTTAATGGACATAATGATGCATGACATAGTTGATTGGAAAAGCATGTTAAAATTTTTCAGATTGGAATGTCACGTCAAAGTTGACATTAATTTTTGGAGCTATAGCTGCTAGTAGTTGTTGAATACTGCAAATCGATTGAAGAAGCAAATTTGCTATTAAGTCAATGGGATTTAGCTTGCCTCTGGAGGTTAGTTTGAGAATATCAGTAATGCGATCTGATTGCGAAAATTGGCGGTACTGTATTAGTAGTCATGGAGTACCAATGTACCTTTACAGCTACTGCCGATTGGTACTAAATTAACGTAATCTGTTAATGTATGAAATGTATCAACCATTATAGCTACTCTCGATGCGGTACCATTTTGTTTTACAAAATCTTACGGTTGATCTGAAACTGCATGTACCTATTTGTGACAGTCTACTGTATGCTTCTGCTTACGAACTGTATGCCTTTTAAATGAATTCTATTCTGTTATTTAAGATGCATAACATCGTATATACTGTACAATGTACATAGATGTCGGCATTACGCATATGGATACGTCAATATTAATGGGCCTATCGCAAATATAGGTCATGTTACTTCTTACGACCAGTGTGACAGTGACTCATGATTTTCAATATTTAACCAAAGAACGTCATGCACCAGTACAGCACAGTATTATGCTGTATTTATTATCTGAAAGATAACAGTTGATTTATTTAGCTCCCATATGCTATTAATTAATCGTAATGTTAAGAAGATACGACAACTTATTGAAAATGCTGAAATAGGTGAAATTTACTGGTCTGCCTGAATTATTATCATAATAAATGAAGTCATTATTATGGAATGTTATGACATCATTAGTATTCTTGTCCAGCACCGACGGCTTTCATGGCTAGCTATCTCATTTTGTAGCACTAAATGTATTCATGAAATGCCGTAGTAACTAACACGTACGACAATAGCATTCATTTATGATGCAGAAAGTTTAGTAATAAGGCAATCTACAGTACGTGATTCATGTATTTCAACATAACATTATGCTATACCCCTTCTACTCAACCAGCACTGCTGTCCTAATCATAGCGTACTCTATTACCGAGTAATCTATACAGTCTATTAGATAACATTGATATAATAGACATTATCTATACGGCCTATTCTTCTATCAGCGTGCCCGTTTTGACTGTGCAATCTGATACGCTAACATGACTGCCAAGTATAGATATTATTATAGACGTAGCAATCCATAGTCGAAGAAGCCTTCTCAAGACAGCGTTAACAATGCAAACAATAGATATCCTTTCCACCAATCAGAAGAGGGTGTCATAGAGTGTTGTGTTGTCAGCTATTATTTTATCGGCACGGTTTGGGTGCGCAGGTTGAAACGTTGATACGTCAAGGGACTAAAAGCAATCTATTTCTCTAGGTAGGGGCGTTATCCTTGCAAAAATCTACTCGATCCTTTTCCTTTTTTATATATATATATATATCCTGCAGTTCAAGACTGTAGCGCAATAACTCGATCACCTATGGCTAAGATGGAACAGATTAAGAAAAAGTTGGAAGAGCTTAAGCAAGACACGGAAGAAGCTAATACACGAGCGGACGAATCGGAAGTAGCTCGTAAAGAAGCTTGTGGTCGATTGGATATTGCTGAACAAGAACTTGCATCGTTAATACGTCGTAAAACGTTATTAGAAAGCGATTTAAATCGTACCGAAGAACGTTTATCCGAAGCTGAATCGAGGTTAAATTCCGCATCGACTTCCAATCTAGATTTAGAAAATGAAAGGAAACGACTTGAAGATGTGGATTATGCTGACGATGAAAGAATTGATCAAATTGAGAGTGACCTTAAAGCGGCCAAGTTATCCACTGAAGAAGCCGAACGACAATTTGAAGAAGCTGAACGAAAACTAAGAGTTTTAGAAGGCGATCATCAACGGGCCATTGAAAAGGCGTCAAGTAGTGATTCTAAAATTACTAATTTAGAAGGAGAATTACAGGGAGTTAATGAAAACTTGAAGGAAGCAGACGATGCTGAAAGAATAGCCAATGATCAAGAGGAAGACTACCAAGCCAAGATTAAAGCTCTAGAAGAGCGTCTCTTGGCTGCTGATGTTCGATTAGAAGCTGCAGATAGGCGTAAAGGCCAGTTAAATCGTCAACTAGGGGAAATCAATGATCTGTTGGATGAAAAAAGACGTAAGTGTGAAGCTGTCAAGGATGAGTTAGATAGTATATTAGAAGAACTCAACGAAGCTTAATAGACCAATTCTAATTTAAATAGTTATGCTTGAAAAAAATTGGCCTTTACTACTGCTATAGTAGTAGTATAGTTACAAAATTATTTTCCATCATCACTCCAATTTGATTTAGTAGACTTTCCTATTTCTGCTTTCCTTAACGTCAATTCTGCTCCAATCATCCACCAAAGCCATTTTAACTATTTCATCTTGACTCTATACACTCTGGTACTAAGTAATAAAAAAAGAAGTTCATTATAATTAATACAATGGTCATATTTTCCTTGAAGTTTCTTAGCTAGAATGTGTCTATAGCGAATCATTTTTGGTTTTATATTCAGCAATCTACTTGTCTCACAATAAAAGAAATCATCATGGATACACTTTTGGTTGTTGATTACTTGCGTATCCATTCAGTGGTATCTTTTACTATCGAAAATAGAAAGTGTGAAAAAAAATAAAGCTATTTTGTGCTGCTTACTAAAAAATGTACCACTGCTATGTTGCAGCTTTCTTTCTTATCCCTATATGATTTTTTTGGACGTTCATATTGCAGTATTTATAGCCTGGATAACAAAAATTATGTTTATACCAGTATCGATTGCTAGAATTCATTTATCTAAAAGTTGTTTTAAAGGGGCTTGTCATAATAATCATTATCCAAATAAAGCTACGTACATATACGAAAAACTAGTAATTTGATGTGTTGATCCATTTCCCACCCCCCCCCCACCTGGTTTATCTTTAGCTTACATAAATATCACTCTAATTTTACTATAAATTAATCACAAATTTAACATTACTCTCTTCTTATATCTCTTAATGACTTTGCCAATACTATAAGCAACTTCCGTGCTTTTTAATTCTTACTTCATTACATATTCTATATTAGTAGCTAGTTTACTATCGTATCAGAATAATAGAGCTAACCTATGCGTCTGTTAGACTAATTATTATTTTTTCATATATCGTCGTTATACTATAAAGTATCTATCCACGATATTCGTAATGTAGGTAGAAGAGTCAATTAAGTACTAATAATAGATCTATCGATTAGTATTATTCTATAAAATAATCCGATTATTGCCAGCGACTCGTTAATAATATAATTAACCATGGTAGAGAGCTTAAGATTCGTCATCTGTGTACCGTGACGCTTCTGAAATGCGGTAAAATCAATACTATTCCATGAATAAATTAATAATCATTTTAATATTGCATGATCCTACACTTACTTTCAAGCATTCTAGGGCTATTAGTACTGATGGTAAGCTAGATTATAATAATTTTAATAATGGCCACGTAGCTTATCCACAAATGTACGCGTTATGTCGGTTGCTTCAAATATATTCTTAAGCAGTAATTTTTTTCAAAATTCACTATATTGTTCATTTAAGTGGATAAATATTCCATCGTTGCCTCAATTCGCTATCGAATGGGTAAAATTGAAGTTTTTTCAAGCATGCCATCGACCATTCTAACCTATCTATGTCATGCTGTGCGGCCATGTTGTCATACGGTATGTATCTTTTTTGTTGAAATAGCATCGTATATACAAAAGAGAAAAAGATTTACACTTTTCCGGACGATCGTATTGGCTCACTAGCACCTCGCTAAAGCTAGTGCAGCAGAGATTATTTACAGTTTGAGTTACAGTTGGACAACAAATGCCTCTAATTTATACTGTATCTACACAAAACTGGTAAAAGTAAATAATAAACGTGAAATTATAATGAGATGGGATTTTGTTAGAACTACTAGCATATACAGTTTTGGTAGTACGTCTATACCGAGGTTTAATCTACAGTACTGATAATATCTGCGTGATTCTAGTATATTATCTATAAAATGGATTGCCGTCTCATTCTGATGTCATAAAAATGAATTCTAGCATAACTTGAATTCTTGACTTCAAAAGGAAGTTATTTTCATTCACCATCACGGTGAACTTTTTTCATACTTTCAAGTATCTTAAAGATGTTGTATCGTTGATATTTTCATCAAGCATGGAGAAAACTCACATAAAACTCTTTACCGATCGACATAGTCGACACATCTTCCCTTAGTAGCTAAAGGAACTGCAATCACATGCGTCTTGTGTATTGATATCTAGGTATACAGCAATTCCATACCCTCATGCTGTTTCTCATTATAAAAATCTAAAAACAGTATAGACAGTAATTTGACGCTGCACTGTCTTGAATAGTTGCAAGAAAAGATGTTTTGTTCAATCTCCGAGACTAGTTATTCTTAGTAATATAAATAATATTGATTTGTGATGAATACGACGTAAAGAAGATCCCTCCTTTTATTGCTGCTGTATTTTATAATACTATCAATATACTGCATGGAACTCTATCTATTTGAAACAATTCGTCGGTCTTTTTAGTGAAACTTCCTTTTAGGCTTTCTACTATTGCTAGCGTGTGTTTGACATACTATTATTATATTTTGTAGGACTATTTAGTTGGAATAATTCTTCGGCTTTTAGAGAACGCTTCCTTCCAGTCCTTCTACTGTACCATTACCACTACGTTTAAAATAATGTCATTATAATGCAAAAGACTTTCTTTTAGCTACAATTCTCAGTCTTTTGGAGAAGACTTCCTTCTAGCTCTTCTACTATTTTTGTGCTACGGTATTTATAGTACTATAATTATACTGTACAAGATGATGTTTATCTGAAATAGTTTTTCAGTCATTTGATACGACTGTATTGTATTTAATATAATATACTGTAAAATACCATGACTGCAAAGTAATTATAGAACCTTACAAATCTAAAATAAAACTTTAGTTTTATATGGGGGGGGGGGGACTTTTGGTATCAATCATAGAGGTTCTGAGCTATCCCTAGCTGCTAATATCGTCGTATGTGGAAGGCAGACACGCTTAGCGTTGTCTCAGTTCTCAGCTGACCAAAAAAATATGCTGAAGATTAATAAGAATGAAAATTGAAATACTCTTAATCTTGTAGTATATTACACTTTCACGCAGCAAGAAAGACTAGTTATATTAGTAAGTTAACTGAAAAATACTAGTCAAATCATGGCTTCATACAGTACTTAATAACAAGTAGATATTTTAGTAACGATAATTTAGATAGTATTTGAATAAACAAGTCTAGCATAGGAATACCATACAATTATAGCTAGAATACAAATTATCGATATATCTATCCTAACCCTAACTGTGAATTCGTCATTGGTTGTAAACTCATGTCGTGTTATGTATGGATTGGGCACTATTTTAGTAGCAAAACTAAGCCACAGATCCCATAGAAGAAGTTTCTGCGTTTTGTTCTACTGTATACAGTATTGCAACATTGTTGAAAAGCAAAGCTCAATCCTTTTAGGTCGCATAAAATTTAAGAATAATATACACGTAGACGTAGAAAAGTATAATTGTATCACGCTTGGCTAGTTTAATTCACTGTTAGCTTGCGCCTCCAGGCGATGATAGTCTAGATTGTCAAGGTAGTGGTAATAAGAGCCATAGGTCATTGATTGTACTCGAGATTTAAGCCTTTAACCTACTCAGATTGATTTTCTTCATTGAAATCAAGCTTTTGCCCTTTAATGTGGGATAAGTATTAACAATGACTAAAGGAATCTAAGTTTTGCTGACCACCTATAGTCATTATACGCTATTCTTCAGGTCTTGTTTAAGTTTATATGCTCTGTAGGGAACTGCTATACAAAAATTACTATCACCAAAGCTTTCTCCAAATTGAACAGCATTTAGTAGATCTATGCATGATATAAGAGAATACTGTATATTGTAACTTAACAGTGCAGAGATACCGGCATCAAAGATTGTCTGATGATGGACAACATTATAATCAATATAAAATTTTTAGCCAATAATAGAAATGTATTTCGATATCAGAGTAAAATACCACATAAAGTGAAGATAGACTTAGTAATACAGTTACCAGGCAGAGAAGTATTTTTAATATACAGTACACTGTATAAATACGTATTATTAATTTTACTTTTTTAAGAATTGGATTAATAATGTCACTCTTTCACGTCATGTGATACAATTGCATGGCATATGAAATTGAAAAGTTGTAGTTAAAGTATGCAAGAAATGGATCGGATATTTCAGGATACTTACAGATCTCTAGCACTAGCACTAATTACAGTTGTACAAGCTAAATAACGTTAGCCTAAACCTGGTCAGCTACATAAAGTATTACAAATGCAACGATTGCTGCTTCGTCGCAAATGAGTTTTCTTACGAATCTCTATATACAACTAGCTGATCTGAGCTATATACAATAAGAGGTAAATCTATTAGTAGAATTTCATGATGAATGAGGCATAAAGTAGAGAAAAAATATAGATGCAAGCGTTAACAATACTCAGATCAAGTAAATCTCTACGAATGCAGATATCAAGTGACAAATTGTACGTTATTAGCAATTGTTGTAAGAAATTTTTCGCAATCTTAAATGCATTCTATTAAAATTCGTAATATTAAGATCCTCAAAATGATTATTGCAATGCATAGGACTGCTAAGAGAGTCCAATACTGTATAGAGAATACATCGTCCCATAAAGTGAAGAGTAGAAAGGTCTGGTATCAATCCTATAAGATTGTGGGGATGTAAACATTGTCGATACTGCTTTTAATCAACATAATTACAGAAACTGATAAAAAATTTATTGATGGATTACGAAAAAGTATCCGTTAGCTAGGCGATATTTTTAATACTTTAATGACTTCCAGTTAGAGCAACTACGTCACGATGGAACCAATGCATATAACTTTACAGGTAGTAATTTTCGCGGAAAGTTGCCTTGGTATTGTTGCTTTAGAATAAGGAAGCCAGATTTTCTAAATAATTCCTCATAGGATTGTTCAGCCCTAGCTACGCTGCAATCATCATTATCAATTTCTGGTTTATCATTCCTTGATACATTTTCCTTGGCAAAGATGATGCCATTTCGACGTAAAGCGCCTTTGCAACGCAACAAAAAACTAGACAGATCATCATCGGTTAAATGTGATAATACCCACTGGCACCAAATGACATCATATTTTGCAGATTCTGGATTGAAATCTTGTAATCCACAGGCATATGTCTCGCCTAACCGATGCTTGTCGGTTACAACGGGCGATAATCTGGCTTTAGCTGTATGTAAAAATTCCTCATTTTGATCTACTAAGTCAACGACATCGAATAATGGCAGTAAGACCCCTTTCGTTACTCTTCCAATGCCTGCAAAATTGTGAAAGATAATTATTGCAATAGAAAATCAATCCACTGACAATAAAGTAGTATCAGTGTTAAGGTAATGTTAATACAGTGCTCGTATTTGAAGGCATAAATAAAGATATTAATGGGATTAAAGCATTAGGATTAGATTAGGATTGAAAAGTCGTAGGCGTATTTATCGATAAGACATAGAGATATCATTAGTATTGGAAGGTGGTGCTTGCAGTTACAGAATATTATTAGTAATACAGCATAGGAAGGTAAGGCATGCAGTTCTATACAGTTATAAGACCCTCGGATACCATTAAGATATCATCAGGTATTGGAAGGTAATGCCTGCAATTACAAATGATTCAAGGCGTTGAGATATCATTAGTATTGGACGATAATTCGTGCAACTAAAGGCAACTAGTTATAGGGCATTGAGATATAGTTAGTTTCGGAAGGCAATGTCTACAGTTTTCGTTTACTTTTCATCGACTATGGAAAGGTAATACATGTAGTTACAGACGATTATAAAGCATTCGAATATCTATAATATAATGTAATGCATCCAGTTATACAATTACAAGACATTTGGATATCATTAGCTAATCTGTAGCACTAGATAATTACCGTACTTGTATAGTTTTTCTAAGATATCAGTAGTTTATCAAGTTAATGTATGTAGTTACAGATTTTAAGACATACGCTATCGCTATCTTTATCGAGCAATTGTAGACAATAATATTTTAATGGTGTTTCTGATCGCCAACATCGAATCATTGATGTTATGCATTATAGGCTATTACCGTCTTTCCAAGATAATATGTGCAATTGTAGACAATAACATTGTGATGATATTTTGGACAGCAAACATTAAATAATTCTTACGCAGTCTATAAGCCATAACTTCCAATAATTACGATCAACTCTACTAGAATGGGCGTCAATAATGATGCAATGCTTAACAGCGAGGTTATCTTGTTAGCCTTCATTAATTGAATTAACAATACTAACCGAAGTATTTTACGACATTGTACCAAATTGTATCATATTGATAAAATGAATTTAGTATGCTCAAGTAACTCACGATTTCACTATTGCATACCTGCACCACAATCTAATGCACGTCCAAATTGTGTTTCCTTGCTGCATGTTTTTATCGTTTTTAAAATAAAGCGTCGCGAGGTGCTCAAATCTGTCTTTGCAATCCTGCTATAGCCACCAATCATGCCATGAACAGTTGACGATTTCTTTTGCCAAAAATTTTTACCACCACCGTACCAAGTTTGATCCTTATCCATCTTGGTAATCGTTGCTAACTAGTCTATTATTTAGACGTGGATTTAATGATGATAGGGAATAAAATCTTTAGCTATATGACTGTAAAATATCGACTTTCATTTCTAGATCAGTTTTGCAATTGGATTACTAGCAAGCAGTACGCCATCAGACGAGTTTTAGCTTCCGGGATGTAGTCGGTGCACAATTTAGTATGACTACTTCAACAGCTCTGATAGTATAGACTGCCCTCATACCTACCTGATAGTCAACAACTTACACGATACGATCACTTAACGATGGCACTGTAGGAAGTCTTTACTTACCATACAGGCTTACTGTGTACAGTATACTGTATGTAATTGACATACAGTAGAGGCAGCATAAGACGATAGCTTGACCTGGCAACGGATGCCTTGCTGGAAGATTATTAGACTTGCAAATCTGTCTAGATTTGCACTTTAATCAAGGAATTAATCTCATCGGTTATACTCATCATCAATCTAAGGCAAAATTAAGCTAATCTATTAAACAAGATTGCAAGATTAGACTAACGTACTAATTTAAAGGGCAATTTCAATCCTTATTATGAGAAACAATTCAATAGTTTGGATCGAATTATTGGATATAGCTCAAGAATATTAAAATAACTGCAAAGATAATTTTCAACGTTGGAAATAAAGATTGATAGCTATAGTATAGTAGTTTCGGCTTATTCAATCTACAAAAGACTAGACTATTCTACTGCAATTAGCCGTTAAAACAACAGTAGCAGTCATGGCTGCAGCAATGCCGCAAAAGAAATTTTACCGCCAGAGGGCTCATTCCAATCCTTTAGCAGATCATACATTCTCAGAGTAAGTTAAGAATAATAATCTCATAAACTTATATTCTGTTAAAAGGAGCCGAATGGATATACTTCTGTTGGTAAAAACCTATTAACGCAGTAAATTATTTGTACGTTGAAACAACAGAATTAATAACGTTACTCCTACTGCAATGGCTAGAGCTTTATAAGATAGAAATATCCTTTGAAGCGATATCGCCATTACTAATATCATTCTAATGAATCACCATCGTTTCTTAAAAGCCCTATTTGTCCTGATCAAATGAACTGGCCAGCTCTGTACCCTACTTATCAAGCGGAGAAGGGAGACTGTGTACAATTCTTAGATATTGGTTGCGGATATGGCGGTTTACTCAGTAAGACATACTGTTGAATTTCTTACTGTTGTTTTTCTTCCATTGAACCATACGCGTATGCTGTGTTAGTGGTATAAGAGTGTAATTATGCTATTGACATCAGTTACTCTAGCTCCGCTATTTCCCGACACTTATATAATGGGAATGGAAATTAGGGTAAAAGTAAGTAAGCCAATAATTAAAAGTCACAGAAGGTTCTATAAATTGATCAGTTATTTATTTTCTGGTCTTCAATGTCTTGTGACACGATTATAAAATGGAACAAGTGTGATTCTCGTACCTCATTATTTGCAGGTTTCCGATTATGTCAAAGAAAGGATTGCAGCGTTAAGAATTAACAACCCTGGAAAGTACAATAATATCGCCATAGTAAGAACTAATGCGATGAAGTACTTACCAAACTATTTCAAAAAGGGCCAGGTAAAAATACCGCAGATTTAACGATCACCTTTGACGGTATAGTTAAAGTAGTTTGTAGCATCAAACAGGTAGTCTTACTATATACCGTATATCCCTTGCCAGAAATCGTAGCAAATTGCAGCGATCTGTAAACATAGTACAGTGCTATGGTCAATAAATCCTATCGACTTGGTAGTAACCTAGCTATTAACACAACGTATGTAAACACAGTAACTTATTCACATGCATTCGGAATATCTTTAGCTTAAGAAGCTATTTTTCTTATACCCTGACCCTCATTTTAAGAAAACCAAACATAAGCAAAGAATATTAAGGCATGACATAGAATATTGTTCTAACTAATTGATTTCAACCTATTGTATCTAATTAGATTCCCAATCATTACTAATTTCTGATAATTATATTTCATTTAATATATTTAGCCAAACCTTACTTGCTGAATACGCCTATATTTTAGCAGTTGAGGTGAGAGATTACGAATTTAAATACATTAAACGCAGTTTTTAAGTATCTTGACGTGATATAGTCAATAAAATAATGCTGTAAAGTACTGCAATTAAGAGTTGACACCAAGAATAATTCTACTCGTATCCGACCTCAGTCTTTACAATAGATTAAAATAGACCCTGATAAATTTTCATGCTGTGAATTTGGATATATCAGCATAATTTATTACATTGGCCTTCTAATTATATTATAAAATCCATAAATGAATAGGGTTTAGTTTATACTGTTACTGATGTCGAAGAGGTTCATATATGGATGAAATCCCATCTAAACGAACACCCATTATTTGAAGAAGTAAAGCTAGAATCATTGGTAATTAGTATTCTTTTATTTTAACGATTTTAATTATTCATTACCCGTATGTTAAAAACTATCATTCTTATTTGGTTAATCTAACATTTCTTATTGCAATGCATAGTCACATGACGCAATTCTAAAATTTCTTGGAGATTGTACAGAAGAAGGTCAAAAGGTTACTAGAAACGATGGAAAGAAATTTACTGCAATTTTCAAACGTGTTCAGAGCTCCTCCATGGATTAAGGAAATAAATATCCGAATAATCAAATCAAACATAACCACCAACGCATTATAATCTTTTATTAAATATACACTTTCACATTGCTATAATAATGGTAAATGATATGCTGTATTTGACATCAAGTTATCCATGTTCTTTTAAATTTAGGTAATGTAATAACTACAAATAATTAATGTGAACACTGTTTAACCTAACAAATGTGATACTGTATAAAAGATTTAAAAAAAATTTGAACCAATTTCATCCAGAAACTTACATCCAGAATCATATATACAGAAAATAAATATTGTATCCGTATATCACTTGTTTGCTTTGAGAATTTATCTTATCATTGGACATCATTATTTTATACTTTGTATTTCGGTATTGAGATCCAGATTTCGGAATTATTCCCTAAGCTTATTAACGTTAGTTTGGTTAATCAATTACATAATCATAATCAAATAGAGATTGTGGACCTAATATTTTATCGGGTAGGAAGTCACACTTTAATATTTGTAACTTATATATGCGACTGTTACGATCACAGGTCTATGTTTCTACCTATTCACAGAGCGTTAATTGATGTAGATACTACGATCTCAACCACACAGTAAACGAGGCAAATACATATCACATTCGTTGGATAGTAATTAAATCAGTTTACGATGCTGTCCAGTCACATCGCAAGATTACAGTTAAGTATAAAATTAAGTATGACCATTTAAAATAATGCAATCACCGTAAAATATTATCAGAAAGTTTTAAGTGCAGATCCTATTTAAATCAACATTTAATTCTAGTTTTCACTAATAATCATGAGAACGAGCATCAACCTTTTTACGACGTTTCCTTGCTTCATCTCCATTGCGCTAAATAATTAATCATTAAGGCTTTTTCAGCATTACAAACAAGTTACTAAGAAAACAACATTCAGAATGATCAAATACCAACCAAGCTCACTTGTCGATAGGCATCTCTTATGATAGTATGAGAAATAAATCTTTCAATGGTATCTCTTTTCAAGAAGTGGGATTCTTGAACAATCTGCAAATGATAGATACATACAATATACCTTCAAAACTACGTGTAAGTGCATATGAGTCGGAAAACTGAAAATTACTAACGATATCTAAGAGAATATATAGGGGTTCATATTGTTTAGCCGGTTCGTTTTCGTTTTCCGTTTTCCTACATTCAAGGCTTAAGACGCATTCTGATGCAATCTATCAGGGAAGAACCCATAAATGAGTACTTACGTTATGTATTCAAGAATTTTACATGTTGTAAGAACTTTCAACTATTTGCTGACCGAAATAAACTCTACTAGTTTGTCTAAACAAGCTTTGTCGCCTCCAGAGGAGAAAAAGACACTAGCAAGTTGATTGATAGCTTTGGCTAAGCAGTGAGCATTATTCAAGAAACCTTTTACAATTAATAGGGATAACAATAGTAGGTTATTACATGTGGCACGCTTATGCATTAAATCATAATAGCTTACTAAACTTTTATTATGTAATTATTAACTTCTAAGTCTTACCACCAAGAACATTTTCATAAACAAAAGTATCTCGGTTTAAGAAATCAGGAAGTGATACGGCAATCATAACCTATATTTATTAATAAGAAAAAATTACGATTTCATGAATCTATATTGTTTTCAGCTAATCCAAATAAACTCACCATGTATAGAGGCCAGATCTGTTGATCTTCATTTGAGCTATCTAAAAGATTATCCATCATTTATACACAAAATTGAGTTCTCTTAATACTTGTTTGTCATTATGTGAAGGCTACAGTTAAAAATTATTCTATGAATATCTTTCTACGTGCGTACCCTTTTTTGGTTTCAGAGCAGAATAAAGAACAGAATCGATCGGACTTTCAATTCCTGTAACTGAGGCTGTCTCATATTTATGCTAACAAAAAATTGGATAAAGTTACATAAATTTTTTAGTAAAGCACATAGGTATCAATTTAATATATTTTATTTATATTTAATTACATATAGCACTAACAAGAATATAAGAATCATTTGGTGGATGCGAGAGGAACTCTTCTATTACTGTTAGCAATGTCGGAGTACGTCGCGATAGAGCCTGTGTTGATAGAGTTTATAAAGGAATATTATTTTTTAACAACATTATTATAGATCTAAATGTTTCTATAGAATAAGTTGTATGCATACTGAATAAGTTGCATCATGAAGAAGTTGGCGAAGACACAACATAACTCCAATTCTTACGGTTTTATTTAATAACTCTTCACAATCTGAAACGGACCAGAAGACGCGAGTACGTATTTAAATCGTTAACAAACCAGTGACAGACTGTATAAATAAGGGTACCTTTCATATTTCTATTAGCATTGACAAATTCTTTTTTATTTTTTATTTGTTCTAAGGCGGACGAGTTCGATTGTACTATTTTCTGGTAAAGCAGATATTGCAAATCAGCACTTTAAACCTAAAATCCAATCATTACGCGTACATCCATATGGATTACACTTACCTTTAATTCTGTTACTTCCGCGCAAACTTTTTCTACAATTTTACTACATATTACCCGCATACCGGAAGGTCCAATGATCTCAGCAAGAGACTCAAGTTCTGATGAAACAATAGATCTTTAGATAATTTAATCGACTGACAATTACGCAAAGTAGATAATATCTACCGCTAAGGGTTAGTACACGACTCCCTTACCGGCAACGTCGGTATAATCTTCCGCTTTTAATGATACACTTCGATGACTTACAAACATTTTATGACTTGGCGAATAACATATACCCCCGTTGATAATTCGATTTAGCAATACATCAGTTAACCTATAAAATGTAAGGTTTGAGAAGTAGATATATTAAATAAAAAATTAGCTTGATCTGCCTAAATTATCATAGATTCTTACCAAGACAGATATAAACCTGTAACGGTTTTCTGTCCTTTACTATCAATTTCTTGCGTATGTTGAAGCACCGAATGAAATAACAGGCCTCCAATATCCGCAGTTGCTGAAAAGCAAATTATCCGCCGTCACTTAATACGTAAACAAGATTGAAAGAACAACGCATTTACCGAAATGATCAATCGTCTTCAAAGTTCCCGTAAATGCCTAAGAAAAAAAATCAATTATCCGGTAATCGCAATTGGCTATAAAGCATTTTCTTTATATAAAGAATCCCGCAATTACCGATATACTCCTTAATAGCTCGGACGGGCGAGCAATAAAGCCACTATCAGGATCATGAAAAGCTAAGGCAGCAAAAGACCTGTAAAATAAGTGTATATTAGCAATACCGTCTCATATAAGGTGTGTTTACAATCGTAGGCTTGCGCCAAATGATAGTATTGGCAGAACTTTTGGCACATACCCACTAAAAGTATCTTCTATCACATTTCGTAGGTACTCAATAGGGCAGAGAGTCGCATTTGCAACGCGTATCGAATCAAAGTGAGTGAAAGCTGCAAGTAACTCAGTAACAGAAGTAACACTTCGGTCGACTCTAGTATCCGGTGCAAAAGAACAAAAATCGATGTCAAGCATAAAGTTATAGAAAAGTAACTAAGAGATAGTGTGACATAGTGACGTCTATACGTAAAATATTCGATCTGAAAAATAGCATTTCCAGAATTGTAAAATTGGTTCTGATAGGCAAATGGTATAACACCTCGTTATATTCTCTCGGCTTTTTCGGAAACTTTCTGTTCCTGGAGTAATAAATTCTTTTATTCGCGTTTTATCCTTCTGTTTTTTCTTTGTCTTTGTGGCAACTTGCTTTAACATGTTTGCTGCATTAACAGGTAATACCTATTATAACGCGATCATAAGCGTCATTGAAATTTTCGTATAATAAAACCTAAAAAAGCATATAGTATCCTGTTCTTTACCTGTTGTTCAAATTTAATTAGCTCCCTGCAAAGTTCCTCTAAATGATATGCTGTCTGTTTAGCCATGTCTTCTAAACATCTTTCTGCTGATAATACACTTCTATGGCGGATAGGTGATCGCTAATTATATAGAAACATAAAATACTATTACCTATAGCAAAATCTTAGAATGTAATTTTGCAAAGCTGTACTAATCACATTCATCATAATTAATTCTAATTCACCTCTTCCGGGCAGAATTCGTTTGTACATACAACAAAGTGATCGCAAGCCATTGGAAAGGCGATAGCATACCTGCATCATAAACATACTATGTTAACCATTTTACCGCAGTATCATTGATTTCGATGTAGTCAATTAAAGAAGTAAAAATATAAGGAAAAACAACAGAAGAAATCAACCTTGAAAATCGATAATCTTCGATGCAGTTTCCAAAATTGAATCGAAAGAAGTTCGAAAAGAAGCTATATTATAGGATATATTTACCACAGTTTAGTGGGCACAACTCATGCCAGAAATTGCAGGTAACAAATAAAAATTTCGTTACGAATAAGAAATTACGACTACTTTGCTCAATTTGGTGCACGTACAATAAAAAGGACATGTCAGAAATACGATCCAGGTATTTCTCATAGCCATCAACGTAATAAGAATGAGATACAGCCGCATCCATTAAAGTAACAAATTCAGGAACAGATCGTATGGAAACCATAGGTTTTGCCACACTTGTATAAGCCTAGTAAATCAAAGCAGACTAATGCTTAATGTCAAGGTGGGCTACAGAAAACTTGAGACAGGAACTAACAACTACCAGCAACTTTATATCAATCAGATACAATATCTTTCAAATAGAATTATAAGATGAAACTAACTTGAAGCCTGAACCAGTCCAATCTAAAGGCATTTAAATCGTAACTATTTTGATCTTCTAAAATTGATATGAAATAAAAAGAAAAATCAATCCCAAGATGTTACACAGCCGTATTTGGAGGTGAGCTTTTGAATATAGTGTCAGCCCTAAACGTTAGTTTACCTTCAGCTACCGACAAATCTTTCATCGCATTCATTAATGAAGTTATCAGCTGATGATATTCTGCATCTAATGCAGGATATTTCTTTAACATAACAAAAATAATTAAAAATATTTGTAAATAACCAGTGTTACTATTAAAAAACTGTAAGGATAAGCTGATGTTTAATTTAATCACATAGTAAGGTTTTGCTACTGACTTTGCAAACTTCAGAAAATTTCGCAGAATCTCCTTCTGATATATATCGAATGTAATAATCACGAACAATATCCTCATGTTTCTTGAACATTGCTAAAACAGCGTGTAAATAGTATTAGTACTAAATGACTTTGAAAATAGTATATCACAATCAACTAACCTCTAATTTCCAACAAGCAAAATAGCATCTCGCCTAAATTTCTAATACGAAATAAATGTAGGTTATTAGAATACTTCTTCTGTCGTTAACTTAATACTAATTAATAAATGTTATATGTCTCATACTCTTCCTGGTAATCATCGGCGTTAACTTTATTTCTGAATTTCAGTGGAATGTTTTCCGAATGATGCACCAACCATTGAATCTCATTTTTTGTTAAGGACAGCAACACCATAGCAGCATGAGCCTATAAGCAATAGTAAAAATTCAGATATAATCTATTTAAATTCATGACAATGCAAATATGAGAAACACGATCATTCTAAGATGATAGTATGAACATACTTTAGGACCTAATAAACCAGGTTGATCAGTGAAGATGAGTCGTAATTCGTTAAGGGAAAGCTTTAAGATGTTGCGAATCTCTTTGTGCTTGACTCCGCTAAAGATGATACGATAGGGTATTAGATCGCTAGCTCCTCAAAAATATAGCTTTATAATGTCTTGATGTTGTGTACCATCAAAGATATCCTAAACCTACGTTACCTTTGAGTAACAGCAAATGCAGTGTAATCGGTAACTTCCTTTAGACGCTTAGATAAACTACTCAAATTACAAAATCATTGCATCTTTTAGTCAGCAGATAAATATTTAAAATAGACCTACTTTTAATTAATATTGCGATCGTGATCTACTTACACTTTGTTATTTTGTATGTAAGGTATTTCATATAATCGCTGTACAATAACAACTTCATCCCGGTATAACGGGAAACAAAAACAATCCTGTAGCGCCTCTTTCCAAAGGTCATGTGATTCATTTTCCGTAAATTGAAGTTGATGCAAAAGGAATCCAACTAAAATGAAGACCATTACTATTAGATCAATAATAAATTGGTAGTTTTGCATGTCTTATCTATAAATTACACTAAATATGACTATTAAGAATTGTAGGTGAATAAAAAAAATATCGACTCCATGTAAGAGTTTAAATTTATTAACTTACTGATGATCCATTCATTCATGACGTTTCTTAGTAATAAATCAGAGCGCATCTATAATAGGTAATATTCAGCATTTTAAGTTACGTGATATCATAAAACTGCTCTAAAGTACACACTGCATGTATTGCGAAGTTACCTTCGGAGTCTTCGCAACGTTTTTAATGCGCATAGGCCTAGAAATAATACCAATGAGTCCGTTTACTGTTTCCTACCAAGAATATAAACATAAACTTACAATTTTAATCTTGGTAGCATAATGGATAGCATTTGTATAACTTTAATGATAATGTGAACGATAACGAAGGCTTTTACCTTTACTGCAAATTTTCCACGATAAATTTCGGTTAATGATAGCAGTGCGCTTTTCAAATTCTATAGTAAATAATTATAATATAAAAGGAGCGAATAAATGAAAGCTTAAATTGATAGACACATCTTCAAGTGGTAATCTATGTCGACAAAAATTTAAGAATATCAACCTTTGCGTGGAAGGAAAATTCCTCCATAAGCTTCTTCAATGGATTCTCAAATTCTACTAGCAACGAAGTTAGTCTATGAAACGATTGCTCCCTAATGAGTATGGTAATTGACAAAGAATATTCTGTTACCTTTTAAAAATCACTACTGATCGCACTACCGGTAAGTCACTTAATTAATATGCAATAGTTAACGATTAAAAAATTTAATCATACGTACGTTGAACCGTTCTGCATCTCATAAGCAGCATTGAATAGAATTACGATTATTTTACGGTCCTCTACACGACCCATTAAAATCATCAGCTTGCAATAATTGGTGATTAATTCCAGGAAATTACTGCACAGGTCGAAATTAATCGTCTAGAGTAAAAATTTAATAATAAGGACCACAATCTAAATGATACTCGACGCAAAATCATCAAAAGAACGGTGCCTTCTGCAATTCAAATTAATGAAATTCTTTTCAAAACTATTCAATTTATAATCCATTTATGCCTGCAAGGTTTCCTCTGTTGTCAACTGCATTGCGACTATCAGTAAATATAGTACTTCGACAGCTCATATAAAATAACTTGACCTCTCTTAGTTGCTAATATCGCATTACTACACAAATAAGACTCAATTATAATGAATATTTTATCTGCTATTAAGAGGAAGTGGAAGCTATGACTATCAGTAGGCATACGCTTAGGTAGCTCAGCACAACATCATCAATAAATACTGTGCGGTATGAAACGAGATTGTTATACCAGGTCACAAAAGATACCGCCGACATTTAAGGAAGTTAAAACCTCTCTTGTGGAATCCTAAAATGTATATAAATAATGATAATAAAAATATTTCTCTTAAATTCGGGGTAAAATTTAAAATTAACTGATTTCAAGAGAAACCGATCGTTTTAAAACACCTACCACAAAATCTAGGATATCTACAAAGGTTTGATAATAATAATGCAAGGTGCTGGATACATCTTGATAGCAGTCCTTTAGTAGCTGCGATATTATCTAAAAAGCAGTTTAATTATCAGTATAATCACGGCACGGTAATGGTATAATCCCTAGTTGCAGAAACTACGGTAGTAGAAGTTCTTTAGAACATACGCGAGTGTACGAGTATTTTAAAATTCTGTAATTCGTAATACTCCGATATTCTACAGGTACTCAATGTATCAAATTGAAATCTATCGTCCACCTCAATATTGTATTCAAGTTAGCAGGTCAGCTAAAATGTTTGTAGGTTGTTAGCCAAAAGGACAAGTAAACTTACTTTATCTTTCGACATATCAACGTTAGGAAATTTCTTTTGAATTCTGGAAATTAAAGGTTCATAATTCTTCTCTGTGAAATATTTCGGCCTGGAATTGGAATCTCCACAAGCCTAGATTTAATATCCAAGAAGGTATCAATTGAAGTAACGAAATAGTAAGTTAGAAGGTCACCTGATGAGATATTGGTGACTTTAAGGGAATAAATACGGTACTTTTAGCTGAATCATATTCCTATAACAGCAACTGAAAGACACACGTAATATCCTATGCAACCTGTAAATAATCATCATTCAAGAATAAACTCTGTACATCCTACCTGCGTAAACATCTACCAGTTGTATAGTGAATATTACAGTACACTGAGCACAATCGGATATGATTAGGATTCAATTGTAAGATTAATAAAAAAATAGAGCGATACAGGCAGGGTCTACTCCGGTGATGCAACACTAGTCTACTCGCTCCTGCTACCTTTCATTAAATTATTCTACCACCTTGGCTGAAACTATCTAAAAACTATCACGTATACTACTAATATACTACAGTCCTGTGACCATCCATCATTAGTTGACAGTCAATCTGTTTGCATTACTCGTCATATAGTGGCCGTGATAAGAGTTTCGTGACAGTAAACGTATGATTACGAAAGTTCTATAATAAACTATCTGGAGCGCTAGGTGTCCCTAATGATAATGACAGGACTGTAGGTTAGTGTTGGTATATCCCTACTCCGATTTGACACTTTTCAAAGGAACATCGCCAAATTTACTGGAAGCTAATAAGTCTACTACTATTCACAAATCTCTAGAGTACTGTCCACTTGTACAATACTTCAACTATCTATTGGTGATCAATACAGTACGAGGATGTTCGTAATACGTCCAATTTACCAGAATATTGAAATTTTCACATATTCCTTGACGAAAGACGATGATATCCTAATATTATGTATTAACGCATCCATTTTGTATAATACATTTAATCAAATAATAACTGGTAACAGTGAACACTAGTAATAAATGCACAACACTCTATATACAAATAGAAATCATGTACAATCTCAAGTGTCAGTGTCTAGAGAGATTTGCATTGAGAGCAGTGAAAACATCAACGTCTTTTATCCTATTTTAGACCGAAATAACTATAACGAAAAGTATGCCCTAACCTTTTTGACGTTATATAATTGTGTTAACATTCCAATACATCGGGAATTAAGGATAGTTAACTTTTCTGCGACTTTTTGTTCCTCGATACTGTAAACTCTCTCCATCTTGAATCACGTAAGCGGACTTTCGACTTGTACTCCTTCTTTTTGTCACTGAGATGGGAAGCATAGTCCAGTACTCTATCACTAGTCAGTTAAATCAGTATGCTGAGGGAGGCGTTTGGCACAGTACCGAATCGTTCGGCCGTGAACTAGCCACACACATCGCCATGGAATTCTAGTACAGTACTTTCTGACTGCAGTCCAACTCGAAGATCACTGTACTGTACACTGTACAGTATAGTACAGTACTTTCTCATACAGTACACTGTACTGTACTCTACAGCTTTAAAGTTCCATAGTGTCCTCATACTGTACAGTGTACAGTGTACAGTACACGTTAATAAAATAAAATAAAAACATTAAAGTGATGTACTCTACCGTACAGTATATCGGTATACAGTATATATAATAATATTGCGTCTCAAAAGACTTCTGATCCTTTATTTGGACTTAATTTTATGCTTTAGGGTAACATTACAACTTGCATGCAGTTGTCTGCCAGATTCGCATCGATTACCAATACTATTGTAGTATGACTTATCTCTCTATCTAGGATGATATTTGTTATCGTAAATACTATGCAGTACAGTACAGAGGAATCGTCATCTTGAGAGCGGCTTGCGATGCACTAAAATGTGCTTGTTACAACTTGCATGGATATGTTTCCAATTTCTTACCATGCTATCACAGCTCTGAAACGTACGTGCAAGATATTATACAATACATAGAGTTGCACGGCTAGTGTGGACAAGGAGTACACGAAGAGACTTTTCTAGTAGTCCTTGGTGTAGATTGAAACGTTTAACGTGTTCCTTTTATACTATAACCGTTATCTCATCATCCGCAGACTCACCGCATCAAATAATAATAGTCAAAACCACCTTCTCATTTTAATATTTAATGAAAGATGATTTAAATATAAAAATATAATTATAAGTTAATAAACCTTCGGGCATCTACAATTCGTAAATATCCAATGTGAGGTTAACATGCGAGTATACCATACAAATGCGCCTGATGACTAGTTATCTTAAACCTTAATATCATAACATTAATATATAGTATAATACAGGTCGATAGAATTATTTAAAATGGCAACTATTGCAATTGATCAGTAACAATACAGGCAAATACCATCTAACAGCTTGGATTTTAGGACAATCAACTTCTTTCGACATACTGTACATTAACAGCTGATTGCTACAAAAAATTACCTTATTCCTCATAAATTAGTACGATAATTACCACCGGTAATACGTAGTTGAACTATAGTATCACCCATAGCAAACAATTTGAGATATAAAAAAGCAAAATTTTCGGTAGTTATTACATGACGATCATTTACGCGCACAGCAAGCGGCAATAGTCGTTATTACTAAGCACTGAACAATATCACATAAAGAAAGTTGTTATAAAAATGAGACTATTAGACGGATTATAATTGATAGAAATTTACAACAAAGATTAGCAATTTTCGGTCTAATGGCGCACTAATTTGAGTGTACAATCTTACTATAATGATTTAATCGTTAGTATGACAATAGTGAATCCTGGGATAGGGTAATTTATAACATTTTGCGTGTTCTAATGATGTCTTATTATTTGAAGCGATGCTAAAGCTTCATTGATAACAATTCAATGTTCAATTAATTATTACTATACTTCAACTAGCAAGCAATGAAGCAAATGCCAATATACAAATAGTTATTTTATATATAACACATTAACTAAGTCAATAAACAACGAAAGGACGACCACTTATAGCCAATACGCATTCCGAATTGAATAATCGCTTGGGAATAAATGTAATATCATACACGACTGTGTCTATGTTTTGATTGATTTTTTACACGAGCAGATCGTCGTATGGCATATTTGGCATCCTTACAACGTTGACATATAAATACCTCAGGTACGTTTGATTTTCTAATCTTTGCGCATGATAGGTGGATCCATGTATTACACTCAGAACACTCGATCATAGGTCGACCTGCGAATAGTTATAAAAGTAAAATCAAAGGAGGCACCATAACAATCTTATAATAACGACAAAGAATATTGATCGGCAATTATATGTATAAATTATTCACAGATTTAGATTCATTATGTTTAAAAACATACCAGCAAATGGTTTAGCACAGTAGCATGTAACAGTGTGATAGCCTTCATCCTCTATTATATGCAACATACAGAAAATTAACATTAAAAATCTCTACCACTCAGAATAAAATTGCAGCTAAAATTGAAATCAATTTATAGCTATCTTTAGCCCAACTAAGGAATTCAAAATGAGTTATTTACATTACTTTCTATTAGTATGAATGAATTTTTAGTACTCTGTAAACTGCTAGTATGAACTTGGATATAAAAAATTCGAAATGTATTTCCGTACCAGATTCAAAATCGCTCCTATCGGAATCATTATGCAATATAGGCGATGGACTAGAAGCCGTAGCAGTGGAATCCATACTGTTAGGGCTAGAGTTTATCAGTCTTCCGTCAACGTCCTGTTCATTCATTCAAATAAATGGGTACACAAAATGATTAGAATACAAGTCGCAGATTAATATTGCTAACTTTGATGTACTGTACGTTTAATTGAAGAAGAGTAAACTCCTCAACTTCTCTATGACACAAGAGATGTATTGCAATTATTCATAAGTGTTTCTTTGCTTGTATGATGCATTGTCTGCCGAGTAATATCGGCATACCACAAAAACGTATAGCACTTGAAGTCATAGAATGACAAAGTTACTAGGAGTTGTAACCACTAGTAGTATACAGTACTGTACAGTGTACACTCAAAGTGTACCATTGTACTTCAGTACGTGTGACTATATAATCAATTCATTGCATTATCGTCTAATCAATAAAGCTCACTAGTGAAATTATACCTTCTAAGAAATGATATTACTATACTGTCGCGGATTATTATCGAGTCTGGCACGAAACAAACATTTTTATGTTTAATGTTTGCTGTTACAAAAGGCAACACCCGATGAATGAAAAGTTCGATCTACAGTACTGTACTGTACTTTAATTAAATAGTGTACTGTATGTACTGTACCGTACTCGGCAGGCGTGTGTATCGTCCAAAGAAATGAACCGCTTTTCGCTCCATTTCCTACAGTACTTGTACTGTACACTAGTACAGTACTCTTTCTTTCACTGTACCGGTGTACTGTATACTTCCGTCCGTCTGTAGGGTTAAACATAGGAGGTTGACTTGTACCGTGGTACACTATATCGTATAGTACTGTAGGGCTATGACTACGGAACTGCACACTGTACAGGAAACAATATAGAAAGCACAAAGATTGATACAAAATATAGTCCAGTACTGGCTAAGTATCAATATACCGCATTCAGTCATGACATGTTTCTAAAACGCAACTGCACTGAAAGAAGTTCAATCGTCGAAAAATAAGAAAAGTTCTGAAAGTTGTAAGAAACATTTACGACGAATTATCAGGCACTAGGAAAGTCTACGAAGAATATGCAGTGATCGTTTCAATTGAGACCATTTAGCAAGAGGCATGAAGTGTACGATAACCATACATTGAGGGGGTAAATAAAGCACAAAACATCGCCATCTAAGTTCATAAAATGGAATGGCAAAAATGAGGACATAGCTTTCTGCTTTGAAATGTCTCAACCTGTTTGCGGTACTTGGTAGAAAAGTAGTGATTACTCTTGAATCATGCTGCGTACAAGTACAGTATAACATTTTACATTGTAATTAGAATTTATTAAAGTGCAGTTTATAAGACTAAAATGCTTGGAGAGCAAAACATTTACTGTACAGTACAGTATATAACAATTATAATTCCATAACAATATTGGAGAGTTTTAAAACCGAGGATTTTATCTTGAAGGACAAAATACAGATTTTTGGACGTTTATGATCACAGTACTGTGGGTGTATAGTACTTCAAATATCTAGTAAAAGGGAATAGCTTCGAAGAATGCTTATGACACGAGTCAGTCCACAGTCCATGGTTAATCAACAGTCATGTAGTAGAGTACAGTAAGCGCCTTCAGGTTACAATCAATCTGACTTGGTGTTACGTGATAACGTTGTTCAGAAAGTAGAATTTAAAAAAAAATGAGAGATCAGTAAAACAAAAGTCTAACCTCTTTAGCAACGTAATCCAATATGTAGTTCACCATAAGATTGAAATCTTCTACGGTCCTAGGTTTCTTTGGCTCGGGGTAAGATATCTGAACGTTATTCACAAAATGATAAAATTGATGACATAAAGCATCTCGACAAGATATAGCCCTATTTTATGAGACTACAATTGTAATCGTGGTACACGCTCTTATAGAAGGGATAGTTCAAGTTATACAATAATAGTACAGAAACACTCAACATCTTCGTTAAAGTTGGCCAATAAAATTTAGCTTGGCTAAATTGGAACAAATCACGTATGTACAGTAGAGTATCCTCTACGATAGCACCTTCTATAGACACAATACTTTTCTATGCGAAGAGCAGACAAGATTCACTCACCTGAGAAGGAGCCTGTCTAGTGACAGCTATATCTAAGTATCGCCATTGAAATAAAAAAAGAAAAAATACAATCAACAACAAGTATTCAGTTACTACACAGTCAATTTGTTATATATCAACAGCGCTATTTCATCCAAACAGTGGCAGTCACTACAGCAAAACTGTGTCTGATTCAATCAATGTGATTGCCGGATCATGTCAGACACTTGGACGAGACTTTTGATAGGAATTGAAGATGATTTACAACTATGGAGAATAATCTGATATCATGTCATCCATTTCATTCTGCACTTACTGGCTTCGAGTTTAACTCCTTCCACTTTTACTTTACTATTGGGCATCTGACAGTAGCGAACTTCGCTAAGAGCTTACGCTACAATCAAAAAGTACCAAGAAGGCTGCGAAACCAAATCTGTTCCGATCTTGACACAGGATTTCTCGTTATGATTAGGACGAAAATAAGACACCGTACGATGATTCCAATCGATACTGTAATCCTCTAACACTAAGAGGTTGCTCCGACATGTATTAACGTCGACGCTTACAACGTTATGATCGATTTATGCTTGAAAGAAGAGATTCATTAAACTACCAATATTCCACAGAAAGAAATGTTGTGCGTGCCAATGCTTAGCGCTGGAGAATAACGTTGGGAAGGTTTCTCCCGTGACAAATAAACCTTGACGTTGACGGTACAGTACATACGTCCTCCTGTATGTACGTACTACACTATACTCAGTAGCCCAGTAAGTGAGTACTCAGCTCAATACTGTACAGACGTCAGTATTGATGACTACAACAGTACTAGCAACGGTAAACACGGACGTTATACAGTACCAACAGCAATGGCACTACAGTTCAGTCAATAGTCAGTACAGTACAGTATTTCACTGTAAAGAAAGGCCTCTTATTTGTACTGTACACTGTACAAGTAGGCAGTGCCATGATACTCAAACATGCCGTCGTACTACTGTAGTAATACTACATGAATACAGTTTACTGTCATACTGTATGTGTGATACAATAATGTGACGATCGTGGCGATTGGGTTGTGACACTACTGTACTACGCGTAAACAGTCACTCGTCACTGCCGTGATGTACACATTTGCACAGTGTACTGCACAGTATGCCGGTGTCACCAACGTCGCAATGGATATGGCAGCACTATGGACTACTATCTAAAAAGAAGCGACGAAACGGCTTCAGTGCAAAATAATGTAGAGGTTTACCACTTTTTTACGCATTCTACTATAAGCTAGCGATGAAACTGTAGACCATATTGCTTAAAACCAAGCTTAGTAGGCTAAGCAGGCTAATAGCAGCCAATTTTGGATAGCGATCGTGGACGTTATACTGTAGGGTGCTGTTACAAACATGCGATAGAGTTGAAATGACCAGTAAAATGTACTGTAGAATCAGCCTCCACATTACAGTACAGTATTCGTATACTACAGTATAAAGTACTGTAGTAGAAACAAGGGTTTTCCTGTTCTGTTGCGTCTCTTTCTAGCGTACCGTACACTGTACACTGTACTGTACTGTAACCATACAGTACTGTACAGTATAATGACTGTGACGTCGGACTCCAGCGAATGACACACACTGAAGATGATACTACTGTAAGGTCAGCAACGCGGTAAACGTGGTCGACTTCTCTACTGACGTCTTCTGTAGCCTACTGTACACTGAGCGAGAGAGAAGCTGCTTCGTTTTTCAGTTTGGCAAAATGCCGAGTGTAGAAGCTTCGCAAATTGAGACTAATGGCAATGGAGAGCAAAATATCGAAGAAGAGCCAAGCAAACCCGTCATTGGAATTATCTATCCGCCTCCAGAAGTGCGCAGTATCCTCTTCAACCATTCATTATTATACATTCAACATGATTATGGATAGGACAGTCACACAGTCCAATGCTCCTTTCTTTTTCTTAGACCACTTCTCCTTGTAGGTGCTAGAGAGTATAGAGATTGTTTCACTTTTATTCCATTACTACCTGTTTAATAGGAATAAAACGTTTTATAATACGTTAAAAAAACACTTTTACTGTAGTAGAAAATTCATTCACTCCAATCTTGTGTAATCTCTTAACGTAATCATACTGTAGAGTAGTGTATGTAACAGTACTGTTCAAGATGTAACCATCTCCTATTTTCATAATGATACTTACAATTGGCTGGACACTGAGACTCAGTGTCGAAAGTAGAATGACATAGATAAATTGTACGGGTATAATTAGGTTGTTTTGAGCTCAATACTATTTGAATTTTCCTTACTGGAAAAACTGATATAACAGCAAATTGATTCAAACTTGCTATTTTCACTACATACTCCATCGTATACTATATCAATCCATCTGAAGTTAATGGACGCTTTACTGGCTTGTATTGTAAATTCTACTGACAGCTAATTTACCTTGTACATATAGTGCTGTAGTACCCGCACCTTTCAAATAGAAGCCGTTGCAATTTTAAGCATTTCAGAACATTTTTTGAAATTCCTAATTTGAAAGCAATACACTCTGTAGTTCGATGTACGTGTACAGCATCTACCTAAGCAGCACAAAAATACCCTTTCTACAGCAATTATAAATTATTGTTGTGAATGATATACGTATATATCTTATACTTCTTGTAATTTATCCATGTACGTCAACGTATTGTTGTCCATTACGTAATATCTTATATTGTAACTACTGCAAAAATTGATAAAGTTGATATTAGAGGCGTAAAAAACATTGTTAGATCCTTGACACCAACCAACAACAGATATCGTTGATAAAACGGCAAGTTTTGTGGCTCGAAACGGTACGTATATATTGGTTAATCTGCTTTCTTACACTCAAAGTTGCATTCACAATTTTTCTATAGCACAACTTGTTCATTAGTACTGTAGTGAAAATCGACTTTGTTGTAAGATAGGTTTAAATTTGAATTTATACTAAATGCTATGCTCTAATCTTATTTGTATGTCGCTTCTAGGTTTGGAATTTGAAACTCGTATACGTCATAATGAAGCAAATAATCCCAAATTTAACTTCTTAAATTCAAATGATCCGTATCACGCGTACTATCAACATAAACTAATAAACTTTCGGGAAGGAAACTCAACCACCGAACCTCCTGTACCGTTATCCTTGCAAGAACAGCAACAACAGCATCAGCTACAGCAGCAGAAACAGCAACAATCTATACAATCGCAAATTACTGAAACATTTATACCCAAAGATCCTCCACCTGCTCCTCAATTTATAGCTGAACCACCTTCGATATCGGCTTTTGATCTGTAAGATAAAACCATAAAAATTCGGACTGTGCGAGAATTCTCGTTCTTAAATTCATATTAATGATACTATCGAATATTGGCGCGTTGTATATCTTTTAGGGATCTCGTCAAACTGACAGCATTATTTGTGGCCAGGAATGGTCGCCAATTCTTAACAAATTTAATGAGCCGCGAGCACAATAATTATCAGTTCGACTTTTTAAAGCCTCAACATTCACTCTTTCAATATTTCACTAAACTGGTAGAGCAGTACACCAATGTTTTGATTCCTCCAAAAGACATTGTACAGAAATTAAAGGAAGACTGCAGAGATTCGTCTAATGTATGTTTATCACAAGCTATTTTTATTCATTTTCGCTTGATTCATTTGACATGCCGAGTTTAAAGTCTCGTAAGTATAATGACCGCATTTTATATCGGTATCTGTTTAGATACTTGATCGCGTAAAGTATGCGGTAAATTGGGGCAAGTACAAGGAAGAGCAGCGACAAAAAGAAGAAGCAGAACAAGATAGAGAGAGAAGTAAATAAATCCTTTTAGTCTCTTGTTAATTTTGAATTCTTTCAATACTGCTACATATATGACAAATGATTATGATTAATATATTTTTTAGTTGCATTTGCACAAGTTGATTGGCATGACTTCGTAGTTGTAGAAACTGTTCCATTTAAAGATGACGAAAAAGGTTTGATTGTTGAACGCAGCAAGTAGTATTGAATTTTCAGATTGTGCGACGTTAATGAACGTTGTAAATATTTTCTTTCTATCATTTTTATGGCCACAGACAATCTTCCACCTCCTGTAACACCGGAAGAATTGGGCATTCGTATCATAGCACAGCAACGTTATGAAGAAGAACAAAGAACTACTGAAGTTGAAATGGAGGTTGATGAAGACGATCAGGAAAGTTCACCACCCCCACTTCCACCCACCGAAGCGGATAACGCTAGTATGCCACCTCCACTACCTCCTGTTGCTAATGCTGTCGTTAAGAAAGATTATGATCCAAAATCTTCTAAAAAGCTATCTGAATCAACTACCCAATACCTTATATCTCCATTGACTGGTGAGAAAGTACCTGTCGACAAAATGGACGAACACATGAAATATGGTCTTCTTGATCCGGAATGGCGTAGTGATAGAGATCGGTCGATGAAAGAAAGAATGGAACAATTGGCGGTTTATGCCGTTGGTGGTGATATAGGTGATCATTTGAAGAATTTAGCTTCACGTCGTACCGATATCTTTGGTGCGGCCGATGAAGAAACCATCATCGGTAAGAAGATTGGAGAAGATGAAATTGCTAAAGCAAAAGATCAAAAAGCTATCTGGGATGGTCATAGTGGAAGTATGGGATCAGTTACTCGAGCTGCCCGAGCCAATATTACTACTGAAGATGTAGAAATGGCGGAAAAGAGAGCAGCAGGTATTACTAGGGAAGGAGAGGATAATATCGGTCCGACTGTAACTTCAAAGACAACTGAATTGTCCCATTTGTCAAATCCAACACCTACATCGAGTACCAACACGTTACCACGTCCACCTATGTCTATGCCATCATTACCTCGTTCTCTACCTCCTCCTCCTCCTCCGCAATCCTTTGCGCCAGGCATTACTCCAATGCAATCAAATAATACTATGAGGCCAACTTCACTTCCATTTAGTCACCCACCACCGCCCGGTGTTCCTTCGCATGCAAATCCAGGAAACATGCCACGAGTACCGATGCCACCTCGGCACGGCTTTATGTTAGCTCCACAGCCTCCACCACCAGGTCAAGGAGGTTTTGCCCCACGACCACCAAGTGGTATGCTACGTCCAAGAGCAGAACCTACTCGTGAACCAGATAAGGCAGAACCATTACAAAAGAAATTAAAAGCAGACACAGATACAGGCCTTACTCCTGAAGCAGAATTTTTGGCTAGAAATCCGGTTCGTAATAGTTTCCTGTGTCTAATGCTACAGACTAGCTTCTGATGTAACAACTATTACCTTTTTTAGCCGTTCGTCACGTTCAAAGTGCAAGTACCATCCTTACCTGAAAAGAATGAATGGAAGCTAAATGGCCAGATGATATCATTCAATTTACCTCTGAAAGACCAGGTTATGACTAATTCATATCAACATTTGTACTTGATATTATATTCCTCTATTATTCGATATGCTAACTTAACTAATACTATATGAAGATATCTACTATTAAGACGAAAATACATGAATCAACTGGATTGCCGTCAGGAAAACAAAAGTTGCAAATTGGGGTTAGTAGCAGCACGCTTTGCTGATGTTGTGTCCTTTAACTTAAATCTAATTAACACAACAATTATCTATATTGTTTCCGATATTCTTAGACTATCTTCATCAAGGATTCCTTCAGTCTTGCTTATTATAATGTAACCCCAGCAACCGTTATCCAGTTACAATTAAAGGAAAGAGGAGGAAGAAAGAAATAATTTTTGCGTATTTGCGTTGATGGAGACTCTCGTTGATTTGTACAGACTTGAAAGTTTTAATATTAGATAACAATTTTAAATCACCTTATTGAAACGATCTAAGCTGAATTTGCAAACTGCTGTACTAGTCAAATTTCATTACTTAGCCTCTGCGATATGATAGCAAGGCTACAGTTGCAATTTTGATGTTGTTTGGCATACTCACATGATGCAACCATTACATTCTTTGCATTCTACTTTTCTTTCGAATTATGTTAAATGCTAAGGATAGCATGAAATTTGATACAGCATAAACCTTTTAACTTAACTTAATAAAATGGTCTATTTGGAATGTTATACTGCAGTAAATGATAACTTATGTTCAGTAGTATATAGCACAGTTGACCTTCGACTGATGAATAATTTCAATTGATTACTGTATCCCATGTAGCAAATGTGTACTATTATATCCCTATACTGTACGTATTAAGTCTGCCATTGCACTTTAGTGTGCAATGTCTTGTTTTTGTGAACTGTTAAAACGTTAGGCTAGCCCTTTGAAACTGATCAAAAAAGTCTAAGACTACTTCGTTTTATATACCATATACGTATATACGAATATGCGGGTATACGAGTATATAATCTGATGCTTTTATATTGCTCTACAAGTATTCAACGTTAAATGTAATAAAAATGCCGCGACTCACTTGCAATTCATTTTATAAGAATAGCGGCTGTGTTATCGAAATGTTTCTCGCCACCTGTCCTAATAGAAAGTATTAAACATGCAGGAATGGTTATTACGGTAGCAAGGCTCTTAATATTTGCATTTGTAGACTCATCATGACTTTGATTAGGCTATGAAAATTATAAATAAATCTGTTAACGATTAACGGCTGTGTTCAAATGGTTATAACGTGAGTAGATATGGTAATCTATCAAATGGGAGACTTCCTTATAAATTAAAGTAATATTTAGGTTGAAAGTATCAAAGTAGCATCTATGCATAAGACTAACTGTACGCAGTGTTTATTAGTCCCTCATTCAATGTAGAGGCATGGACTACTAGATCATAGTAGAGGGTAACTAGGACTTTGTTCTATCGCTACAACGCAAATGCTGAAATAAGACATGACAAAAGTTTGTATGCGTTATTGCTCGCATAGTAACGTATCTGTACAGTACCAAAAAAAACAGAAACTACTAAGCGAAAAGTATAATCATATAGTAGAAATACGGAAATTCCGATTAGTATTAGTACAAATTCTAATAGTTCAGCTTCAAGCAAGCCAACAATTGTAACAAAAAACAGCCTTACGCAGAAAAAGATGACGTCATAGTAATTTCCTTTATTACTTTGCAGAATGGTTAATATTCATATAACGTTTTAAAATTTACTAGTTTTATATAAAATAATTTGGAAGACAAGTTACATGAGTTGCATTAATTCTTCTTGACGAACTAATTTCACAGTAGTAGGTATATCCATTACTTTATACATTGTATCTTGATACCGCATTAACGGTAATAATATAGTTAATTATAATTCACGGTATAAATTACAATATATTATATCGTCGTTGTAATTAGTAATTTTAAGAAATCAGTTTTATTCTAGCCAAACTACTATGTATTGATTTTTATATACGCCACCAAGACTATTTCGATGGCATACTAGAAAGTTGAAAAATTAGTACGTTTAATTGCCTTCTAAAATTATAAAATTCAGAAAGGAAAGTACGCAGTGTTTAGAAGCTAATTTTCACTATTTAAGAATTCTCCTACATAATTACCAATAAAGCCAGAAACTAAGTATACAGTATATACTCATATTTTTGTACAAGTCAATAGTGCCTTAATAGCTGCACTTTTAAGCGAGGCTTTAGTTTTGCTAATAGTACCCGTAGTACTGTATATGCTATTACGTTAATTGTAAAAAGATCTCAGGACGTCAGAGAAGCATAGTGCATAACTGTATATCATGAATGCTTTGGTTGTTTGAATAGCGATTACCATTACGACTTGTCATAAAATAGTTTAACTGATTTGTGTTTAACACACACTACCATCCAAACATATATTCCATTACTTTAGCAATTAAACCATCATTCTTTTGAGGAGTATCAACCTCTGCAGAGACCTAAAAAATTTATCAAGGAAAGAGTAAAAATTTAAGAATTTATTATATAATTACTAATTCCATAACGACATTATAATCAATACAACCTTATTTTGGTTATTAACTGCGCTATAAGTTGCAACCAGTGGGCGAATTCCAGCAGCAGATTTTGGTGTTGAAATATTAGAATTAACTGGGTCCGGACTTTGAATTGTTGAAGACATTTCTTGATTACCGATTATAGCAATCTGCATAATAAAACAGATTTTTAGTATTAGCATAAAGCAACCATAATAGTGTCACTACGTTAATGTAAGTCGATTTTGGATCATTTTCAAAGATAGAATAACAAAAACCTTGTCAATGCACGGTCGAACACCAACCATTATTCCGTTACCGAATATCCTTCCTGATTTACTTATAGCCTACAGTTAGCATTGGAGGGATCAGATACAACTGGGTAGGACCAAATATAACTGGTAAAATTTATAAGTTTTACACACCTTTTTCGCTTGGATCTTAAATTGATATTGAATATGCATCCAGTTACTATTTGCCAGCATCTGTTTGGTAAAGGATAACCACTAATTTAGTATATTTATGCCTCACACTATCACATCAGAAGTCATTAATGACACTCACCACATGCTTTACGATTACGCCATAATGGGAAAATTGCTCTAGGATATAGGTTGCAGCTGACGGAGGAAAACTAGAAATAACAAATAATTGTTTTAGTCAAGATATCTCCAATATGCTAAGAGAAAACTGAACTTTACACCCGGTACATTTCCGTATTTTCATCTTAACTTAATGCATACCCAAATATCGTTACCCAGCATTCATCAAATACATCATCGCTAGTAATTTCTTCTCTGTAAATGGAAAAATTTGACAATCAATGCTTTAATTACGAATCTAAGACTGCTTTTGCAAGGTTAACCTTCGTTGGAAAAAAGTAAAGAAACATTTCTTTTCAGTGATCGGAAGCTTACCCTTGAGTATAAAAAGGATCAATCTGAGTAGGAGAAGATACTTGAGAAGCAAAAGACTGACCAAGAACTCCCGCTGCATAGTATTAGAATATATACGGATATAAGATTATCATAAATCAATCAATAAAATACATAATGAGTATTTATCGTAGCTAAGAATGACTAATAATAAATAAATTAAATATTACTGGAATCGTAAATTGAAGTTCGTGTCGCATTCATAAACTCGCTCGTCTGACTTTCATTCAAGTTGTCACTCCTCATAAGGTGTCCATACGATGACTCCTGAAATTAGCAGCAAATATTATCACAGTTAGCATTGAGAATAATTTATTAAATAATTCGGATAGAAGAAAATAGTTGTTACATCGATGCTGTTATGAATACGAAATGTTACGTACGCGTTTGCCATTCAGGAAGCTATCTTCCAATCGATTTATTTTAGATGATGTCTGATTTTGGTACATGCTATTGGGAGTACTATATTTTTTATCGGCGCTTTCATCGTAAATTTAAAGCAGATATGGTTAGCATCAACTTGCCTGCTACGAAAAGGAGTTGACCCACTACCATTACCCTTGCCAGTAACCCATGGAGCATTTCTATGTGATGACGAGTCTTTGTTGGTTAATGTACTTTTCTCACGCGATAGGTTTCTCCGTGTTGGATGGCCAGTATTTTGATGATACCGTGATGGTGTCTATAACAAGAGAACTCTATTAAACCCATCGCCACAGAAACAATGTTATACTTATCTGCTACAACCGTCATGTAAAGTAATGATCGTTACATCTTGATGTTATGAAAGTAAATCAGGCAACACTATTTTTTCGATATTATTGTACCTTGTCTCTTACAGTTGTGTATGGTGCAGTATAACTGATGACAAAGAGACGAAAGTTATAATAATAATACTATGTCATTTTTCAAGTAAGAGACTCCGGCACTGGAAATGGAGTTGTAATAATATAGACAGTACTAGAATGTTAACAAATGTTACCGGTGCCAAGCATTTACTTCTACGGACGCGCTAAAAGTAAAATGAGTGCACATACATTTCCTTGAGGCGTTCCTCCACCAAGCAAGTATCGTGGTAGGTAATTGCTGTTGGAAGTTGGCGAAATGGATGGTTGATCAGTGGTATATTGCTGTTGTTGGTGTTGCTGAATAGTTGAAACTGTAACAATTAGAATAAAAATTGAGTAAACGGTACGATTTTCCATTCACCTTGTACTGTAAAAACAAATATCATAGTGTCCGTTTTTGGTTTGTAGGTGGTCAAATACACAAGGATAGTCCTGTATGCTACTATATAGTAATTTGTGTAGGAGTAAAACCTGTTTGTAACAGAACGATACATGACTTGCACTCGTCATGACCAAGTTTGCATGTCTGACTTTTAGTTCCATTCAATTACTCGTAGCCATAGACGTATATGTCATTAATGGATTGATTCACTTCACAAGTAGCACTTGCTACCTATTTCCTATGGTTGTATTTGTAATAATACACGTATTTTATGGGATAATATAGAGGAAGTAACAGCATGTGCTATCCATTTGGCGTTGTCCTACAGTAGTGCTGTAGTGTATTGCATTTGTAGTCTTGTACAACTGTAACGGTAAAATAGCGTCTATTCTACAGTACTGTATTCGACGTCCATGGAAGTATATCGTGTATATTGGTAGATAAAGGGGCAAAACGAGATTATCATTTACCCTTATTATCAAGATACTGCATCAATGGCATAAAATAATGCTTACAAAGTTTGATAAAATGTAGTTTAAACCATTACTCTGAGTCTACATTGTCAAGTTGATAGGCTACACTTGTTATGTAGTTAAGCAGGCATTGGCTGCAGCATGCAGTGATGCCCATCCTGCAATACGCGCATGCAGTACTCTCTGCTGTGCATACTGTTACTGTACGTATTTTGATCAAATCAACTGATTGTGTTATCCCTATTGATATTTCAACATACATAAGCGGATAGAATATTGACAATATTACGTCTGACTGATTTCAATCATGATTGAATGGCTTATTTCCGTTTCAAATGTGTAAAAATAGCATGGGATACTCACTTGCGATGCCCGATTGAAGATCCATCCTTTCCGGATGATTCGCTTCCTTTTCGCATGCTATGGCAACTCGTTTTAGCTATGCCGTATACTGTAGTAGTGCCCTGACTGCTGAGCTGAGTACAGTACTTTCCACACAGTACAATACACTGTTGTTTACAGTACAATGCACTACAGTACTGTACCGTGCACTGAACTACAGTACTTTCCACACAGTACAATACACTGTGCACTGAACGACTGTACTGTACTGTAGTGATTAGGTACGGCATGAACCAACCAGTCAATGCCAACTGCTCAAGTCTAGAGCGGACTTGAATTTTGGCGCCAGTCGACGATTACTGTACTGTACAGTGTACAGTACAGTACAGTACCTAGCACCACACTACCGCTGTCCCAACATTGATACTGTACAGTGTACAGTGTACAGTACAAGAGATTAGTGTCAACCAGGAAGTACTGTAGTAGGACAAAAATACACAATTTGACCAGAGTCCTGCTAGCTGTCCAGCCTGTCCTAGTCCTGTAATTAAAGCAGAACAATCATTTCTAGTGTACTGTACTGTGCCGTCTGCTGCCTACAGTATCAAGAGGGGACTGACTGTTCTGGTCATACAGTACAGTACAGTACAGTACTGTACAGTACAGTACTGTAGCAATGTACTGTACTGTAGCAATGTACTGTACTGTAGCACGACTGTCAGCCAAAATGATGCCAGTAATAAATACACTACAGTAATAGTCAATTGTTCACAGCGCAATACTCTGATATTGCTCATTACTTCCAAAAGCTCTTTCATTTATTACCTTTTCTGAAAAAAAAAATTGGTTCACTGTGCATTAACCTTGCCACCTTGTCAATAAGCGGATTAAAACAAGGAGAGATCAATCAAAGAGCAATGGTATATCTATTACTGTAATTGAATGATCATTACTATACATAAATAAATACTATTTTACATACAGACTGTTGATTCAAAAAGACCTACCAAATGATAATGAATAGTAGAGTGACTGCAGTGCTAAGACTACCACTTCTCTAACAATCTGACTGACATCAAACGCTGCAAATGTTCTTCACTCTCCGATCTTGCAATCAATGCTATTGATATCGACTATCTGTAATGTTTTCGTTAATTCTGTCAATGATTCTAGTAAAATTCAATTTCACGCCAGCATTGTATCCTATTATTCTTACAGCATCGTTTCAACTGCGCTGCAAAGAATTTACTTCTAGATAGATCTCTGTGATAACAATACAAACGCACCCGTAGTTATATCGTATGACAAATGCGTAATTTTACCAACCAACAGCAATATATTGGAAATGAATATCCCCAATATAAAGTCATTAGCAAAATTCTCATTCATCGAGTAGACGAAATGGACTAATAGTAAAGTGCTAGAAATGACTTGGAATGATAGTTTTGCGTAATACCGTATCGCACGATCCATACTGTACTGTACTGCTCATCCAATGTTGTTGAATGACGTTAGTACCACTACCACGATATGACTATATCATACCATAGCATTTGCATCGCTTGGTCAATTTATTCAGTACAGTAGCATCATACTATAGTTTTATTGCTAAATAATCAGATGATGGTTAATGGATAGACTTGAAATCATGTTCAGAATTTAAATGAATCTACTATATACGTATTCACTACTGTATTACAGTGATAACGAAAAATGCCTTCGATAATGCTTTGCTGCATAAAATTGTAAAAATTAAATTGACTGTAGACTGTTTATAGTGTCATGATAACTGCACCGTCAATACAGTACAGTATAGTAACTCTATTACATCATTAATTAATATTTCTCAATAAGGAGTTTAAAAATGCTGATGAATGCACAGTGACAGAGATATAGAAGCATATGGGTATAGATCTACTTCATGCAAATTAAATGGTTCTGCAATCTGCGACAGCCATATTGAATTCTGTAGTAAATAATAGTCAACCAATTCGATATTCGTTGTATAGTAATACTTTTATAGTTCATTATGAATTATAATTATTTATGCCTTAATTGGAAATGCCACAACTATATCCACCTTACGATAGCTTAAAATCCTGTGGAATGTCAATTTTATTATACATGCTCAAAAATCCATTGCTAAGACTTGAATCCCGAGATACAGTATGTACATTTGAAAAAATGAACAAGTACAATACTATACTGTCTTGAGATACGTACTCTTTCGTGTACGTACACAGTACTATCTCCATATACCCGTATACTCATGCTAATTGATAATCCACAGATACTGTAGAGATAATAGAATTAATAATCACTTCCTTTTCAATTAGTAGTAAGCTGATAGCTAAATCCTATTCTCCAAGTCTTTCTCCTTATTTATTTACTACTTGTTAATTATCAGTCATTTCATTCAATGGTTTAATTATCTGAAACCCTGCTACATAAATTATCATCGATCATACCGTGCTTTCATCAAAGTAATTGAAGTTGACTGTTTATATAGTATCTTCGGTAAATGCGTTATAAAGATCTAATAAAACCGTTATATTAGATTAGTTAATACATACTATTCCTACGATGTTTTATCTGTATGCAGTCAAATAGTGAAATAAATATTGTGGTGTTTTGTACTTTTATCATTTTAGGGTAGATTTCGAGCTATCGAAGAAACATCATCGGATGGTACTAGTGACGACGAGATTGCAACCAAAGAATCCCAGGTAACACAGTGTATTATCTTATATAATATAGGAAATTGTACTTAAACAAGATAGTAACTAGATTAATGAAACTAAACGCTGACCACTTAATTTATGTACTCCTTGCAGAGCCATCATCAGGTTGTGTATAAGATACACAATAGTTATTAAATTGCTACATTTCAAAGATCCAGTCTTTCCCATTAAGATTAAACATCATTAGATCGATAATCCTTTTACCTACAGCACAGTATACCAACGTTGTTAACTTTTTCTCAAGTTACTGGGTTTATTGATATCAACTTTCCTTTTATAGTCCAGCACTCAATAACGGACATAGTATGGCATACAGCATTCTCGCCTGCCTACTGAATAGTTGATAGTAATATTAGAAATGTAGTACACAAATTGTTTTCACCATGCTATAGGCTTTTGTAAAATACAATACCTATCAAAATAGATAGTCTAAAATTTTCGCAATGTAATATGGTATAATTATTACTGATGTTCTACGTTGCAAATTACATGAATATAAAAGATTACAAACTACTGGCAGAAAGATAATTTTTTAAAACGTAATATTGATATCTTTACACTACTTCTAGGAAGCTGAGGCCAAAGGTAAATATTATGATGCTTTAAAATCTCACTCGCAGGAAAATTATGAAGAGGCAAAAAAGCTTTACACGCAGGTCTTAAATTCTGATTTCATAAAAGATGTAAGTAAAGCTTGCATGCCAATGTATTATTGCTGATAACACCAAAGGATTATTTGCTAAACTTTGTATTTTTTCTACAGTAGGTGTGTTTTATTTTTTGTACGGTTGCAACTATAAAAGTTCTTATATTTGATACCATTTTATAATATCTATATATATGGCTTAGATCTTGAAGCATTCAATTGAAAGCAACAAAATGATCCACCCAGCATTTCAACTCAAATATGCTGTACATAAAAATCTCGGTAGCATTGCGGAAAAACAAGAGTTTTTCAGTACAGCAATTGACTGCTACAACAATGTATGCTTGTATCTATAGTTTACTGTTAACTCTGTATATACCTTTATTAAATAATGACTATTTTATGTACTAACAGGCCATAGATATCGATGATACTGATGTTAGCTTATGGTCTCATGTTGGCTCTCTTTTTATTAAAATAAATAAATTCGCTGATGCCCGCACCGCTTTTCAGCAAGTAATCTTTAAACTAACTACTAGAACTACTTTATACAGCAAGCTGAACTTTAACAACTGTTTACTGCTCTAGAATTAACTGTTTTCAATGATATCGTATTTCTGTGATATAACCAACCGGTAGGGACTAATTCGAAATCCCGCATACAGGCCTTGCATCGATAAATTGATGACTCTCCTATTTGCTGTTGGTGACTATCACAGTAAGTGATATCCTTAAAATGATAATGAAAGAACAATTTCTGATTTTTAATATTATATTGTTTGCAGTATTAATGCATTTGTATTGATATTCAACAAATATTATATATAACCCTTACAGATTGTTTAAATCTTATATTCATTGCATTGGAATTAAGCTGTGCAAACAGCAGAGGTATGGTGCTTTACACCTTCAATTGATTAAATAATTTCATGCATTATTATATTTCATTAATGATCGCTGTTTTAACACAATTAAATTACTACTACTAGCATGGTGTTTAAAAGAGCAAATTTTTAAGGAATGCCCATATCTGGCCGACGTAAATCAAAATTATATCTTGCAAAAGTAAGCAGAAGGGAAGATATTCTATATATATTTTAATTTACCGTATATACATATAGGCATGGAATTAACCATCTCATGTGATTTTATATGTATTGTAGGATAGGAATTTCTGAGAGCTCTACGGCGATTGACCCTGAGTATAAACAACAGGTAAACAATCTCATCTTCCTTTTATCAATTCAGTATCCTGATAATATTGATATCAATTCCTTTTTAACCATCTTTTGGTGATAATAGATTATAGAAGAAGCTTTGTCAATGCGAAATGAGCATAAGAAACTTGTCGAAATGACCCTCCCGGAAGCGGTTCATCTCAAAAAGCCTCTAGCTAGTCTGACGTAAGTTATCTTCTTTATTGCTCACTTTGCTCGTTAATTATATATAGGTTTTTAGCTTCAAATGATAACATTTATTCTTGACTTAACTTTATGATATTCTTTGCAACAGCTGGTACCATCTTGGACAGCATTTAATAAAAATTTACGACGACCTGCAATCTTTACCAGATGCGGTAACTCTAGCTTATACTTAAAAAGAAATTCTACTCTTGGTCTGGTTTAGTTTTAGTTTAATGATTAAACAATATTATGAAGTGACTCATAAATAGTCATCTTATTCGGTAATCTATGAAACTGATAGTCAATGCTGACATTGATCGATCTGCAAAGTATGGTACGACCAAAAAAATCTAATAGCAAAGGTATTACTGTGTTTAAAATTGTTTTAATTTTTTAATATTAGATATACATTATTATATAACATGGACGAGCAACACTATTGCTAAGATTAATATAGATTGCGTTTTATTATATTTTATACGATATATTTGATGCATTTAGATTGTAAGTTTTACTTATGTATTTTTACTTAAAAATAAAAACAGAATTGATGATTTTATTTTACATAGATAATAATGAATCCCCCACGAAAGAAACAAATACTGATGGTAGAAAACGAAAAAGGATAGCCTCTGAGAAAGCTCGAGAGCCATCAACTCCGGAACCAAAGAGACGATCTAAACGAGTAATGACTCATTGTTGACACTTAACAGGAGATTCAGACGCCTGCAAATACATCGCTATCTATGCTTACCTGCAGTACATCGTATACTTAATACTCATTCTAGGTCAGAACGGTCAGCGCTAGTGATGATCAAAAAAGTCAAGCTTTTATAAAAGAATTAACCAACCTTATTCCGAAATCACTCCAGATGTAAATTATTACTATTCTACTGTAACTATTCAATTTGATAAAGTCAACTTCAAGTTGCTATGTTGTATTTCATGTGCAGAGACATTAATAAGAATTACGATGCAAAAGGAGCTAGCCAAGCAGAACTTAAAACAAATTCTGGAAGGTTAAATTATTAACTCTTTCATTGCAAAGTAGCTCTGATGATAATACTAATGAAATATCATAAACTATTTGAATCGTCAAAGCGAACAGAAACAAGCTGCAGCAGAACAGAAAGGTTGCCTTAGAGAACTATTCGTGACATGATATTCTTTAATGCAATAGGCTTCTCAGCTGTAAATTGTTGTAGTATCTCGCTTGCTAACGAAATATTCTCTTAATCAGGTTCAAGCTGGTCTACTCTTGGTGACTCAGAAATGATTGATGAATCATTTGACGTTCGTGAATTTATCCACAAACAAAATGATCATAGGTAATATATAATAATGTGAAAAAGTGACGTATACATAGTAAAATAGTTCTTCACTGTTTATGATTTTTTATAATCAAGGAATATCATACAAATTCTTCAAGATTTTATCATATCATTAACTACAAAATGGGCGATGAAATGGTACCTAGATTAATTGTCTTCAAGCTCTTTTTATGGACCTTTTATTGCTAATTACTTATATTAGTATCCTTTCAAATACCTCTGTAGGCCAGAAAATCTGACTGACATCGTACTAAAAGTTTACGCCAGATTAAGACCTCACATCATACTACCGTCTATCTTCAGGTAATTTGATTTTTCGTACATTAATTCCAATAAAAGTCAGATACATAAGCGTTGTTGTAATTACAGTGATGAATTAGACGAGCAAGCCTGCCAAGAGCTAGTTACGGTATGATGATAAGATTATACAATATATCTAAGCGTGAGGCCTTACTGTCTTCATATATGAATATTGAATAAAGAAGTTACTGTACCTAAATTTTCTGCTGGTTGTATTCATGCGTTGTTTTACTGGTTAGTTATGTCTCGTAGTTTTGGAACTTCAGCTTGATACATGGCTGTGTATGAAAGCAAAGTCTAACAACTATTCACCTTCCAAAGTAACTCCTTTGTAAGTATACCGTAAAGACCGGTACGACCTTTTCTATGTTATGACAATTTGTAAATCTGACACCGTAAGAACTTTATAATATCGTTATCCTTAGAAAATTGCCAGAATGTCCGGTCACTCTTCCACGTTCCTGTGTTGGAGATTGTATCCAAAATGATATTACGTTCATTAAGAATTGCGTTTTCACGGATCGGTTATGCTTTTACAACAGAATGGAAATTGCAGTGCGAGGTATGAAAGAAATCAGAAATGCAATACATCACTATAAAAGTATGGATTAACTTGCAAAATTATTATTAGTGTTGTGGGCTCAAGCAAGGTATATGATGCACGAAGGTCAAATAGATACTAGTCTGTATATATTAAAACAGGTTAGTAAGTTATGTATTAATTTTATAATTAAATTACTAATTATTCAATGTTATTCGTCGTACGTGATAGTGTCAGCAAATAATTAGTAATGGCAGCCAAGAAAATATTTCAGATGCACCGAAGCAAGCTTGGAGCATAACATTAACTAACTGTACCCTAGATAGGGAAATATCACAAGGTTTGGTGGTGGATACTTAAATACTTGTTACGTATAAATTGCTTTTTAAACTTACAAATTTAAAATAACATCTATCACAGAAACAGTTGCGAAAAAAATTAAATCACTTCTACGCTGTCAATCATTTGATGAAGTAAGCTATATGCCATTAGAAACTATTTTTTAAATGCAATCTCTTAGTACTTGTTCCGAATTAAATAATTTAGTAGGATGCACAGTCATTCGAGTGATTTAATTGTACTCACTATTAAAATCGATGCGATCTATTCGTTATGTCAGGTCCAGCAACTATTTCAAATAGATGAATTTGAGAAAGTTATAGCTATCCTTGAACTAAGACTAAATGATGAAGGCAATAAAGAGGAAGTATGCCTCTCCGTAACTGATACGTTTTTTTACGAATCACATATTCTATACTAGTTAATGGATACATTTTTTTAAAGTCACTTGAAAAATACGATAATACCATCCCTGAGAGACCCGCTCATTTTATGCTACTGTGCGAGAGCTACTTGAAACTGAAAGATTATCATGTAGGTCCACCTAGCATGTAATATCGAATAGAGAAAGAAATTGAATCTATTCTGTACTATAATAAACTACTTAGGCTGATCGAACTATTTTTAATTAAAATAATTTTGGCTTACTAGGGCTACATTAAGATTGCTGAAAAGACTCTGCATGAGATCATACTTAAATTAAATTCAAGTGCTGCTTGGAAAAATATCGTTGGTCAATTGCTTAATGAAATACAAGAGTGAGTATTCTAAAACAATTAGCAAGTTCTGATATATCCTAAAACATAACGAAACTTGTCTACTTTTATAGTTGTTTAGATCAACATCCTAAATGTTTAAAAACTTTAGAATGGGATAAAACCGTTCGCTTTGTTCAAAATATTATTCAGGTACTTTCGTATAGAAGTATTAATCCACAAAGTAATTGCCAGATTAGCTATTACTTTACAATAATAATTTCTGTCTATTCCGTTTCTAATTAAATGATCTCCGTCAGATGATTGATTTGGTAATGAATACAGACTCAGTTGATACGAGTGAAGTTAACGTGCAACCTTGGATCTGTTTGAATACAATTGTTAGACAGTAAGTTTACAAATAAAATATTTTTTACCTTTACTTTACTCAGTTATATGTGAATCATTTCGGTCTAAAATGTATTTAAATGTAGAATGGAAAGCGAAAGGCATTTAAACGAAAACAAGAATGGTAACATCGACACAGCTGGAAATAATCTAGATCTTGCCAACGGAAACCAAACTGAATTGGGTGAACCTTCTGCATCTCACTGTAATGACTCTACAGCTAGTGCTAATTCTTTTACTGAACCTTGCATCTTTCAACTGTTAAAATGTAGTCATCAATATCTAGGAAAGTAAGTTACTCGCTAGTTTCTTAAAGTTATGTAAAATTTTGTGGCATTCTGCATTCTCATATCCTAAAATTTGTGCAATTCATTAAACAAACTTATAGAAAATCATGGTGTTGTCGCAATGACGGAGCGTTTCTATTTTTTGCGGAAAAAACCTTTACAGAACTCCTAGACGAATACGACTATTTAAAGGTTCTATTCAAATCGAAAAAATTCAAATTTGATTAAAGATGTAAATCTGACTCTGTGAATGCGACTTTTACATCGTGACTAGGACTACATCAAAAAGGAAATAGAGCAATGCTACTATTGCTTGTATGGACATCCTAGAAAAAAGTCTAAAGTATAAGTTCACATATTTAAATATATATACTATACAATTAAACAATGAAACTGTTAAATCTATGCAAATTATTTTACAATTTCTTCCCTTAAATTGAACTGTTAGGCAAAAGCCTTTGAACAGCACTTATCGCCACAGGTAGATTTTTATATCATGAAAATTACAGAGAAATTATTCTTGTATTCGTCTAGCACTTATACCCATATATTTAGCAGAAATGATTTAATTTACAGTATTTTAGTCGCAGTTTATAATAGCTTGTTATGATATCAGAAATTAGCAATTAAATGTGCTAACTATGCTTAGGTCGAAATCAAATGGGAGAATGTCTCTGCTTTATTCAATTTTCTAAAACCGAATCCATTACCAAATTTCAATAGTCCTAAGACACAATCTATATCCCTAGAGGTATTGCATTACTGTACTGTTGTATGTCATTGTTGTTACCATCACTTGAAATAAAGGTTTCTTAAGAATTTACTAATGACCAATTTTTTCAGTCACTGCCTATTTTACTCACGATTTCAAGTACTGTCCCTACAACGGATCAAATCGGTAACTGTTTCGATATATAGTATAAGGTTGCATTATTTTAATTACATTATCACTGTTGGATGACTAAACCTGTCACACTAAAGACTTTCTAAAGTTCGACCTTATTAACACAATGAAAGCTGTATAATGTTGCTATTAAATTTTTTTGATCTCGTTCGCAGAGGATGTAGCCTTCAGGTTTAATGAATACCTATCTGGTAATAATGAATCCTTTTCTGATGGCTTATCACTTGTAGATAATAACCAACCAACGTTAGTAAAATCAGGAACTGCTGTTATCTGAATATTAATTAAACAAAATTTTTCAAAGACGTTCTTCATTGTATATTCCAGATCAATCTTAAAAAATCTATATTACGTGCTTGCGGACTCTTTCTTTAAAAATTTCGAATACAAGTACAGTATTTATTACAATTATGTGGCAAATTCATTTTTTCTGTTTCTAAAATATTCTATTTCTATTCTCAGTAAAGCTATCAAATATTACACCTACGACATTTGCTATAACTGGAATCATTTTGATTCATGGATAGGAATGGCATTAGCATGTAAACATCGAATAGAAAGTAAACTGAATAATGTATGTTTTAAATAGATATAGTTGATTTTTGTAGCAATGCGCTATATATCGCAATAGCTTTGTCCCTCCCAGATGCACTACTCTATCGTAGGGATGGTTACAAATTCATAACTTAGCTCAAGCAGTAAGATAAATTCTGTTCTAATCATTATATATATACCTACCATTAAATATTAGCGTGAAAATCGATTTGATAAGGCTCTCTTAAAGCATTGTTCATTTGCTTTAAAGTAAGGAAGAACAATAATGATTTGATAATGACCTAGTTATAATTACCGGTAAAGCATGTCAATGATTGATTAAAATCTCTACAATGATTTTTATCTCTCAGATGCTTTGAAAAGGCTACACGTCTCGATGATTCCTACTGTTTAGTTTGGACAGAGGTATGCTAGCAGAGAAAGTAAATTTTATTTATCATAAATGGCGGTCTTCTTGGTTTTGCAATATAACGAAGGATTCTTACTTGTAAGTTAATTTAACCGGCGTTACGTTATTACAGTATGGATCTTTAGCGTATATGATGCAGGCTCATACCTCAAGGCGGATGAAGGAAGTAAGGTTCATTTATTAATCTAAACGAAGGCATCGTACGGATGTAATTTTATTGCAGCACATAAAATATTTTTTTTCACTTTCTTGTTGCAGCCATATAGAACTATGTATGCATCTAATACATCGGAGAATGACGAATTTATGATTAAGAAACACAAAGAAATGCTTGAATTAGCTTTAAAATGTTTCCTGAAAGCAACATCGTTAGCAGGTGACAATGACGAAAAGTGGTTCTTGTATTACATGACTGGTAAATGTTACGAAAAGTTGAAGATGCCACCGAAGAAAAGCTTAGATTTATACTTGAAGGTTTGTGATTAAGCCACTAAATCAGCTCTGCTAGTTATCGATATTAAAATAATTTACTTAGCTAAGTGTTGTGTGCGTTCTTTAGGCTGCCTCGCGGCTTCATCACGAAAAAGCAGACTATCCGAAGAAAGTAACATACTCCCAATCAAGCCAACTTTTAGCAGTAGAAGCTGTAGAAATACACTATCGATTATTTGCATCGATGCTGAAAGCTTTGGAAAATAACTCTGAATCACAACATAAAGTGATCGATGAATACGTATCAAAAGTTTATAAGTTACCGTTTATTTTAGCTGAAGAAAAGTCTAGTAAAGATTCTGAAAAAAATATGCTTGATCAAGATCGTGTAGAGAAGATAACCAGTGCAAAAAACGAGACAGCAAAGTCAAACCCTATTCATTCGAGAAAAAGAGTAAAGGAAGAAGACAGTGATACTAACGATACCCGAGATAATGATAAGAATCTATCGGCTATTCGTGTGCTTAGAGAACATGATTATGTAGAGAACGCATGTCGTGCTACCATTAATAGAAGATCTACAATTACTAGGCGAAAATCAATCGATAAGAAAATCAATATTACTTCACCTGTCGGCAATCAATCGTCTATAGTTAAACATCAAAGGGGAGATACAAATACTGATTGCTTAGATGAATCCGTAAGCCTTACTCAGCAGTCCGAAACAGTGGAACTCCGTCGCTTAAAGAATATTGAATTATGTTTAAAAGGCATTAGTATATGTCTCGATCGGTGTTCATTTAGTTACAAGTCTGTATATCGACTTGCTTCTACGCTGTTCTATTCCAGTGTTCATAAGGTAAATTTGCTTTACTAAACAGATCACTTTTTTATATACTTCTTAGAAAACTTTTTAAAGGCGTTTGCTTTGGAAACTTACGTTTATACTTTAAATTTTGTTCTTATTACGCATAACGTTAAACCTTAACTGATGAAACATGTATACTTTATCAGGATATCACTCTGTGTCGTTCACTGTTACTAGGATGGAGTAAATCAACTTCAAGCGCATTCCCAACAAAGACAGATGTCCAATTTAATATTCCAAAATATAGCATTTTCTGTCTAAATAAGGCGAATTTTTTTAGTGTAAGGCTGTAACAATGCAATAATTGAAATTTTATAAAAGTCAAAAAGTGACAAATACGCCGCCTATTCGATGCATACGTATTAAAGGATTTAACAACTAATCCTTCTAACTTATTTTCGGTACAGTCCATGTATAAAAACCCCGTTGAAGACTTTGAAAGGTTAGTTTGTATTACGTTAATAAATAACTCTTATTTCTCAGCTTATTCTTAAGTCTTTTTTAACCCTCTACGTTTATACTTTTCGTACAACAGAGCAGGAGGATTTTGCGCTGCTATCAATAAATCATTGCTACTTCTGCTTAAAATTCTAGCTGAAGTTAAGGATATCTCCATGATATTTACCCTTTCTGGTATATTGGACAAAAAGCCACAAGATAAACGGTAAGTGTTATCAATTCTCTCCTCAGAGGATGACGATAATAATAATAATTCAGGCCTTTTCTAACACTCCAAGAGTCATTTTCCAATATGTGTTATTTATTCAATTCAGGAAGTACATGAAAGATGTGGATAGATGCCACCTAGCAAAGAAGGTAATTGTCATTAAAGTTATCAACTCTTTATTATAATTCCAGTCCAGTAGTAATTTAAATATCGTAATACTTTTAATTACGGACATTTTAGGCGTATCTTATAGGAGTTGGTATTGTTTCGGAACTAGTTGATCAACTAGAATGTAAGTGTTCAGCTCTATTGTAGTCGATTAGTGATAAATAAATATCATTAATGCATGCTTCTATCATTACATAGTTACAACAAGCGGTGATGTATCGGATGAAAAGGCTAACTTACCGAAAGATTTTAATGTTAGTGAAATAGTATTCATTCAATTACTATCAAAATACCACAAATGCTTAATATACTTGTTTCTGAATTTGATAGAAAGCAAATCTCACTTCAGCTTTACCAAAAATGAAAGAGCTGAAAGACAAATTTGAGGACGAAAATCAGGTATTTTCGAAGGAATTACAAAATAATGTCATCTGCACAACTACGCTAGTCTACTTGCATTTATTTGCTATATTAAACTTTATAATACAGGTTACAGAAACTTTGTTGGCTAAAGCTGAAAAATTATTGTCCTTAGCCAGTGATAAGCAAGTTAGTATATTATTAACTATCGCATTTACCGACTAATTGCCGATAGTCGTTTTCAAATAAGACTATTTTCATACTTTACTCTGGTAGCTTTGTGCAGTAAATATCTTCTTACTAATTAATAAGCTACTACTTTTTCTGATTGTAGCCCTCAGAGACTCAAAAGGAAGAACTGCCAACAACTTCAGATCTTGTAAACTAGTACTGCACATAATTGGGATCAATTTGTAAATAGCTATACGAGTCTTGTTTAGTCTACCGCTAATGTAGGCCCTTGTAGACATGTACTGTACTAATGTAATTAATATAATGAATTTTTTAAATTACCGTGTTGTGTTAAGTAATAAAACACCATTACTTCACATCTTGGAATGAGTTAAAATCATGAAATATTAAAAACCTATTTTGATTTCTTTAAGGATTTTAACTAAACCCGGCATTTTTACGTATGCGCCGCAGTATTATATTTATAGACATATACTATAATTAAAACGATATCGCTCGAAAATAAATTGTTCAACATTGGTGATTACTATAGTTACTGGATTGGCTCCATTGATAAATCTTTAAAGTGATTTCATAAATTAAAAGCTTTTAAAATTATGTCGTTATTGTCAAAACCTTATTCACAACCTTTCCATGCTTACAATTCAGATGCTACACCTATTCACAGAAAGCGATTTGTTTATCACATTTTATGATGGATGCTAATAACGCTGTGCTGTGACAAAAGATCCCATGTTTTAATTTGCGACGAGTGTGCGAATGGAATCGATCTATACCATGACGTACACGTATACAATATAAATACAGGCATCTCAATTTTATCCTATGAACTGATGTAAAATTTATCGGGTAACTTGTGACCAAACTAAAACATACTGTAACTATTATACAACTGTATTCATGCGCTAGGTTATGACTCATGATCATCGTCAAATCATTGATTTACACATAAAACTCTGATAATTATAATTAAGGGTACTATATTAACCGCAACTGTAGTAGTCTAGTATAATCTTTGAGTAGCAGTGATTAAAATTTCCTTTGACTTAAATTGGCAACAGCGTAACGTTGTAAATCAAGCGATTCGGTATGCAAGAATTTGTCACAATGAAGTCTTTCAAATTTACAAATTTATTGTTGCCTAAATTTATTGCTATTCCTGATTGTGTATTGATTTTTCATAATTAGTATTCGATATGGAACAATTTTTCCTGATAACTGCATGCAATTTAGCTTCACAATCCTGCACCTCTTTTTTTGTATTCTCAATTTCCACCTCTAAATGATTAACTATCGTGTCTGGATCGGTGTCTTTATCATAATCGACAGCTATAGATTCACTAAATTTGGCAGGTAAAAACCCTAAATTTAACGACTCGGTGGTTGATTTAACGTAAGTAGCAATTTCACTTTTAGCAAGGTCATTATCATCGGTTGGTTTTTTCGATTGAAGTTTTCTTTGTCTTTTCTTCTTATTCTTCGAAAGCGACTTTATAACTTTATTGTCGGTTTCATCAATATCATTGTCATCTTTTCCTTTAGTTTCATGGGCCTTTGAAGGCACATTATTGTTAATTACGTTTGTTTTAGGTTTTATAGCAGTTCCTGCTACATCTACATTTGTTTTCCAATCTTTTTTAACAATCCGCACTTTTGACGATTTATCATCACTTGTGTCAGCTTCCGTTTGTAACAATTTGGGCGCTTTAGTAGAATTTGTATTAGTAGAATAGGATTGGTTTCGATTTTCAGCTTTTCTCGCTGGCAACGTATTACTTGCTCTATCACGACCAGGTGAATTTGGATATACATTCGAGCGTATGCCACTTTTTACGTTATTCTTATGCTTATGTTTATAGCTTTGAGCTAGCTTTCTATCTCCCAACTGACTATTGACAGAAGGTAAATAATTCGTCCTTGTTACATTATCATTCTTATTCGCATGTATGCGATACTTGTTCCCTGTAATATCCTCTACTTCATGCTTAATATTCATCTCCTTCATTTTATTAACAGGAACGACGGTTTCCTAATGAAATTACGACCCATCAATCATGAAGGTTTAAGAACACTTTATAAATCTATTACAGTATAAAGATATATGAAGCTAACTCAAGGTTTATTAATAAGTTATCGATATGCAATCAATCTACCTCAGTTTTAATAAATGACGGATTTTCAGTATTACCTATTTCATCACGACACATAAAACAGTCGTTAATACCAATGTTTAATAGAATTTTACCTAAAATATTCCAAATATGCTATCTATCCATGTAATAACTAAATTAAGACCGTAGTAACCTATTCCATACGTATTTATCAATAGAAGCTTCCTCATAAAATATATAACTGAACTTACTCTTTGATTCAATTCCATGTTTCACGTCGCTTTCCATTATATGATGCGGTTTTGACTGGTCGTCGTTCTCTTTATGAGATAGATCTTTGCCAGATATTTCGGTACCTTGCAGAGTATTACCTTAAAATTGTAGTTACTTAATTAGTCATCACTAGAAAGTCTAAAATGACAAACTTTCATCTATTCACGGGGGGAAAGTTAACAACCGAATTTTGGCGAATCCGAAATAGCACAGTACACATCACACCGACAACCACAAAACTGATTAGCCATAGTTACTGTAACAACTTACCAAACCCAAATGTAATATTGACATTAGGCAGTAGAGAACGAAAACCAGCTTGCCATTCTCGAACATTCTAAAATTTGAATTCCGAGAAATACCGATACCATAGGTGTCAATGATTAAATCAAATAGAAATTTAATCTTCGTACGTACCTGTAGCATTCCATTATTGCTAACACAGGGTGTGGACGTGTTCTTATCATTATGCTCTGCCTTGATGGCCGTATTAGGAACCTTTGCCCCTCCAAAGTTATTCGCAGATGAACTGTTTCCTTCAAAACCGCTTTTTATACCAAAGCTTTCGGTATCAATTCCAACGTTTGAATACGAAGATCCAGCATCAATATTGTTGCTGCTACTATCTATATATTTTGACATATTAAAACCATCACCAGGATTATAATAATTCCCAAAATGGGCATAATTCTGCGCATTTTGAAAGTAACTCTGGTTTGATTGCGGGAAGATATTCTGCTTCCTATTAGCATATCCTGTATTATTGTACGGATTTCCGGAAGCCATTTCTGTATTCGTATTATCTAATGAATCCACGATATTACTATACGTATTACCTAACATAGACACAATTTAACGGGATTATCTCGTAGAAGTCAGACATGTACACTCTAATCTTACAATATACAACGATAAAGCATGATACTAACCAAGCATAGATGTCGTTCCATTTTCATAGAGGTTACCATTTCTTTCGTGCTCAACTGTAACTGGCAGTTTGTTATTCACATTATTATTACTTCCAAGTAAGAGTAAGTCTGCAAAGCCTTTATTAGATTCATTCCAAGGGTCAAAATCTAACCAAAAATCATTACGTATTTCATTATTAATGTTTCAAAATTCATACTGTATAATAAAGAAATCTATTTAGATAGCATGTAAAAGTTTGATTACATACCTAAATCCTCATCTGTATTATTAGCATACAAGTTTACACTATAAATTTGGCAAAAAGTGACGATTAACATAGAATAAGACCCTGGTCAATTCTGTTTACGTAACTTTACTAACTTTATGAAGTAGAACTGTGATATCGACACAAATAACACGACTAACACAATATTATAAAGAAAATACCCGTATTTATAAATGTGCTATATATAAAGGAGAATGACTTACTGGGATGGAACTGCGTCAGTTGCACGAATATTCATATAAGGAGGATTGTAAAGTTTATTTGGGGCTCCACTGCCCACAGCTTTATCATAACTATTCTGGGAAATTGTTCCCTTCGTTGGTTTTTCTACTTGTACATCACTTTTCATTTCTAATTCCTCTTCATAATTTTCTGATACTTCAGTGACAACCTTCGTGCTAATTTGTTCCGAAATAACCCTAACAGAAATCAAATCTTTAGATCTAAACGTGGTATAGAATCACCCTTATCACCACTAAATAAGGTCATTTACGCTAGAGACTGATTTTCAGGTTGTGAATTCTCCGTGTTCACGTCATCTAGAAATAAATATAAAGCAAATGATGCCAACTATTTACACACTTATAAATGCAATTGCGTCTATTTGTTTAATGCACGAGTATAATAAATTAATAGATTAATAACTAATAGTAAAAATTACCTTGCACGGCTTTTCCCGTAATTATCTTTTCCTAATTATGGATAGGAAATGAAAATTTAGACATACTGAAAGACGCAAAAAGTCAAAAATGGTAATTGATTGAAACCTTATTATCAGGCCAATCAGAATTTTCTGAAATCTTGCGCTCACGAACTTGACTGCAAATTTCGTAACAACAAATACTTAACGTACTATCAGATTAAGATAACTATATATATTACCATTATTGTATTTCCCATCTAACATTTACTAAATTTTAATTTAACTCTAAAACCAACCTATGCTTTGAATGATACGTGCTTATACCTAAGTGTTCTAGATGTTTCCTATCAGTCATAACGCTTCTTTAGATAAATTGTTATTATCATATACATGAGAATATGTAATTCTATTTATTACCTTTGTTGAACATCATCTTTAGTAAAAACACATGACTCATCACCAAGCTCGTGCAAAAAAGGACAATCCTACAAGATATCAATAGGAATTGGTTCATAGTTCATATTCAATAATAAAGCTACGCCATAATTTTAGAACAAACCGATTTCGTGCAAGGAATATTCTTTAAGAAGTAATTGCAATATTTTGTAGTACCATGAGACGTTCTGAAAAGTTGTTGTATTCATTGTTAGTAAAGTATTTAAAATTTACTATCATTATATTATAGACCCATATACAGTATAGTGATATTCTTTTTAACGGTAAATTAAAAGAATGATAACATACTTAATTGTTCTACCATGAATAATCAAACCGGAAGTATTTTTAATAGCTTCCAGTGCATCCTGTAAGAAATTTGGCAGTATTTCGAGGCATTACTACAACCGATCAACATAAAAACAGTTTAAATTCTTATACGTAGATATTTAATCTTACCTCATTTCTAGTATATGTTATGTAGGCACTTAAGCTTGGCGTCTGTCGGTATATGATTAAAATAAGCATAAATGAATACATTAATGGATAATATCATCTAATTATTTACATCTTTTTGATCAAAATTACCCTTATAAAAGTACAGAGAAAAAAATTTGTACATTCCTATTCTACTGTTACCTGGCTTTGTGCGTAAGACGTGTTACTGTTAATAGCAACACGTGTTATTTTACCAAATTTACCAAAATACTCTTTACTTTTTAAGACCTTTATATAATATTAAATTGATAATAAATTAATTAATAATTATCCAAAAATATCCATTAAATTCACAAGCTGTCAAAATCACTTTATAATATACTTTCAATTTTACCTCCTCGGTCGCAATACGTGGTGATAGACCAACAACAAACACTAAATTTTTTTGTATTACTCTAATCAATATAATAAGATTACATATTAGTACATAATAGCGAATATTCCGTACAGTATTGCAGTCAATGCCAAGCAGTAATCAATACGTAAACAATGTAGGGAATTATCGGCAAAATAATAAACTAGTATTACAACTAATAAGTATAAGTTCAAATTTGATTTCTGCTAATCAAATATCATAGAGTGTATCATTTGCCGTTATAGTAGTACCTCATTTTTTCTAGATGCTTTCTGGATTCATCTTGTTTCTGCTTTTTTTGATGATCTTTTTTCTTTTTATCTTTCTTCATAGATTTAATCCTAAGATATAGCCGATTAAATGAGCCAATAATGCATGAGATAACAATCAACGCAATCATAAACCACTCGTAACACATCAACACATTTACATTTATGTAGGAATGCAAGTGTTAAACATCAACTGTATATTTCTATCGCTATACACACATTAATTAATTATCAGCATATAATAACATCACAATGTTAAACCTTTATCACTTAACTGTTCTTCAGACAGCGGCTTAAACTTGACCACATCTTCAGAATAAGTCTAATAAAGTTTTAAGCGAAAAGTTACAAGCATTAATTTACTGCTTGTAATGACGCATAGTAAACAGCATTAAATCAATTACGATAACGCATTAATGTATCTAATTTATTAATTTTTTTCAATCGTCTCAGGTTTCACATACATTGCTATTATTATAATAAAGTCTACTGTAAGAAAAGAAGTAAAGGCCATGACAAATATCGCAAAAATATTATCAAGAGAAGCCTGTTATCGTACAATAACTAAGAAAAGATGCAAATCTCCAAAGAGTATGCGTATAGCAATGTAAAAAGGCGCAAACAATGTATTGTACATTATCAGTATGTCATACAAGTAAATATGATGTAGTCAGAATTAAATATTTAATATATGACACTGGACTTATTTAGTGGGCTATACGTTACTTTATTAATTGTTCACAATTGGCAACATCACTAGTTTTATTATCTATTTAATTATGAAATTAGTCGAGAATTGCAGTACAAATTTGAAACACCGTAAAAGCGATTACCGTACTGATAATAATTAATTCAGAACCTTTTTGGAACCCAAACCCATAATCCTGTATAATGGAGTTACAGCAATTGAGAGAATATGCGTATAAGTTACTGTCAATATCAGGGAAGTAAAAGATTTACGTTATAATGGAAATAGCTCTCTATATGATACTTTAGCACAAAATATTTTATTGCTCTATTCATTTATTGAAATGACACCTTGAATTAAATAAAATTTACTGCAGGCCTACAATCATTGAGGTACATTGCAATAAAAATTCAAAGTTGGATGATTAACACAACCGGAATTTCAAGAATAACTTTTGACAATACGTCACAACATTTATTACATCTACAATTTCACAATCTTTAATTGAGCAAGTTATCGATATTTCCTGTCAGTATAGTCTAGTATCTATGATGAAAGAATTAAATTTATAAATTGAATTCAGAGTATACTACTTCAATTGAATAAGACTACCCCTGATAAGTTATGCAAAAATATGTTTAGGCACATGAATAGCATATTCATATGGGATCTCAATTCGGGCTTGCATAAAAAACAAATGCAGTCCATTGATGTAGTGAGAGAGGCGAAGATATACGCGCATAAAGAGGTAATCGAATATTTGAGCAATCCTTACAGGTTATGCCCGTTGCTAAAATTAAAGTTATAACTAATGTTCCTACAGTTTTATCAAGGATGATAACACAGCACAGTCCATATTAAAATCAGGTGATTAATACTCCATCTACTATACGCACTTTCAGTGCTGATATTGTGTTTTCGCTAAAGCCGGATAGGCAACTGCATTGATGATTTCATGCCAACATATTTGAATTTTAATGTAATATTGAAATACAGATGACGTACAACGGAAATGTCTTTCTAATTATATATTTATGAGTAGACTTTTATCAATAGAATGGCATTACTGTGAAGTTAGATTCTTCCATTTAAACGTTAGTGCATTTGACAGAGTCAGTAAATGTCCGGATCAATAATTATAATTAATGACATAAAGGTAAAAAATGATAGACAGATGACAGATCGATATTGGATCATGAATCGATTATAATTATTCTCTATCTATAGTGTAAATAAAGTTGATTATAAAATTGATAATACAAAATTGGGCAAGTCCTTGTCATTAACGTCAACATTTGATTCATATTCGTTCTTGCAGTCTAGATTGAATTGTGTAAGTCCAACTATACAATTATGATTGGCAAAAGACATGGTCAATGTCTACAAATTAGGCTAATACTTGCGATTGTAACAATACAGTTCTCACAATAGTGAATTTGATTTGTAACCCTAATTGTACAACTACGATTAACAACCGTTATTGTCTGATGATTATCAAACTAGGTTCATCATAATCATTAAAGTCAAAATTTGATTTCAATTTATTCTAGCTACATACTACATTAAAGTCATTCTTGCAAATATGGAAATAAAACTGAGTGCCAACTAAATGGATGCCAATGTCTAGAAGTGCGCAAATTTAGAGCGTGGTTACTTCTCTTCGCTTACGTCGATAGTACAGTAAAAGTATTATGTTGATTCCTGCAGTCTTGCCCAAGTCAAATTATAATTCGTATCTATGATTGAAACAATACCAGCATCACATCATGTAAAAGTACTAGTCTTTGAAAGTTGTTCTTCAATACTGCATGATTGACAAATGCATAATACTAGTTTTGGCAGAAGTAAAAAAAAATCTTTTCAAACTTGATAGAATAAGTACCAATACCTATCCATGTAGAAGTACTGTACTAGTCTTGATGCAAGTTTGCGAGTATGATTGAGCAAATATCATCACAGCTATGTACAAGTACTAGATTGGCAGTAGTTAGAAACTTCTTTTAATAAATAATGTAAGCCAGCAAGAACGATCGCAGTGTATCAACTAAACTCTAACGTTGTACTGTACATGATGTTCAAAATAAAAGAATATACTACTATACAATGTAGTACTGTATAGTGTACAATGTAAATGTTGCCTTCAATAATACGGATGTTACATCGATGTACATACACCACAAATAACACCAGAACAATTTTATGATAACAGTTGACAAGGCTCCATGGACTAATGCGCTTACGTAAAGTCATATCGGTTGAGTGCAGTACACACTCGAGACGATAACTTTTGATCGTTAAATCTCATTTTTCATCCAGGAAGAAAAAATGTCAAGGTGTTTTCCTTTCCACTGTTAACTCCACCATCGATTGCTAAAGTACTACATTAACACCGTAACTAGTCATTCCGTCACTCATCCCACTTCCTAAACCGGGCAGGGCAATAATCTCACAACGTCAAGTCAAAACAATTGCGAATAGGGTTGAAAAAGACGATACGTATACATGATGTGATGAAATATAGTAGATATATACCGCCGTCCTGTAGAGCTGTAGATCAGAAATGAAAGCAAAGGAGAATAAGGCTGATTATACTCATGAATATCAGAAGAGTACAGAATCACTCTGGGATATAGTTCAGAACATGAGTAGATTACTCACACGATATGACGTCTATCAATCTTATAACCTCTCAGGATTAATTAACCCATATTTAGTAACAATAGCAAGATTGAATTCCACGCACGCTGGATGTCGGTACTTTATCGAAAGTTTTACATGATGATGTAAATGATCTTTTTGGTCATGGAATGATGATAGATTACCCAAATTGAAGAGTTCCCCAAAAAGTGATATCTGATCGATAGTCATGGAGTGCTAATGTAGCAGGAAAATATGAAAGTCATAGTCCAAGCTATCTATGTTTACATGTACGTAGACTGCATAGTATAGGTTTGATTTGTATTTGGTTAGTCAACAGTAAGTAGAAAGACATGAGTTGATACAGATTGGACATGAATTTGTCAAGATAGAAATCGATCTAGGAAAGCAATTGCAAAATAACACTAATTGTTTACGTTGAATGTGGTGGTGTGTTGACGTACTGTAAGCGAAATCTATGTCAGGGATAGAATGCTAATAGACTGTCCAAGTATGGTATCGTTAGTGAGAAATTTTGCACATTTCTGTATTCATGTATGGCAGTTTGAAACAGGCAATACATAGTTACGGCTAGGATAGGTAACCGATTTCATTTCTAGTTTACTTACACGTCGGCAAGCGGGACATAATCCATTTTCATGGGTACGTATACGGTGCCAACAAAAACCGCAAATCTATGGATAAATGAAGGTGATATTATCAAGTTGAAATGAATGATATCAGTATGAAAATTGACTTGTAGTTACCTGATAGCCACATTGACATGGAAAAAAGTTTAGATCATCCTCCAATGGTTCCATGCACAATGGGCACTAAAGCATGAACGCCCAAGAGAGAGAGAGAAGAGAAAAAAATATTGCAAGATGAAATAATGCTTTTCCTCCTTCGTACTATTCTACGCGTCTTATGATGATGATGACGATAACCAATAATGATCACTTCTACATCAGCAAATGGTATATCAACTTATATTTGCAATCTATCGTTATAGACAGCAAGTACAATCATTGATTGATTGGTATAACTTTGGTTGAAGAGGAAAACTGCCTCATGACCTAGCCATGGCAATTTGGCAGGAAAAAAAATTAGCTTACAAGGTCGAAATGACTACATTATCCAGTCATGCTTTTACTCTGATCCATGCTAATTGTAAAAACTAGGGTATAATTTAGAGTCAAAGGTTAACTTGATGTATTTGTAATCGATCTCTATTGACAGCCAATACAATAATCGATTGCTTGGTATGGTTGAGCCAAAGGAGGAAAAGCTGATTCATAGCAATTGGATTGGAGAGAGTTTAAGCCATGCAGTGGAGATGACCGTCGGCTCCATTTTATTTATGTCAAATGCATTGTCACTAGAAACTAGTGTAGAGTAGAGTAGAGAGGAATCCGTTCTATCGTCCTTTGCCTACTTTCTATACACAGTGACTACAGTAAGCAATCCATCATTGGTCATGTATCATCTCAAGTAAAAGAAGAAAATGAATTGCATTTGCTTTTTGCTATCCTCATTGCAGAGGTTTTAGCCCATCCAGTGCAAAGTTACTAACGACTACGCCATCATGCATTTTTGGAGGGGGGTTGCACTCCACCCATCCTCACATCAAAAGTATTGTATAGTATAGCATACATTGGTCTACTTTACGACTAGGATAGCCTACAGTATGAGAATGCATTTCGGTCAAAGTAACTGACTGTCATTTTGCTCACCTCAACCACTTCTTCATTTTGTTCGTTGGACATAGTACAACAACAATGTCAACTAGGCGATTTTATCACATAGAGAATTGCCTAATGGTCAAGTTGACTGAAGAAAAAGAAGATGGCGGATTCAAGATAGAGTCAAGGCGGAAAATTTCACTGGATTGATATTCAGTAACGCTTGTTTGTCCACAATTTGCAGTCGATATGTTCGTCGTTGACTGGCAGGAGTTGCCGCAAGGCTTCCACTTTTCAAGTCCTTTCTCACTGTGTGTCTGTCTTTCGCGCTGTTGGTGGAGTGAGAGCCAGGCGCCGACTGAGATATTCTTGCAACTCCCTTCTCTACTCTACCCTCTACAGTATGCTACAGTCCTAGTTTAATTAAGGTTTGCTGTGACTTCCATCAGCCAGTCAATCAATGGTGGGTCGAGCCACTGTGGTGAAGTCGTGTATTGTACAGTACAGTACTGTACAGTCACCAACAGTAGGTGACGTACCGTGCATGTCACTCGTCTTCAGTAATACGTACTGAAATATTCTTGCGACTCTCTTCTCTACTCTACCCTCTACAGTATGCTACAGTCCTAGTTTAATTAAGGTTTGCTGTGACTTCCATCAGCCAGTCAATCAATGGTGGGTCGAGCCACTGTGGTGAAGTCGTGTATTGTACACTGTACAGTACAGTCACCCCAACAGTAGGTGACGTACCGTGCATGTCACTCGTCTTCAGAAATACGTACTGAAATATTCTTGCGACTCTCTTCTCTACTCTACCCTCTACAGTATGCTACAGTCCTAGTTTGAGGTTTGCTGTGACTTCCATCAGCCGGTCAATCGATGGCGGGTCGAGCCACTGTGGTGAAGTCGTGTATTGTACAGTACAGTACTGTACAGTCACCCCAACAGCAGGTGACGTGCCATGCATGTCACTCGTCTTCAGTAATACGTACTGAGATATTCTTCCTACTCTACTCTACCCTCTACAGTATGCTACAGTCCTAGTTTGAGGTTTGCTGTGACTTCCATCAGCCAGTCAATCAATGGTGGGTCGAGCCACTGTGGTGAAGTCGTGTATTGTACAGTACAGTCACCCCAACAGCAGGTGATGTGCCATGCATGTCACTCGTCTTCAGTAATACGTACTGGGATATTCTTCCTACTCTCTTCTCTACTCTACCCTCTACAGTATGCTACAGTCCTAGTTTGAGGTTTGCTGTGACTTCCATCAGCCGGTCAATCAATGGTGGGTCGAGCCACTGTGGTGAAGTCGTGTATTGTACAGTACAGTCACCCCAATAGCAGGTGACGTGCTGTGCATGTCACTCGTCTCCAGTAATAGGTACTGCTGTCACTGTGGCTGGTTGCAACGACAACGATACTACAGTAGGGACAACGACTGCTTTGGTCTATACATACTACAGTAGGCTCACCGCTATAACATACTAAATCTTACCGGTGCTGGTAAGATTTAGAGTACAGTAGAGTACATTAAGTACAGGTCCATACGGTAAGCTCACCTCCACATACTGTAGACCTGACAACATACTAAATCTTACCGGTGCTGGTAAGATTTAGAGTACACTACATGTACAGTGTATAGTACTGTAGCCCTGTACTGTACTGTACGTACTGTACGGTGGCTACCGTATGAAATGATTCTGCGCATCGTGTTACCATGTAGACCACGGACTCGTAAGCCCCTGACCGTCAATAGTGGTGTACTAGTAGTCAACAGTCAACGATCACTAGACTGGCTGGACTGGACGACAGTAGACGTCATACGCAAAAAATTTTTTACGCTACAGTAGTTATACGTGTGTGGTGCACCTTGAAATAGGCGCATCATGCTGACTGAGCTGACATCATTCTCACTGTACTAGCGATTTACATACAGTACTGCTCTACATTCTAAAGAGTAAAAAAGGGAACCGAAATAATGGATGGAGCGAGCTATAGCTCAGCCCATCGCTTTTCCGTGACGGACACTAGTATCGTTTGCGTACAGACCGCGTATAATTTCATGAGGTAGCACAAATCGTTTACGTTAATACAATCATGATTCATATCCCTTTTTGTACAATAAAGTATGCACTAAAATGACATAGCATCACCGGTGGCATCACTTTTGATCAAGGCTCCATTGCTCCCTTCCTTAACATAATCATAACAAACTAGCAACAGCTTTACAAGTCTGTGTCTACCAGCTGCCACTATAGCGCAATATCAGTACAATTGGTTGCTGGAAGCAGAATAGAACTATAACGTAAGGGGCTACAGTGAAATTCTTTCTCCAATTCATTTGTAATAATGGTCCTATCAGGGACTAATTACAAAGAGAGAAGGGGGTGTGCAGTGGCCGTTTAGTGCCAAAATTAGGAGAACCATTCATTTCCCTTGTCATTCTACTGTACAGTACTCTACTCCATTACCGAAAATAGAATGGAGATCTGTAGCTTATTAAATATCAATGGTAAACAGCATCCAGGACTTGTCCTAAGAGAAAATTCGCTTGCCTTGACAGCATACGCGTACACTTTAATCACTCAGTGACGTCATATGGTTTCTATAGAGACGCCAGCTACCCACACTATCTGCATCCATGCTAAAGACGACCGTAATATAATCTACGCATAGTACTATGATTACATTTATACCAACCCATTCATGTACACCTCAACATAATTATCAAACTATAATGACTGAATTAACGTCGATGATAATTTAAATGATATTCCTTCTTATTTCTGGCAAAGCCATTCAAAAAATTGCACTCAATCAATAGCAAACCGATGATATTACTCCTTAACGGAATTGGTCTCAATATTCAAGCTTGATTTCCAATTCTAAATCGATGTGGTAAGTCTTTACTTAAAGTTTTCAATCAAATATGGTATACGTAATGCTCAATTGCATCTTTTTCTTCTAGACGGTAGCGCATATGAGTATTCTTTCCACTGTAGTGTTTACACTCTAGAAACGTACACAATCAACGATATACATTGTCGAAGTTTATACCAACTTGCCCAGTTTATCCCCATAAAATAAAAAATAAAAAGAGACTGTATCGTCTTTTCTCTACAATATATTATCATTTTCATTCGTTCAAATTAGTTAAAGAAGGATCTCTACTCATCCACTGTTAGTTGCAATATACAAAAAAAAGAGCTTCCAATAACTTATCATACAACACTGTAACTTATTCGTACGTTCAGTCATGTATTGTAAACCACGCTTGATGAATTTGACCATTAACTTCGCTATAAAAGACGCAGTATGGTACAATTTTAGTCTAGGTCACAAACATATCATTTAATTATAAGTAAACAATTGATAGCTTGTCTTCTAATTCAAAAAAGCGTTGTTGTTTAATATAACCCTAATATACTCTCAACCTTTTGTATAAATAGTTAGTCTGCTTAATATAATCATCCGTTCCGGTACAAAAAGAATTTTTCTGCGAAAACCGTAAAAGGTGAAATACTGAACATCCATGTCAATGATTTTGAAAAAATGAACACTAAGTTATCATATCCATATTATGTTATATATTGTTTAACAAAATTGAAATAACCCTACGTACATTACTATGTGGTAGTACTGGATACTCGTATGTTGACACGAGAGAAAGCGCGTATTATATCAACCTCCATCCTAACGGATAATCTATAGTAGAACTGTTTTGCACAAACTGTTTCAATAGCTGTAAAAAAAAATCTTCCCTTTACACCTCAATACAATTCTAGATATTCATTATGATTTAAATACATTAAACAAATTATTGAATATCGTAAAACTACTCCGCTTCAAGAAATTGTCTATACCAAAATTTATTACTGATTTTAGACATTTTATTCTCTAAGCAGATACCCCAATTGGCAATCAATTTTAATAATTCGTAAAACTAAGACTATTGATAAGAATTTCAGTGACGCTGCTATTGTAAAAAACTGTCATTATAATAAATCATGACTACAACCAGACAAAGTTATGCAATTGATCATAAAATTGAAAACGTAACAAATACTGTGAATATTCAACTTTAATTACTATAATCGTAAATGTTACATTGATTACAGCAATATAAATTAAACGATAACGCTAACGACTATACGATCTTAAATATTCTTTTATAATCACGAGCTAATCCAATCTCATCAGATACACCTAGCATTCTGGTCTTTTTTTTACATAGGTAATTTTACACGAGTCAATAGGTATCTTTACGTATTCAAAGATATCTAACTGTGGTTACCATAATTGATAAGCAATTTTGGAATAATTCACTGTAACTATTCTTGACGTAAATTATACACAGTTCTATCCATTAGCGCTCAAATTGATGGTACTCGCCTGTAACCAGCCTATAAAGTGATAAAGTATTGAGTTAACTTATAGTCAATTTATTAATTACGTTATACTTTAATACAATTTCTTTATTGAGCTATGCAGACTATTAACTTAGCAAAATATGATATATAGACAATAAATCTAGACTGACTCCTAAGGTTATCAAATCATAAAAGATTTACAATATATTCGGCCTAACTAAAGCTACTATTCAATTGTTATCAATTACAGTATTTTTATAGAATTTCAATACCACTGAACTTAAAACTTCATGGAACTACAATCATTATTAATTAGCGTATCTGAAATTTAATAAAGTTGCTATAAGATCTCTTTTTTAAATGAAAAATTGTTTCAGAAGAACTAATCAAACATGGCTGAAGCTGTTAAAGTGATAGTTCGATGTAGGCCAATTAATCAGCGTGAGGTTGATTTGCGCTGCGAAAATGTAGTTGAAATGGACGAATCAACCTTTCAGGCCCGCCTGAAGAAACCCAAAGCCGATGAACCACCGAAAAGTTTTACTTACGATGGCGTCTATAATATAAATTCCGTTACTGATACAATCTACAATGATATTGCCTATCCACTTGTTGATGGTGTTTTAGAAGGTTATAACGGAACGATTTTTGCCTATGGCCAAACTGGATGTGGCAAATCTTATACTATGCAAGGTATGACATTGACAGTAACTTAAACTTATGTCTACTCCTGTCTAATATTGTAATTCTGATTAGTCGATACTCATCGTTAGCTATAAAAAATTACATCTTATAATAAAATATCATTTAATGCTTATGGTTAAATAAATTTTTTTGTCAACTCACCTTAATGAAATGGCATACGTATTAATTATGTTACATAACGCAAATTTGTAGGTGTTACTGATCCCCCGAGTCAGCGTGGAATTACACCACGTGCATTCGATCATATATTCGAAGCAATACAGACTACTGAAGGAACAAAATATCTCATACGTGCATCATATCTGGAAATTTATAATGAAACCATTCGCGATTTACTAGCCAAAGATGTTAAAAACAATTTAGAAGTTAAGGTTAGATGTCATATGACATATTAAATTAACAAACAGCCATTAAAATATCTATTATATCATAAAATAGCTTGATAATCGTACATTAAAAATGTTTATGATATCATAACTTGTTTGGTATAATAAAGGAAAGAATCTTATCTTTCAATTACTTGACAATTTAGGAACACCCGGAGAAAGGCGTTTATGTGAAAGATCTATTAAGCATACCTGTTTACAGTACTATTGATATGGAGCGATTGATGAATATTGGAGGCAAGAATCGTTCAGTGGGTGCTACCTTAATGAATGCGGATTCCTCAAGATCTCATTCCATATTTACTATTAGTCTAGAAATGTGTGTTAAAGGTAAAATAACGCAAAGTTTAAATTGGATTCTAAAAATTTCTAACGATAAATAGATTTTTCAACACGATACGTATCTAAGGATCACAATACTTGCGGATTTTATTGCATCATTTAGATGATGACGGCGATGAACATCTTCGAGCTGGAAAACTAAATTTAGTTGATTTAGCTGGTAGTGAACGTCAATCAAAAACGGGTGCATCAGGTAGTAGGCTAAAAGAAGCTACTAAAATCAATTTATCTTTATCCGCTCTTGGTAATGTTATTTCAGCATTAGTTGATGGCAAATCCAAGCATATTCCATACAGGTTAGTATCATAAAATAACCATTTTACAACTTTAATTAAATAATAAGATCATTTAAGTTACATTATAACTGAAATACTCTGGTTATTATCATTAAAGAGATTCAAAATTAACAAGATTACTACAAGACTCTTTGGGTGGCAATACTAAAACTTTAATGGTTGCTTGCATTAGTCCTGCCGATAATAACTATGATGAAACCTTAAGCACTTTACGATACGCCAATCGTGCTAAAAACATCAAAAATAAACCTCGTATTAATGAAGATCCAAAAGATGCATTGATCAGACAATATCAAGAAGAAATTAAAAAACTTAAATCAATGCTAACTGTTTCACCTACGGGTAAGATAGCTATATCTCTTTAGCGAACATGTTAGTAGTATTTCACTAATAACGCCTAATTTTATATCATAAATTCATTGCGTTAAATGGCATATCTGATTGCCTAATAGACGCATCGGTACCTACACCGGATCAAGCTAACCAAGCTGAAATTGAAAAAGAAAACGAGCAAAATGAGCAAGCGCGATTAAAGTTAATGGAAGAAAAAGAAAAACTTAAAAATCAGTATGAAAATCAGATGTCAAATCTGGAACAAAAATTTCAGAGCGAACAAGCCAATCGAGCAAAGTTAGAATCAGAAGTGGCTAATATCAAAGATGAGTACGAAAATAAATTAGAACAACTACGCCTTGAAATGTTAAATTCCCAAAAGCAACAGAAATCAGAGACAAAAGAAGTTCCTCCAGATACACAACCGAATGAAGCAACGAAACCTAAGCCAGCCCAAAGCACAGTAACACAGGGTACAAATGCGAGCATAACATATCATTAATTGAGGAATATTTCTGATGATACTTGGTTAATGCACACTGTTTTAATATACCGTAATTATGCTACATAAATAAGAACTATCCTATAATAACTCAAACAAATTAGATTTCCTTTAATTTAAATCTATATTAAGATTGATCCCAGTTACATGAATGAACATAGGATACACAGTATATGCAATTCCTGTACATATAATAATTACCAGTCTTAACTTACTTGTAACTTCAGAAATTACAAAACTTAGTGCTTTATCATCCCTTGACAATAGATAAATAATAATATAGTAGCTACTGTATATAGTATGTGCATAATATAAACATAACTTTCTGCACTTACCGTATAAAAATACTTCCAGTGATTTATATTTAGGTGTATTATAATTATTTGGGCTCATAACGATCGTCTCCAAAATCATTTTATTATTAACCTTATGCATATATTGTTATTAGAAACTGCACAAAATATAGTTGAAGGTGAAAGAAAAGAATTTATAGGAACTGAACAGGAAGCGGTATGAAAATTTTCAGTAGTAAACGATACGTAGTTTTAACACAACGTACAGTATATGAGAACTGAGAAATAAATACAGCAATAGTCTGAACTAAACTAAGTAGCAACTGGATATTTCGTTACTATGACTTGGTATTTACCTTAATTTATAAATTAATAGGTTACTACAGAAATTCAGGAAGGAGTAGATAACCACCTTGAAATGAATATTCGTGCCATGGTACCTTCCAATAGTCCAGATGCTATCATGAATAGCCCAAGCGAAAAACAACTATTCCAACATGATCAAGCACTACAGCGACTTCAAGAACTACAACTCAAAATGATTGGAGGTGAAAAAGCCAATGATGAAGCGTTAAAAGAAAAGCGACTAAAACGTAAACGCCACGCAGAAAAGAAACGACAAACTTTATTAAAAAATATACAAAAGATGGAAGATGATGGCATCATGATTAAAGTATATGATTCATTACATGATGATATCAAGAATAAAACTAAAGTTGTAGATGACCTGCAACAAAAGCTGACAGCAAGCGAAATTGAAATTCGTGATTTACAAAGCGAATTTGAGACTGAAAGGCAAGACTTTTTAGATACAATACGAAAGCAAGAAAGAGAAATTAAGTTAAATGCGCAAATACTAGAGCGTATACAGGGATGCATTCGTCGCGACTGTAACTACTACAATATCGATAAGGTACGTATAGAATGCAAATGGGACGATGAAAATCAGAAATGGACAATTCCTGATTTAATTTTATCTAAACTATCATTACCACCTGGTGGCAAACCATCGACAACGTCGAGTAATAAAATGCGTCAGCAACAAGCGGCTAATAACGGCAGTACTAATTATTCATCTGATAATGATGAAGCAGTAACACCGGAAGAAGACAAATACCTTCAACGGTTGAACAAAAAGAATGATAGTAGTACTAATTATTTTAAATCGAAACGTGTTAATCAACTCCTTGGAGGTAATACCTTGGGGAATAGCGGCTTAGACCTACCCGATCAGCGAAAACCACCACATAAACTGTTAAATGGCAATGCACCATTATCACCCGTTCATCATAACCCTATGCAGCCATCGCGACCGGCAAAATTGGAATCAATATCTAATAATCGTCCGAATTCAAGGCATGGTAAGTTGCAACCTTTAGGAGGCAAACGATCAACAGGAAATTAGCCCAAATAATAAATATCGGATTACATGACTTCAAAATCCTTGGTCACTTCGACTATGATATATTAGTAGCTAACCAACATTGACTTGACCTTTACGTCATAAATTAGGAAACCGTAACGAATGATCTCAGTAAATGTTATACGAGTATAATATAGTCTCTTCCTGTATTATAATAAAGACTTTATGAACGTTATTCAATCGTGCCTTTATAAAGTGTAATTAAGTACTCCATAAAATCAGTCTTACCAAGTATCATAGTTTACAATGATTGTAATCGGAATCAAGTACTATCTTTCCGAATATAATTCGCAACAAAAGACGTCATAATGCCAATAAATAGCACAAAGTGATATTTAGACTTGGATCTGAACGATGTCTAGCAAAGATTAGCTTTTAGTCTTACTATAAATTTTAGTTCTTGATTCAAATATAATTTAATACATAAATTTAATGATAACATATTTGTATGAGTATAATTCTTGGATCTATATTAAAATTAATCTCTTTCTCATTGTATTGAATTCACGAATTTGACTTTGAATAATGTAATTATCCTATAAAAAAAATCCCTTCTCTAATTTTTAGAAAATGAATAATTGTACATTACGTGAGCATTGAATTTTGTTTCGTTTTTCTCGGTAGCTTAGTTACAATGCATCTGCTAGTGATACACTGTTAAGCACTATCAAATAGTATCTATCGCTAAATACGAATATGTTATATGCATAGCGATGATTATATTGTAACACCTGGTTGCAGGCAGCAATAAACAATCCCTCTTAACCTTATTTTATGATATACATGCCATAACAGTTCATAAATCATTCCATTGTGATTCGTAAATTAGTTCGCGGCTAAGGTGAGCGTCAAGTGTTTAGTGAAGCTTTATTTTACAAAATTGAGCTGCCTATCATTTCGTTCCAAAGCGTTAGTAGATGTAAAGCATTCAAGGAATAGCTTGGATAAAGCAGAGAAAAGCTTTTATTTGGAATGCAGGAAAAACAATATACCGTCGATAAGTTTCAGATTGCATGCGATTTTTAATTTCATTTCCGCTTTATATTTAATCTGTGCGAAGGAGATTGCCAGGTGGAAATTTAAAATATGGCATTGCCTATTTGTAGATCATGCTTACTCCTTTATTACAGTAGAACGAGAATGTATAAATTGAGTCCTTTACTGCAAAATAGAAAGGCAGTTTTGTAGGTCAGGTAGCTGTAAAGCAAAAGTCAAGAGTTTGCATACGGTAGTGTAATTGAGTAGTCCATGACTGTACAGTGTACAGTCACAATATGCACCCGTTAAGGTACTGTACACTGTACGGTACTGAACTGTACAGTACAGTATAGTACAGTATACTGTACATACAGTGTACACACTACAGCGAGTGCACTGCTGTCGTGTTTGCACAAAATCATAGAAATTAGCCCGAACATACTCAATACAGTACAGTATAATCGTATTTTCTTGTCTAGTCGCTTATTTTAGTAACAACCCACAGTACAGCGAGTGCACTGCTGTAGTGTTTGCACAAGAATCATAGAAATTAGCCCTTCCACTACTCAGTACAGTATACTGTAATGGTATTTTCTTGTTTAGTCGCGTATTTTAGTAACAAGTTACTAACAACCCCAGGCTCCCAGACCATTACCTTATGAAAAGCACTACCTACCAGTGTACAGTACAGTACGGAGGAATTCTACTGTACTGTACTGTACACGAAGGGAACTTGCATGATGTTCGAATAAAACGATCGGTGCGCATGCTTACTAAACGTCCAATAGAATTCAAGTTCCATCGCGGCGGTCACCATAGTAAACTACGCGTCGGTTCGCCAAGCCTTCAACCAATCACCAGTTGATGCTGATCAGCTATAATTGGGTCATAATATTCAGATGCTACGCAAACCCAAATATTCAACTTGGCGTACAATTAATCCCTGTTCAAGTAGATCAAGATCGCCAATTACTTTCTTACGTCTACCATCGACAACGTAAGATTGTAGGAAATTAATCATCTACAATTATTGATGCTCAAGATCAGGTAACTCTTGATCAAGTCACTACCAGGCTAAACATAGATAGAATTCGCGGTCGACAGTTTCATATGTGTCTTCAGGCGATGATCAAAATCCATTCCATAAAGTTTATCCTTTGTCGTACCTAATGGTAGAAATTGTTTTAAATTGCTTACGTTGTTTTCTTTTCTATACTTTCATTCTGTACTAGCCATTGACCATCATGATCTTATCTCGGTCGATCCCTTTTCATTTCTGAATAAAATGATAAACATATAGAATCATGAACTATTGTAAATCTTCATTTCCATCCAAGGAATTGAAATTAATCTTCCTTTTAACGCCGACAATATCATGCAATATCATGCTACTAATGAACCAGTCAGTTATAAAATGTATGTAAATAAAATTTTCATCGTTTATCAATAGAACCTTCTTAATTGTCCAACATTTTCAGTAGTGATACAAGCGTAGAGCATGTAAAATGCTATTGAAATCGCTCTAGTGGATCATAATTGTACTATTAGCGGTGTCATGATAGTTAAAAGAATTCAAAAATTCAAAAATTACTTAAGCAGACAACAGTCGAAACCAAAGCCTTAGTTTATAACGCGTTAGCGCACCAAGATTGAATTACCTTAATCGTTACCAAATTCAGGCAAAGCAATGTCTATAATCAGAAGATACCACAACGGTAGCTTCAAATATATCTATAACACCATCCAACTATCCGCAATTCATACATGTTAAATGATACCGCTAACAACGATAATATTGCAATATACAGTTTTACTTAGTTTAATGGAAGGAAGAAGCGGAAAACTATCATCAATAGGAACAAATATTAATATACAGAACGACAAAAATGTTACGTATAGAATAATATTCAAATTCTTCATATGGCATTTATAAGACGAATTCCTATATTCCACAATTTTAATGAGATCGGCCGATTCATGAATTAATATAGGTTATCATTTGCATCGATAAGACCACTCTCATCCAGACGGACACAATTTACGAATTAGAATGGCGGTAACATGGCAATGTTTTCATATTTTAGATTACAAATGTTACAGTTCCTCCTTCTTATGTACACTCCAACGAAGACATTCTACGATCACCTATTTGCTCCACTGCTAAAGAGTACGTGTATCCTCGACCACCGCCCCCCCCCCAACTGCTGACATTACACTATTCGATTAATGAACATGATGATATACGAGGGGTATTTTTAGCTCATATAAAATCGTAATTACCCATCATCAACCGTAAAATAAGCATTACTCTGCCATTTTATTACCGAATAAAATGTCCAAATCATTTTCCCTTATTTATTTATCATCTAAAAGATTAGATGTGCAGATGGACATGTACGTTAGTGTTTAGCCAATCAACAAGAATTAGTAAGCTCTAAGCGAAGTAACAACACGTTTGAGTCCCACCATACTAAAAATAGAACATGCAGAAGTAAGAATCGATTCAATATCAGTAATAAGTAACAAAGTAACTGGATATAGAAATATGTAATACTAATGCAACTTTGTATACTATTTAAGAGGAATGAATTCATTTATTCTTAATGGAATAGTTATGATATCGATATTCTGTGTAATTTGACTATCGAATAAACGCTACACCAATGTAGTGATAGGTTAAAGTGCATTATTAATTTTCCATCAGCTTTACGTTATTATCGTTTGGTATATAACAATAATACACTACGAAATGATAAATTAATTACTATTCATAATAATCATCAAAAATCAATCTACTCTTTCTATTTTAGACGTCTTTATCCATAGAATCATTGTAGTTATTACTTTTAAAGTTCAGGATCCTTATATTCATAATGACTATCATCGTTAAAAATTGCATCTTTTCGTGGATCATCCCAACACATATTATCATAACTAGAATAAACATAGTAAAATAATATTTTTAAATAAAATTAATCGAATTACTTCATAACTAGCCTTTCAAATATTCAATCCACTATAATTACACTATTATTATCATCACCCTACTGTATATTTTCTGCCAATCAATAGTCAAACTACCTTCCTTCCAGTTAGAAAAATTAATTAAATCGATTATTGTGACACATTGAAGCTTGGCTACCGTCAAGTAAATATAGCGTACCTATTGTCTTTATATGTATAAGACTGTACTCGCCCTACTTACACGAGTTGTATAAAGTTCAGGAGTAAATAATATCGTACGCAACCACATCGTGAAATCAGTTATAGCAAATAATATCCTCTATTTAATTTGAGACACATTACAATGTAATTGAAAGTAGTGACTACTGTTATATCAGAGAGTGATCGATGACGATACAATTATCTAGAGATTTTAACTTGTATACCATCATGCACTGCCAAGCAACAATCTATTTCAAGCAGTATTTTTTTATTATTGATGTGTTTACATTAATTACATCTAGCATATGTAAATAGTGCAGCGTTACGCAACACAGGAGGATATTAATCGATCATTTTTAATTCCGTAAAATCAATTTTTCCATCGCTAGTTAGGATATACTTAACGCTCCCTGATTCCTTTAGCAATT